TTTAAGGACTATTGCTAATTTAAATATATAAATACCAAATAAAAGGTAGCTTCCGGAGATTTGATTAATTGTGCAGTGCAGAGAAATATATTTCAAAATATTGGCCGTAACAGTAATAGCAAGCTTCTTAGCTAAGATAAATTAATTTGAATATTATAGTGTAAAACTATATATTCAAATTAATTTATTTTGCTTATTATTCATTTTAATAAGCAAAAGCTTAATATTTTATTCTTGTTTATCATTTATGATTACATCATCGTTTTATCACCAATATTATCAATTAATATCATTGCATCATTTTTAGGTAACGGTGTAAAAAAAGGTGAGAAGATAATACTCTTGCTCGCATTTTTTTATTGAGTGACTAAACGTCGCAAATAAAGCCTTAAATGTCATGTAATATTCTGGACGCATGATTTTATCAAACGATTGATACATATCTCCAAGCATGTGTGTCATATACTTCCAAATAATAGTATGATGTATTTTCGTATTTGAATTATTTGGCTTAATATCCCAAACAACATTAATTAATAATCATTCCAGTTTTAATTCCTGCTTGGTAAATGAAATCAAAGTTTTAGAGCCACATTCTGCATGCGTAGAGAGTGCGTGATATAAAATTAGAATTAAATAACTCATAAACATTGGCAGTAAACTATGCATTCAATCCAAATTCTTTTAAAAGCACTTTCTTTCAGTGCGAAAGAAAATGATGTGTTCCAGTTATTCCTCTTCTAACAAACCGGAAAATTACATGAGTTCACTATGTGAAATCTGTCCTGATAGATGATCTATGTTGGGAAGAAAATAACGATTTCAAACAATCGATTAGAAACTCTACAAATCATTCGCGTTTTGTTGCAAGAAATCATTGAGATTTGCAAAAGTACAGTGCCGTGGTTGTGAATACCTTTTTCCTGCGTCCCTGTTTTATATCTTCTTTCTTCACATTTTGGAAGGCCTCACATTAATTGTAATATTAACAATTCAAATATTTAGCTTTTTTCGTGCTTCCGTTTTCTTAGTCCTCAGTACAAATTTATGCGTTTATTTTCTTATCATTTTTGTTCATATGGTTTCTGGTAATTACAAAGAGCACAAGGCATTTTCTGTAAGTAAAGTGCCTTGAAAGGAGACTTTCTAATATAAAGTTCTTCGTATTTTTCCGATCACATTACTTTAAAAGTCCTCAAGGAATTTCCTCTAGCTAGTAGTTAGTCATTTCGCTGGTGAGCTTTTTAACTAGCGATTTGGTGGATATTCGAAGTTTATTCGTTTCACTCTTATCGAACTGTAGAATATAAAATACTTTTAAATATTGCCCCTGTAGAGTCATTAGGTATTTTTGGAAGCAGGAGACTTGAAAAATGAACAACGCCTTCGCCGTAAATCGAACCAAGGACCTCTGGAATCCGCGCCCAACATGCTGACCACTACAGTACGAAGATATGCTAAGCAGGCGGGAGAAATACCTTATTCCTCGATAGTTTACCTTCTTTCATCATTTCGAAGCACTAACTCCCGTGTACGTTTATTGACCGTTTCCAATCATAAGAAAGACCTAGTAGTTAACACTTAAATAATCGCTGTTTTACAGAATTTGCTGATCATAAGATACCTAATGCTGTAGGAAAGCCAAACGAAACGGACAGATTTCAAAGAATTATGGAAAGATGATTGCGATCATCACAGCTATTTTATTTCTTGCATTTTGATTCTGCAATATGATCCTCAAGATCATATAAAGTAAAGTATGCATGCCTCACATCCCATTTTTCAACTGTAACAGAAGAATGAAAGCTGTTGAGTTGACAATCTATTTCTATAGCCTACAGCAACATACGATCGCTTAGAATCCCTCCCACAAGTCTCCTAGCAAATAATGTTAGAAAAGTAGAGAAGACATACAGTAGCAAAAATAGAAAAGATTTCTTTTGATACATGTCTCTCAAATCTACTTATTGTTACCAGGTGATAATGGTGCAATCGAAATTATGCAAGCGTATCCAAAGAATAAGTACCTGTTTTCCACGAATGAAAAACGGAAGCTGAGGTTTTACTGAATTCGCACAAATCCTCCTCCCCCCAAAAATTGAGTTCGAGATGCAGATATAAATTTTAATCGAGTCAATATTAAAAGCGTGTGATAGTGGTTTGGGATGATGTACGATGCTAAAAGATTTGAGAATGCAGGGTGATTCCAAACAAAGCTTGCATGATGTAGTTCGGAGGGGAAAAGAACAGAAAGAAAGGGGGAAACTTTGTCTTTGAGGGAAAAGGAACAACAGAACAAACTAATAAAACAATTCGCGTGAAGCTGCTCATAGTAAATTTAATCTCATGTCTTTTTATGACCGATTTATGAAAATTTTTAGTTAATTTGAATTTTTAGAGGCTCTTGATCTAAAGAGATGGTTATATTTACTATTTTACAACATTAATTAATAATTTGGGGACTCTTCAAAGCGAGGTTTCTTTCACAGTTGCGACCTCTGCAACACATAAATTCGTCTCTGAGGGTGTCTAAAATCATAGGCCGTATCAAGAGTCATTGCAAGGTATAAAATTATGTCTTAGTGAAATATAAGGGAAGAACTAGGTGTGTAGTTTATACGTCCTTTTGGGAAAGAAAATTACACCAGTTTCTTATTACTCATTACAGACTATGATGCGCCATTATGTAAATACAGTGTATGAGAAATTAAAGCAAATTTTACGATATTAAAAGAATAATACTGGAATTTGTTGGGTGAGATTTAGTGATAAGTTGTAGGGGTTGGCGTGAGCTCTTTGAAAAATTTGTTTCCAATTTCTGAATTCTTTTTATTTGTTTATTTATTCCAAGGAAAAAAAAATGTCTTACTTGCCATGATCATTTTTAGATTACTATTTCTCTTCTTGAGAACTGGATCTCACCAGATACAGCTAAGGTTTCAACGCCTGAGGACAACTGAAGATTTTGGTCCCGTTCTGTTTGCCAAAATGCTATCGCGAAGGGCAAGAAAATTGTATGAATGCTGCGACCAGAGACAGATGTTCGCCATACCTCCTGGATACGCCACTGGTTCTCGTCTGGTTTTGCTTAAGTTCCATCGAACGCGATGTTGGTAACCTTAAATTTAAACAGGTCCTGTATAATGTCTTTGTTTTCAATAAATGTATTGTTGGATATTAAACTGTTTAACCCAAGACTGTGAGATGAGATTCTTGTTGTTTGATTTTCCATGTGAGAAAAAGAATCCTTTAAGAAAATTTAATTCTAAACTTTGAAAAATCGTCATTAGGCCTTGGAATCGTTTAGAAAACCAACTGACGTGAAAAAAGAAAATAATGTGTGGCAGCTTCTGGCAAAAATACCGCCGCATAGTTAAATTACTTGTTATTTTTGGTAATATCTGTAATATTTTGTTAAGTTTTAATTTTAAAGATTTTTTTAAATATTTTTTTCTTTTTCTTTTTGTTCCTTTTCTTTCTTTACGTAAAGTCATTTGCACTTCCTGCTTAAAATTAAAACACTTAACAAGAATTTGATATTAAATTTTTATAAAATAAAATGCGGCCCCAACTTGTGAGGATAAGACTGCAGAGTCATTAGGATTTTTCGCCGAGAATCGAACCACGGACCTCTGAAATACCGGCTCAGTGTGCAGAACCACTACACCACGAAGGACGCTAGGAAAGTGGGAGAAATACCTTATATACTCCCCTTTTTAAAGGGCGACTAGGGTTTTAGGGGACCTAGTCGCCAAATCCTGGGTGCGGAGAATCATCATCCACAACCCTTTTAGTTCGGGCGCCACTTGCAGAGTCATTAGGATTTTTTTAGAGGCCAGCAAGATGAAAAATTAGCAAACGTCTTCGCCAGGAATCCACGGACCTCTGAAATACCGGCTCAGTGTGCAGAACCACTACACCACGAAGGACGCTAGGAAAGTGGGAGAAATACCTTATAAGACTACACCCTCTTCAGAAGAATTTAAGTGAGCTATTGAGGTTATTAAAGGTATTATGTATGTATATGCTGAAAAAAAAAAAGAAAGAAAGGGGATTCACATTAAGTACTCACGTTTTAACGCCTGGGTGTAGCAAGCATTACACTATCTGCTATAGAAAAGCATTACTTTAAGAAATAATAGTACAAGCCGGATGATATTAAAGGTGAAGTTAAGTCGAAAACAAATCCTTGATACTATTTAGATGCTGTCAATGACTTTTGCAAGCTCAAAAAGTGGAGCACATGAGAGCATTTAAATCCGGGAATAAATAATAAACTGCAAGACTTGGTGCAGTACAAAGCCCGAATTCTGGATTTCCAATACTTGGAATGATCTAATACGCAGCCATCTGACTACCAGCTAAAATAAATAAATAAATAAATAAAATAATAATACCTCCCTCCTTTACGAAGGTCTAGGAATGGAGAATATAATGTTCAACAAAAGGTAGGAGGCTTGTCTTAAATGCGGTTTACCTACATTTCTCCCGACTGCATGTCACTTTCAAGTACCTGCTAACTAGAACGTTCTGTGGTCGCCAATTTTTTTTTTTTTTTTTTTAACGGTACGACGTAAGGTTCATACTTTGCTTTGTGGGTGAGCACTTTTGTGGCTGTGGTGAGGATAGTATTTTTCTACTTAACCTAAGCAATAATACTATGTCTGCGTGTCATCTTAACTGATGATCTAAAATCCAGAAGCGTTGAAGTTCCGACGATTCCGGATCTCGGAATTAGTGCTGTTTGTTGTGATTTTGAAGAACAAAAAGTTCCCGCATTTTTTTCAAAATGTACTTTCGATAAAATTATTCAATTTTATTTTTAACTCAAATATTAATATAAACAACGTTTCTTTTCATATATAAAAGAATCTTCGAGAATTAGATGTTTTTATTTATTTGATTAATTTTTGTTAAGCATTTGATAAATAAAGCTTAATGTTATGAAGAAGATACTGGAGATGAATATGGAAACCACCTGAGATGTCACGTGATGTAAATAAACGTAGTTTCGAGTGATGATCTTCGATACGTTATCGGCTTATTTCGTAAATTTTGCAGATAAATGTTCATTTATGTTCTAAAGTCTGTGAAGACAGAGTTTAATGTTCCAGTCGATGAGCGCTATTGAACTGTCACGATGAAACTGATTTTATTACTGACTGCAATAATAGCATCTGCTACTGTTGTGTTGTCCTTCCCAGTTCAAGAAACTCCGCGTTTCGGTTATGAGGTAATATTTCAGTAACATTCCTTATAACTGAAAACGAAAGCAGTAGTTTCTTCTTTTGCACTTTTATTAATCTTTCGGATGTTTTTCATTCGTTATTAACTCTTAACTACTCCTAAATTAAATTTTTACACTTCATATGTACAAGATATTCTGACTGTATATAGAAAAACCCCGATATTATAGCGTAAGATATTTGTAATTTCACAGCTTCTGTTAAGTTAAACTCGTTGAAATACAAGATATATTATATCTACCGGCTAGCTTTGACTTCTGAAAATATTACTTTGTTAATTCATAATTCGGTAGCTTAGTCAGATATGCGAAAAATTTGTCTAGCTTCTTCAAGTATTTTGAGTAAATAACGTGTCTAGTAAAAATACACTTTTTTTACCCCTTTCTTTCTTTTTATGTAGTTTGATTAAAAAAATGAGGCTGAGCAATTTTGATTCTAGTAGTCATAAATGTGTGTCGTTCGTTCTTCTTGAAACCTTTTTGAAAATATTAAATGCTAATTTTTCTCATATCATCGCAGTTCTATTCGTAAAGAGATTTGTGCCAACTGGGAGAAAGGAACTTTATTATGTAATGTTAGATGTTCCATTTTATTTGTTTTATTAAATATACTTGCAAACTGTTAAATGTTCTTGTATCCTGTATTTTATGAATGACATTAAGCTTGCATTTCTCTTATTAAGGGAAAAAAAAAAAATCAAGATATTCATATTATTTGAGATTAAGCTTCAGAATATGATATGGTTTTTTATATTCATGAAATTTTTAGTATTTACAGATGTTGCCAAATCAAATCAATATAATGTGTAGAATGTCTCACATAGTGTAACATAATTTATTTTTACAGATTTATTTACTAAATCTGAAGTATAATAAAAATATTTTCAAAACATCTCCTAATAGAAGAAAATGACTAGCGTACCATTATTGGCCTCTTTCCTTCTTCCGTGAGAGTTTTTGCATGTAGAGCTACATTAGAGGCTCATGATTTGAATTATCTTCCTCTCTGAGTGAAGCATTGAGGCGGACCATTGTCATAATATTGACATCTTTGAAAAAACTGATTGTTCTTGGTGCTGTCAAGGATTAGTGATGCATTAGCACTTCCATGTGTTCAAACTCTGTATTTCAAAGGATGTGCCATCATCAGGATGATTGGTTGCCTATATAATAGATTATAGAGTTAAAAAATGTTCATTTTTCATCATCATGAAGTGAAATAGTTGCTGTTTTTCAAGAAGAATAGCTGACAGTACATATCCACAAAGAATTTCTGCGGTATAGAATTCCCAAGGAAAGATCTGTATGATATTAATGAAATATACTTTTGATGCATGTATTTCAGTTTTATTAGCCAACTCTTGTATAAACTCATAAAGATTTACCAAGGGCCGACTAATTAAGGTATTTAAAAATTTACAAGTCATTGGTTTTATTTGTAAGCTTTTTTATTGTTTTGATTACATTTTACTTGTCAAGATTGGAGATATTTTCAATCAGTTTGATTATATTTTTTCAAGTATTATGATCAGGCCTTTTTACTTCCTTTTATGAAGTAAAAGTGTTGTAATTGGAAAAAATTTCAGTATTATAATTAAATAGAAATACCTATGCTGACCATTCCCGAGTTCATTTGGACAACTTTTTATGTGACATCTGTATGTATGCACAGAATGAAAAACTGTTTTCTCCAAAATTGATTTAAAGTGGATTCAGAAGGAATTTTTTCACAACATCTGCATGTACATACATATATACCTCGCATAACTAAAAAAAAAAAAAAAAAAATAGCCATAGAATGTTGAAATTTTGTATATGGGACTAATATAGCATTGAGTTATGCACCTTCTTTTTTTATTCCAGTCAGTGGAAGCAAATGTGTATATATATATGTGAGATGAGTTAAACTTAAAGGTGTATATAAACCTCTCTCTATGTATATATATATAGATATATATATATAGAGAGAGAGAGAGAGATCTTTAAACCAGGGTTTCTTAAACTTTTTTCAGTCGTGACCCCTTTTTATCAGTGAGATTTTTTCGCGACCCCCAGGACCCCATAATATTTACAAAAATTTTGTGGGACCCCCTTAAGTATTCCACAAATCTTACACACGCGTGAGTGAAACTGTCAATTTTTCATTTGTACTGTAATATACTATTGTAATTTTAGGTCATTAAATTTAATTTCTAATTTTAAGACATAGAACAATGTGAAAATTTTAAATAAGTAACAGACGAAATGACAGCGTCATGTGCAAAGCAAGGAAAATGAACGTCTATATTATAAAAAGAATGCATCGAAACGTTTTCGTTCTTTTTTTTTTTTTTTTTTTTTTTTTTTTTGTATTGTCTTATGTTTATCTGTTTTCGGATACATTGTGTAAAAATATTTGGTAGTTGTAAAATTATTACAATAAGTTAAAGAAATATCAAAACTGCTAAAATTTTTGGCCACCCCCTGCTTTAGGTCATGCGAGCCCCAAGGGGGTCGTGACCCATAGTTCAAGAATCTCTTCTCTAAACTATATATATATATATATATATATATATACATAGGTTTTCTAAGTTAAACTTTAATTTGCGAAGCTGTTGAGACATAGCTAGTATAATTTAAATTAATAATTTTATTAATGAATTACTGCTTTCAGTCTCAATTGTTTCGTTTGACGAAATGTGCTTATGGTATTAGCTAAATTGGAGATTTCTTACGCTTTTCCCTTAATAAGTCTGTGAGAAACCTCGAATTGAGCTAATTAACCATTTATTGCAATTATTTGTATATAATTTCTTTGTCTTTAAAATGTTTTTGATCGTTTACAAACAAAATATGATGATGTTTTTTAGGTTTTTAAAAAGTTTTTTTAGTCTTTTCAAATTTCCAATTTTGTTTTTGTAGTTTATATAATTTAGTAGTAATTACAGTAGGTTTTTTTTTTTTCCCATGAAAATTAACTGCTTTAGTATTGTATAATTGTTTATACTTGGTGTTACTTGTTTGCTTTGGAATTGCAGTATCAAATTAACTTTAAAGCATTAGCAAATTTTAACTTTCCTCTTCTTTGCAAATATTTTAAAATTTGCAGCTCAGTGTGCAAATTGTTTGACCAACTAGGTCTCTCTTTTTAGTTTACTACTTTCTACTACTAAACTATATATGCATAGTTTAAAAGTTTACCTTTCACTTTTTTGTAAGGGTCGAAGGGGTAATACATGTGATGTATAATGCAGATAGTGTAATAGATGTCGTGAACTGTAAAATCCTTGGATAGGACCATAAAATTCTTGGATAAATACAATACAGTCAAAAGTCGTTTATCCGGACTCGTCGGGACTTCGGCGATTCCGGATTATCGAATTTTCCGGATTATAGATCATCAGTTTAAATATGGTAAGATGGCATGCAGAAATTATAAAATTGAAAATATGTAACTGTAATTTATGAAATAAAGAACAATTATGATCTTAAAGGGTATCAAAATTTACAAAAAAAAAAAAAGCTTAATATTTATTTGTTTACTTTTTTAAACATTTCTTTCAGTGTAAGTTGTTTAAGTTGCTTCGCTTTTTATGTGATAATACATTCTTTTTAATTCTATAAACAGACTTAATTTCATGTTCAGTTACAAAGTTCCGCTGTTCAAGTCCTATAATTGCTGTGTCGAGAATACCGACTAATTTGTGAATCGAAATTTTTTCGTTTTCAATAACCTCTGTCACTTTCTTTGCTATCGGAAGCGAATTATAATGACGAGGAATTTGATTTAAATCATATCAAAGACGAAGTACATCGAGATGAAATACCACATTTAGTAAGGAATTATAAGCCAAATAAAATAAAAACATCTGCCCTGAAGATAAGGTAGTGCTGACAGATCAACTTCCAATTCATTGCGCGCGTTGCGGCGTTAAAGATAAACAAAGTTTAGATAAACAAACGTTCAAGTTTAGATAAACAAAGGATATGCCTTTATCCATTTTTGCAGCAATTCTACTTTTTGTTTAATAGACTTCGAAACATACTTTCGCTTTGTAGATCCTTTACATATTAGTAAATATATATCAGAAATTGTATTTGACATAATCAAAAGTTCAAGCTTACTTTTATAAAATTGCTTTAACAGTCTGCAAAAAATAATAAGCCGAATCCAATTCGAAGATTAAGGAACAACGCAATCTGCAACATTAACTGAATTAGATAATTTTAGCTTAGCTTATACCATCCGTTATACATTAAACGTGCATTTGTAAACGTATTTTGTGCATGTGCACACACATATACGCAGCCGTAAAGGTCTATCGTCAACGTTAACCGTCAACTCGACGCATGCGCAGAAAGTTTGTAGCTTGGAGGTCCGGATTATAGATCATTCCGTATTATGGGTGTCCGAATTAACGACTGTTGACTGTATATTTTTATTACTTGACGATTATGCTGTTCAAGCATGATGCTGAGTAGCACAGTACAATGAAGGCAGTCTGCTCCGTAAAGTTTTAAATATACACTTAAATGTTTTTGAGCAATACAGAAAGAAGCCGAAGTAAGACATTGTGTACTCAAGCAGAAACAAAAGAGAAAAAGAGATGCATACTACCTTTGGTCATATTTATAACCTGGAAAATCTTTATTTCAATCCTGAGCAGTGATTGGGCTAAAAATTTTGCACTGCAGTGAAATTGAAGGGAAAGAGTGAGTTAACATACTGCAGAGGGATGAAAAATGGTGCAGAACATGTTATTGAAGCAGGGATGTATTTAATTAAAATTTATGAATTTAAAGGTCATTTACCAGTTGGTTCCAATTAAGTTTAATTATTTTGTTTGTAATTTTATATTTTACATATTTTGGGTCATATAAAAAGTCTCCATGGCTCTTTGCCTCTAGATGGTGTTGATGTCTATATATACGGCAACATTCACCCAGTTGTCTCAAACGAACATGTGTTTAAAAGGTAACATTCAGCTTCCATTGTTTGTGAAAATAGTTTTCTAATTCGTTGTTCATGTAAAAAGTTATATTGATTTGAAAAGAGTGAAATATCTGAAGAAATATGCTATGTGATGCTTTTTTACTATAAAAAAAGGTAAAAACTCTGCAAAAACATGCCGAAAAGTATACATTGAGAATGCTGTGAGTGAATGAAGGACCCAGGAGTGGTTTGATCGATTCCGTTCCGGAAATTTCGATCTCGAAGATGCACCTCGCTCTGGTTGGCCAGTTACTGAAGAAGTCAATGAAATTTTGTAACTAGGGGTCAAAACCAGCATGCAAGCTGTCAAGAATGTGGAGGCACTAAACATCAACCACATGACAGTTTTGAATCATTCGAAATGAACAAGCTACAAAAAGAAGCTCAATGTTTGGGTGCCACATGAATTAACTCACAGAAATTTGCAACTGCAATCTGGCAAAACCATCAATTCTGTCCTGTACTCCACAACTCGTCCTGTGTCCACAACTCAATCATTTGAATGAAGCAATCCAGAAAGAGCAACCAAAATTGGCTAACAGAAAGGAAGTTGTGTTCCATCATGACAATGCATGGCCACACACATCTTTGATGACTTAAAACTTGGTTGGGAAGTTTTGATGCATCCATCGTATAGTCTGGACATTCCACCATCTGACTATAATTTGTTTTGGTCTCTGCAAAACTCTCTTGTTCATAAAAAATTGGCTGACCGAAGCACCGCTGAAAATCACTTGGCCAAGTTTTTTTACAATAAACCACAGAAGTTCTACACCAATGGAATTATGTAGCTACCTGAAAAAGGGCAAAAGGTCATAGATAATAATGGTCAATATGTGCTTAATTAAAACTGAATTTCAATAAAGAAAATTTTTGTTTAAAAATGTATAAAAAAACCACAGAGACTTTTTATGTGGCCCAATATGTATGTATATCATCTGTTTTACTGAGCTTAAAAGTTCTTACTTGGCCTTTATTTTTGCATTCGTTGGTTGTAGTCATATGTTTTAAATGGAAAAATATTTGTGTTTTGGAATAGATCATTTTAGTGTGGATTACCATATTTGTAAATAGATCATAACTTTTCCTCCTCTTTTCTGCAGTCATGCCCAACTGGAGAAGCTGATAAGTTGAATGTTCATTTAGTGTGTCATACTCATAATGATGTTGGATGGTTGAAAACTGTGGACCAATACTTTTATGGAGGTGATTATCAGATTATATATTAGTTATTAAGAATTACAATATTTTAATTATATTGGAATAAGTTATACAAATTGTTAGGTTTATTACTGATTTGTTACTTTATAAAATATGTTATTGTCTATTCTTCTGTAGAATGCTGTGTGTTAATTTTTGTTGCAAAATTTTAATATCAGTACACATGTTAAGTATCTAGAAGAATGAACTTTTAAAAGTGTATAGTTTATTTTATTTTTTCAGAAATGGTTATGAAAGGTTACTAATGTAAAATAATCACACTTTTAAACCTAGTTTTAACATACTGAGTATTATAATTGTAATGTGTTGGCAAATATCTTTCAGCCCTTTATTGAAATTTTTTAAAGTTAATTAAAGAGTGAATATATATTTATTTCTTTTAATTAGCAAATCAGTCAATTCAACGTGCAGGAGTGCAGTACATTTTGGATTCTGTGGTCCAATCTTTGCAGCATGATCCAAAGAAGAAATTTATATACGTGGAAACTGCATTCTTTTCTAGATGGTGGAACGAGCAGCATGATTCAGTTCGACATGCTGTGAAAAAACTTGTTTGCAATGGTACGTGTTGAAAATAAGTCCTGTTAAAGTTCTGATAAATTTTGTTTATGCATCTGTTTTGAAATAAAAGCAATTATGTTGCAAGTGTTAAAAATAATATGGTAGTCCAATAATTTTATGTTTTATATTATGCACATCCTGTAAATATTTATGTATTTAAAGGCAATATGCTGAACCTACATTAATACGACAGGGTTTCACATGTGAAATGACCCTGCCTTTTTTAAAGTGAGTTAAAAAAGAGAAGAGCCTCACTGTAAGATATCTACTTGCATAAAACCCCAATCTGCTGAAAGTATTCTTAAAATATATATCTATATATTCAGTGTTCTACATAAGATTTGTCCAGCCCTGCTGTCCTCTGATTCTATTAATATACATAACTGAAAGAATGATTGTCTGCAATGTTAAATTAAAAATGACAATTTGTTGAATTGTTTTTAATGGAGGTGATTGTTTGAATGAAATGAACTTGTGTTTTAATGCCAAAAGCATATAACAAATGATGTTTCAAAGAATAACTCTACTCTCATTTGAAATCATCTGCTTAGTTAATTCTGGAACATTGTTTGGAAAAATCATGTAAAGAGAGCGAAATATGCAGTATTAATTGCTATTTTATAAGATAGCTTTAAGAAAACATCCACTGCATTTTAGTTATTTTATACTTTTTCCTTCACTGATATCAGACTTAACTGAAAGGTGAACGTTAGTAGTCGCAGTCTATGCAATATGGAGAAAACTGATTTTAGTAGAATTTTATAAGTTGTATCTGTGAATAAAAATGTTGAGTATATCATGAACATTCTCTGTTTGTGACATTAATTTTTGAAAATATGTATGTTTTATTGTCTTTATGTCCCCTGAAATGAATGCAAAAAGTAAAAGAATGACAACATGTCCAGGTGATTCTGAATATACTTTTCATGGTTGCTAACATGTCTCTCAGTGGTAATAGATATACTACTATTTCTAATAAATATCTCTGAATTTCTTAAATAGACATAATATAGATAATATTTTGTTTACTTTACTATAAGAAGAATGTATTTATTTCATTATAAGAAAGGCATGGTGTTATAAAGACTCTAAATATATAAAAGGAAAATTCTTGGCTAAGCATTAGGATGCAAATTTACAATAAGTGTTCACAATTATGGTCCTCAAATGTCCTGACATTTTGGAGTTGAGCAATTTTGACCAATGTTTGCACTAGGTTTTGCAGGATTGTCTTGCAGCTGTTTAAGTGCTATCCCGAAGTGTGGTTCAGTGTAGTTGGTATCTTTGGCACACCATATTCTTTGGTATCCATTACAGATAAAAATCCAGAAGCATTAAGTCTGGAGAGCATGTGGAGAAATTCAGTTAGATCTTTTCATCCTAATGTTCCTTCATCCTACATGCTGTCTTGTTAAATTCTAATTAATTATGATCAGGTATCTCAGTGGCAGTGTGGAGGAACCATATTTTGTTGGTAATGCAGCTTCTCATTCCCATACATTACATGAATGCTGGGTAAAATTGGTGACTGAAATATGTGCAGATAAATTACGCCAGTGACTTTACCTTCAAGAAAGAGGGTCCAGTTAGCTCTTTAGAGGATAATTCACAGTAAATATTGATCCCTGGTATATTGATAGCCTTTTGCTCAGTAATTAATATGTGAATTTTTTTAACAAATCAGTTTTCTCTACAAATCCCTGATTAGGATCTTCATTGTTTAATTCGTTTTGTAACCTGACAATGCATATTTTCCTTTTTACATCCTTTAAGAGTACCTCATGTGCTCATTATACTTATATTTCTTCCTCACAAACATTACCTGGTTTATTTCTGAGGTGAATATATTAGCTGTTCCGGCAGCAGAATTAAGGAAGAGCTGTTCTATCTAACTTTATATGACACATACATGTGTGTCATGAAATGTGAATTTAATCAAGTTTTGTAGAAACTAAGGCATAAAGGAAGGCAGCTGTATCTCTCCATTATTGTTGAATCTCCAATGCATTCTCAAATTTCAAATTTTATTTCTAGAATCCTTCAACAACTTCTCAAACTTCTCAAAGGTCATTTGGGATTCTGTCATGTTGATTTTCATCACTGCATATGTTGTATGGTGATACAAACTTTTAAATGGTATTTTAACCCCCTTTAAGTAAAATTGTAATATATGTTAATGTGTATGTATAAATTTTTTTCGCACACTCTCTGTATTTTCTTATGTAAAATGGAGAATGAAGTATATAAATATACTACTTTCTAAAATATTAAGTGAACGAATAAATGAAATTTGAAATCTAAAGAAAAAACTGTGTGTTTTATTTAAATCAGTATATTGGCTCATGCAGAGTGATTTTTAAAATCAAAACACAATTTTTTGTCACTGCTGATGAGGAGTGACCTTGATTGAAGACAATATGTAAATACGGTTTTTAATACTGACATTGTATAATTGTAGCGTGTGCTGTGGCATAATTTTCATGTCAGTTCAGTGCTAGGAATGGCGAATTCAAAAGTTCACTTTCATCATATTATGCTTTTTTTTTTTTTTTTTTTTTTAAAGGCAGATAGCCCTTTAAAAGTGCTTTGCCGTAATTAAATACACCACACCTCTTTTGTTTTAAAAGAGGAAAAAATGCTCATCAGAATGCTCATAAAATTTATGTTGTATATGGACAAAGTGTTGTTTCTAATGACAGCTCAAAGATGGTTTCTGAAGCACAGAAATTTCAATCTCAAAGATGATGCCTGCCCTAAATGCATAATCTCTGTAAAAGTAAAATAAGCTACTGCTGAAATTCCACATCATTTAATTCAAGAATAATCAGACAGAATAAATATTCTGAAAGTACATGACCATTTAAAGAAAACTAGGTATGTAAGCCACTACTGTGTTCGATTACCTTCTTACTTTACCTAAGCAGAATATGCTTTCTTGAATTGCATGATGTGATTCCATGCTGGAACAAAATAAAAAAGCTCCTTTTTTGAAATGGCTTCTTTTAGGAGATGAGAAGTGGATAATATGCAGTAATGTTACTTCTTGTAGCATTTTTCGTCTTCTTGTTTCTTCTTGTAAAGATTATCAGGTCAGTCAAATGAACCTCGTTTAGTAACATCGAGAGGGGAATAACATCCCCATAAAGTAATGTTTTGTGTATGGTGGGACTACAAAGAAATTGCGCTATGAACTTTTGTCAGAAAATCAGACAATAAATTTGGAAAAATACTGTTCCAAAATGGCATTTTTAAAACCAGAAATTAAAGCAAAGCATCTAGAAGTGACCAAGGCATTTGTTGTCTTCCATCAGGGCAATGCTGAGCCTCACATTTTGCTAAAGACTTAGACATCATGGTCATATTCCATAGAGTATCGCCAATATGTTTTGTGTCACCTACCATATTTATCAAGCCTTTCTCCCTTGAATTTTCATTTCTTCAAATCACTTCTGTAAATGGCCTGGAGTTCACTTCTTTGGAAACTGTCAAACAGCACCACAGTAACTTATTTACAATTAAATGCAATGAATTTTTTAAGAAAGGAATTTTCCAGCTGCCAGATAGATGGCAAAAAGTCTTAGATCAAGATAATGCTTATGTGATTCAATGAAATTTTCAGGTTTTTCTGTACTGTTACTGTTTCATTTGTATATATCATTGAAAAATTATATGCACAACTTTCCGGATGACCCAGTATTTGATCTAAAATATGATTATATATTTTGTAGGTCAGTTGGAATTCATTGGTGGAGGCTGGAGTATGAATGATGAAGCTGCAGCTCATTATAATTCTATCATCGATCAAATGACTTTTGGGCTGCGAGTGCTGAATGACACTTTTGGCAAATGTGGTGTGCCTAAAATTGCATGGCAGATTGATCCTTTTGGACATTCAAGAGAACAGGCTTCATTATTTGCTCAGGTAAATTTTTGTTTTAATTACAGTGATAATGTAAGTTGTTATGTGCTTAAAGTAAATATTTTGTGAGTAGTACTATTTTTATATGACTAATAGTTTATACAACATGTTTAATATTCCAGTTATTTCTAGTGAAGATAATTTTAAAATTTTTAGAATTTTAATTACACTGGAATATATATAATTTTAATGTATACCGTATTTGACGGCATATAAGACACACTTTTTTTCCTAAATTTGGTCTCAAAAAAGTTACCAGCGTCTTATATGTGAAGGTAATTGCATTCAATAATTGTTTATTTGGCTTTTACGAAACGTGAGAACTAAAAGAAACTACGCTATTGAAACTTTTTTTCCTTGTGTGTGGCCATCTAAATAAGGGTGCGTCTTATATGCCGTCAAATACGGTATATATATTTTCGGTTAATCTTTGGATTATGGTAACTCGGAGATTTTTCGGCGAAAATTTGGCGACCAACCCTGCTACGGCAACCTGCTAGTTTTGTTTTGGACGCCATTTTGTTTTCACGAAGTAAAGGCTTTTTTTTTTTTTTTTTTTTTTTACTCAACACTCTTTCCAACAATCTGCTAGCCGAATTACGCTTATACTAGAACTTTTATGGAACAAAAATGCTTAATCATGATGAAGATTAGGTGCGAAATTGGGAGAAAGTGCAGAATCGCCCACTGCTTGCCGCATTTTTAAGAATTGCACATACACGGTATCATCCATGTTCATGTCGACCTATTTTCACTTAAGAAAACATCCCAGAATTGCACAAAAATGGCATTGCGCACACTCTTGACTTTATCCATGTACACTGCTAAAGTCCTAGCTAGTAACCTTTATCGCCTTACCAAAATGTCGTCAAACTACATGTTACCATATTCCAAAGATTAGCCATATTTTCAAAATGCATATCCTGGTGCATTAAAGTTTAGGTATTTATAAATCAAGCATAGTCTGGATCTTGCTAATGAAAATAATTTTTGATTTTGAATTTCTTTATTTTTATTTCTTATGCACATATTTTATTGATATCTGTTTTGTTTCATTTTATGCATATTGCATATTTTGGTTATCTATTGCTGATAGCTTGAATTGGCTGTTAGTGTCAAAATGAGATTTTGTATTGTCCACTATAAACGGCCATATCACTTTTCAGAAAGTTGCCATGAAATATTATCACCCTGTATTATTTTTAAAGAAATTAAGTAGTGAAGAATCTGCATGCATGTATGTTCCCTGCAGTGTGAAAAAAAAGGACAGCACCTAAATCCATCAAATTTTAAGCAACATAGACCTCTACCCAAACCTGAAACTGGGCAACTAGAAGCCCAAATTTTGAATTTTATATTTCACATTTTATAAAAGTTTAATGTATTTTTGATTAACAAACTCAACAGTTTGAAAGCAAGCAGTGGCAACACTGTATATTATAAAATATTTTTAGTTATTTCCTGTGTGCGAGACTGTATATTGGAAATTCTAAAAATATGCTATTTTAAAATATTTTGTGGTTTTGCTGTTGAATTGAATTTTATGTGACCTAAGTGTGAAGAACCTGGTATTTAATAAATAAAGTTAATGCACGAAGCATTAATAATAAAAAGATTAAAAAAAATTTGAGCCAACTTTCTAAGAAAATTGAACATTGATGTGATGAACTGAGAAAAGACTGAAAAATATAGAAAAATGTATGCCAACACATATGCATTAGGAGCTCAAAACATGTGGTGCTTTTAATTTTTTTTAAATTTTGCTGTTGAATTATCATAATGTCAAAGAAAATTATGCTTATTAATAAAGCTAAAACGACAAAAAGAAATGGGTTAACAGGAGTGAATGAAACAGCAGACTGGTTGACTGCAAGCTCAGTGAGAGTGTACCTTAACAAATCCTTTTGGGCAGTCATTAAAATCTGAACCCTTTCAGATTTTTTTAAAAATTTAATTTTATTAAATTGGATTTTGGTAATCTTTGTTGATTATAGTATTGTATACATATGTTACAGCATTGCATACATATGTATGTATTAAGCAAATGTATTTATATTTATGTGCTTAATAGTTTTGTGTAACATTTTTTAGAAATGCTGTGAAAAATGAGAAAAATTTCCGATATTTCATAAATTTGTCCTTCTCTTCTTCATTTTTTTTTTTAAGTGCTAGCATAAGGTTTAAAGTTTATATATTATGTTAGAAAATTTACTCTTTACTGGTTTGAAATGTAGAAACATGAATTTTAATCGAAAAATTATCTAAGAAACATGATAGTATATTAACTGAATTAGTTCCTATTTCTTAAAAATGAAATATGTCTTTTATACTTTTTAGTTACAATTCATTACATAATCTCCCCTTTTTTATATGTAGATGTTTTTTGATGGTTTGTTCTTTGGGCGACTGGATTATCAAGATAAAAATCACAGAGAGAGTACAAAAACGATGGAACATGTTTGGAAAGCAAGTGCTAATTTAGGTAGTACTCATACGTATTGTTTCATATTTATTTTTATAATCAAACCTGTGTAGAACGTTTTTACAAAATTCACAATTTAAAAAATTTTACAATGTGCAACATTATAGTGATAACTATTTAGCAGATTATTTTTCAAGGTATTTTAGCATTGCTTTGAAAGTGTAATCAAAATATTGAATTTTAAGCAATGTATTCTTTTTATATTAGAATCTGTTTTCAAAATATTATTTTTCAGAGGCATGAATGCTATTAGTTTAAAAAAATGTTATTTAAATTAATTGCTTGTTGATATTGAACATATGATTGTAATAATTTTATTCAGCTTAAAATCTAAAATTAGTGATTCAGATTTATGATTTCTATAAATAACATTCTATGCAGTATATTTACTTTTTATTGGATTGGGGTTTATAATAAAAGTTTAATTCTTTTAAATATAGATTTTTAATCCAGATAATATCAAATGTACACACTTTGTTAAAATCATTTAGAAGTATGAACAAGAAATTTTTTTCCGCTCGTCTGCAATGAGAAAAAGAAAAGGAAAATAGGTAGCAATAAATTAAGAAGTTCCTTGGCGAAAACTGAAAAAATATGCCAAGATAAATTTTTGAATTTCTCTAAAATTTCGCACCAAATTTTACAAAATTTAATTTGAGTTGCAGAATCAAAATATGGAAAAAACTGGCCTGTCATTTTAGAAGAAATCCGATTTTGTTTAAAAATACCTATGTTAGAATGATGCTGTATATAAATTTAATATATATCCTAATTTGCGTTTTTGAGATGTAAAAAACGCACTTTGAATTTCGTAATTTGGCTCAGTAGAATGGGAGATATAAAACTGTCCCCGCCCTCCCCCTTTTTTCACAGTGTACATGGGTTATTATTGTAATTATTGTACATTGATTTATCATTTGAAAATACTGTATTTTGAAATCTGATTGTTTATAGTACCCTTGTCTTTTTTAAAGAGCTTTTAAAGACCCTTTATCAGACAAATTGCACACCTATGATACCATAAAATAAGTTTATTTTATTTTATTTATTTATTTTGTATTTGTGATTTTTCAGAGATAATGAATTGTGTTATAGAATGGAATTGTATGCATTCAACATAGCATACACTGAACTACTTTATAAATTTTTAGGTGCCAGAGCAGATTTATTCACTGGAGCTTTGCCTAATTCATACAGTCCGCCTGCTGGCTTCTGTTTTGATATTCTTTGTGACGACCCACCTATTATGGTACATGTGATGCTTTTTTATGTTCTCTTTGCCTAATTCTGTTTTATGTTTTCCTCTAATGAGCATATTTATTTTAGGATGATCCAAATTTAAAAGATTACAATGTAGAGCAGCGAGTGTCAGAGTTCATTGGAATTGCTGAAAGCCAGGTTAGAATTTGAAATTATTTTTCATGTTTATTAATTAATGCTTTTTAAAAGTTTGTAAATTTTCTCTTAAGGAATTTTTTTGACTGTTTCTGTTATCTGCTTATTTATGGTTTTAAATGTAAAAGATTGTTAAGCCACCATATTTATTACGGTACATATTTAAAAAATCTTCCTAAACCGATGTTCATTCGTTTGTCACACATGTGCATATGTATGCATTTGTATGTACATGTATATACACATATTTCTTTGTTACCTTTAAAATAAAGAACTAGTTATCCTGTCCTCTCCCAAAAGACTTTATATTCTAAAAATTATGTCTCTTGAATATATAGTTTTAAAAACGGCCTCCTGGGCTGGCTGCTTTATCCTGGTAGAGTCATGAGACACTTTTCAAATGTTGTTTAACATTGGAATGGTATAAAGTTCTGTAGAATGACAGCAATAATTTTGACAGTAATAAAATGGAGTAGCAAGGAAGAGGGTGGGTTTCTTGAGTAGTAAAGTCTCTATCTGTGGTGCATAGCAATCAACTTCAAGAAAATGAGAAAGATGTTAATTGGCAGGAGGAAATGTGTTTACTCACGTGCAAACAGTGGAGAAGAGAATAATTTAACTTGTCTGGTGGCTAATATTTATCAAGATTTAAATAGAGTAATGCATTATAAATATGGGCATATAATAAGCCACCTTGTACATTAGACATTTTATCTTTTGAGTAAGGTTTGTCCAGTTTTATTCAATTTTTAGTTAGAGGAAATATTCATAATATTGTATTTATTTTCAAAAACTAATTGAATGTTATTTTCTAATTTTTAGTCCCAATTTTATGCTACTAATCACATAGTGATGACGATGGGAAACGATTTCAATTATCAAAATGCAGCTACTTGGTTTAAAAACCTTGACAAGTTGATAAAACATGTTAATGAAAAGGTAAGTAAAATAATTGATTGTTTTTTTTCCTTGCTATTAAGGAGTGTGCTTTATGCAATTTATCTGATCCGCTGTATCACAAGCTAATATTATTATTATTAAATGAAATAATTCACAAATAATTTTGAAAAGAACCAAGCAGTTTGTGATAATAAATATAAGAATTTCTTGAACAACATCATCTCATCTCAATTCAAATTCTTGTTGCATTTTCAGTGAGCCTGTAATAACATAAGATCCATTTTTTTATATAATCTTAAAAATCACCAAAAAAGTTTTCTTTTTTTTTTTTCTTTTTTCTTTTTTTTTTTTTTTTTTTTTTTAAAGAAGAGAGAAGGAAATGACTGTAATTTTAAAGATATATTTGTAAATCGCAGATTTCATTGTATTGCCTTGTTTTAATTTGAAGTACTGATATATGAATAAGAAAAATATATTAAATTTGAGCGAATGATCTTGATTAAATGTATTTGATTGATTTTGCTTTATTAGCATTGAAGTTTTCAAGAATCTCCCGAAAAAGTTATCCTTGCTAATTATATATATTTTTTTAACTGCATTAAGTGCCATACTTATTAGGCCACATAAAATGTTTCTGCGGATTTTTGCCACTAGATGGTGTTGATGCCTATATATCCAGCAACATTCACCTGGTTGTCTCCAATGAACATGTGCTTAAAAGGTGACATTTAGCTTCCATTTTTTGTGAATGTAGTTTTTTAATTTGTTGCTCATGTAAAAAGTTCTATAAATGCTGCAAAATCATGCCGAAAAATTTGTGAAATGTACAGTGAGAATGCTGTGAGTGAATGAAGGACTCGGGAGTGGTTTGCTCGATTCCGTTCCAGAATTTCGATGTCAAAGATGCACCTCGCTCTGGTTAGCTAGTCACTGAAAAAGTCAATGAAATTTTGCAACTGGTAGAGCAAGACTAGCATGAAAGCTGTCAGGAAATAGCAGAGGCACTAAACATCAACTATAGGACAGTTTGGAATTACTTGAAAAAAGCAGGCTTTGGGTGCCACTTGAATTAACGCAAAGAAATTTGATTGACTGAATCACTATTGGTAAAATGCTGCTTGAAACACAATGAAATGGAACCATTTTTGATATGAATCATTACAGGTGATGAAAAACGGGTGAAATACAAGAATACCAAATACGAGCAATTATGGTCAAAGGCTGGTAACCCTCCACAAACACCTTCAAAGCCTGTATTGTCGCCAAACAAGGTGAGTGTTTGAGGGCATTGGAAAAGGAATTGACCATTTTGAGCTGCTGAAACCTAATTTTGCCTAACCTGGTGAAATCAGTTTAGCCCTGTACTGTGCGCAACTGTACTGTTTGAACGAAGCAATCCAGAAAGAGTGACCAGAATTGGCCAACAGAAAGGGAGTTGTGTTCCATCATGACAATGAGCGGCCACATACATCTTTGATGACTCAAAACAAATTGACGGAACTTGGTTGGGGAGTTTTGATGTATCTAGCGTATAGCCCAGACTTTGCACCGTCTGACTACCATTTGGTTTGGTCTCTGCAAAACTCTCTTAATGGTAAAAAACTGGCCAACGAAAGTGCTGCTGAAAATCACATGGCTAAGTTTTTTGATTATAAACCACAGAAGTTCTACACTGATTGAATTATGAAGCTATCCGAAAAATGGCAAAAGGTCATAGATAATAATGGTCAGTATGTATTTGATAAAATTGATTTTCAATAAAGAAAATTTCTGTTAAAAATATACCAAAAAACCACAGAGACTTTATATGGCCCAATATTTCTTATACTTCTGTCACATAGATTTAAATTTTTTTATTTATGTTAATCTAATCATATTTGATAATTTTCAATACAATTAACTTATTTATGCAAATCTTCCTAAACGCAGAATGATTCGTTATATGTTACGTCCATAAAACATAAAATATTCTCTTTTTTTTTTTCAAAATTTCCAATTTTTACTAAAAATAATAAATGCATAAATAGGTTAAGCATGATACAGCCATTATGAAAAAAATTAACTTTTCCTTAAATTTGTTGAAAGTGTTTAATATACTACTTAATTTGTTATACATTAGTTTTACAATGTGTTTACGTTTCTCTTAAATATTAAAAATATGCGAACATTTTCACTATTATGCTTAAAAAATATATACAAAAGCTTCACTGCATGTTCAAATGTATGTTTTTGTTAATTCAGTAACATAAGTATTCATAATCTTTTTTTTTTTAATTATGTGTGTGTAATTTTTATATTTTTATCAACATTATACACTGCGAAAAAAATGGGGTATGGGGAGGACAGTTCTATATCTCCTGTTCTACTGAGCTGATTGATGAAATATAACATTGTTCTAATATAGGTATTTTGACACAAAATCGGAGCTTTTTCTGAAATAACAAACCAATTTTTTCCATATTTCAAGGTCTACGACTCAAATTACGCCAAACTACCAAGTTTTGTAACTCGTGCGATTTTTAAATTAGATCTCAAAATTTAAGTTCCTCAGTGTTAATTCAGTTTGGTATATATTTATTAATCTCTCTTTTTTATTAAACTTATTTGATTCCTCCTTTCACATTTCGAAATTCACATTCATTCCAAATAAAATTTGCCCATTTTTTATGATTTATTTTTAAAAATCTGTATTTTTAAATAATTTTTATAAATTTTTCAAAAAAAATTTGAATTATAATCTATAAAATTTTAACATCATCTTAATGTAGACATAATTTCTAAGCATACCTTAAAAAAATACAGTTTTTTATTCAAAATTTCCGAAGATATACATGAATTTATATATTGGTGGATTTTGAAATTTGGCATATTTGTTGAAAGTGATAAAACATCAAATGTGGTTTAGACACCTTGCTAAAATTATTTGAAAGTAGGAACAATGTGACTTTTTTCTCACTCATGCACAATGTAAAAATCTAGGAACAAGGTGCCTTTTTTTCCACTCTGGCATAATGGACGGGAAAAGAAAATTGGTTGCCACATATTAAGAAGTTCGCCAAGTGAATTACTCTTGGCGCAAACAGAAAAAAATCGCGCCAAGGTAAGTTTTGGAATTTCTCCGTAAATTTCGCACCAAATTTTACAAAATTTAAAATCTAGGTTTAATTTGAGTCGTAGAATCTAAATATGGGAAAAATTTGTATGTTATTTCAGAAAAAGTCCGATTTTGTGTCAGAATACCTATGTTAGAACTATACTATATATAAATCTAATATATATCCTAAGTCGCGCTCTCGAGACATGAAAAACGCGATTTGAATTTTGTCAATCGGTCCCGTAGAACGAGAGATATAGAATTGCCCCATATTTTTTTTGCGCAGTGTACACCTATAATTGCATATAAAATATCAATTATAGATGTAGAATTTTAATAAAAGTAATATGTCATTATTATACATCCTTATGGAAGAAAGTGGATTTAAACAAATCCGTTGTTATTCCATTTGTTAAATTTTAAATAATAAATCCTCTTTAAATAGAAATTTTCGAAAAATTCTTTTTTGTTATTTTTTTTCAAAGAAGCACTGTAATTCTATATTTTAGTTCAAATTATTTTTTGTGAGTACTTATGATATTTTCTGTAACTTCATGATAACTTTGATGCTTCTAGACTAGCATCTGCCTGGGCTTTTCTTTCACAAAAATTTATTTCTATACTGTCTGTGTACATAAATGCTATTTATTACTAATTAATATGCTTCAATTAACAAAAACAAAAAATATTTCGAGGATTTGAAAATTCAGGTTTTGCAAATTACACCTAAAGCATCTGAGGTTTCACCATAGAAAAGATAAAACATAACTGAAAAAATAAGACAAAAATTTTAAAAACTAAGACAGAATTGTTATTCAGTGTAACTAAAAATATTTAAAACAAAATAAAAATTCAAAATATCAAACATTTCAATTCCAAATAAAAATATGGATTGTTGTTTTGTCTCAAATAAAAGTATAGATTGTATTTCTGAAATAAATTGCACCTTTATTAAAAAACATTTTGAAATATTTGCAACAGAAGCAAATATGAGTTACTTGGGATGAATAAATAGCTCAGAAAATCATTGACTACAAACTACTGTGCATTTAAGGATTCTTTGAAGGAAGTTTGATTTCTGGTGGTTTCAGATAATATACGAATTTTTATCAAGAAAGAAAGGTTATGAAAATAATTTCATTGTCATTCTAAAAAGTTTTACATATCAGATATTTCAAGTTATAGAAACTTAGCTATCATGAAGAAAAAAATAATATTAATTTTTAATAAATGTGTCTGTTGGAAATTATTGGGTTTGATTTACTGAAAATTTTGTGTTATTGAAGTTTAAATAATTATAGCTTTGTTATATTAGAAGCTGTGATATTTCAAGATCTGTTTTATTGAAAAAGGCATTATCCCAACCCTGAAAATGTTAGTGCCAACAATAATTTGAATGGTTACTGGGTGTAATAATTCGTTTGATTTCTAATATGATATAAACTGTTTTGAAAAAATTCAGAAATGTGGGATATAATTAAGGTGATTTCAAGGAGAAAAAATGATTAGAATATGATTTTAGCATCATTTTGGTTTATTTGATTTCAGACACACTACTATGCTGGGGCATTTTTTGCATTGCTTTTCTGATATTTTGTGTTATTTAAAAACATGCATTATAAGCAATACAAATGAATTAAAGGAATGAATTTGAATTATAATCTGATGGCCTTTGTGCAGTTAACTGTACTGGATTGCTGGAAATCCTTTGCATTTCACAATTAATTATGCAATCGTACGAGATTATTCCAGGACAGGAATAGTACGTAAAATAATTTGAAAAGACATGAATAAAGTCTAAACATTTTAATTCAAAATAAAATTTTATATTGTGATATTTAAATTTAGTGCTTATTAATCTAATGGTTAAGTATTAATTGATCATTTTGTTCATGTGATAAGCATGATAATTTTTAGTAACTATAACCATCTCTTGCAGCAAAAGAATGGTAGTCGTGTGAATGTATTTTATTCGACTCCTTCATGTTATCTCTATGCTCTGAATAAAGCCAATCGCACATGGACTGTGAAATATGATGATTTTATGCCATATGCAAGTGACCCACATGCCTATTGGACTGGATATTTTACCAGCAGACCATCAATAAAAGGATATGAAAGAGTAGGAAATAATAAAATGCAGGTATTTCTTTAAGGAATACAACAATATTTTTATGTAATTATAAATTATATATGTATTTACATATGTAAATCAAAATGCTAACTGTAATTTGCAATAATTCCTTAATTCTTTTTTTAAAATTTGGTTATCTCTTCTTCCTAGCCTAAAAATAGTGACTGCTTATAACAAATTGCTTTAAACTACATTATTTCAAAATTAATTCGTCTGTTATGCTCATGACGCAGATGTTTACATAATGCTTTAATCAGTAGCGATTTCAAATTTTGGTAACAAAACTTAATAGTAACCACTCAAAGTGTAAAGCTAAGCAAAAATCATTTCTTCTTGAACATGTTCAGTTCTCTCTTTTGCTTCCATCTTGCCAACCTGCTTACTTTCCGCTCCTTCATGTTCCTTCTTCAGATATTAGAAAATTTAAACATTTTTTAAAGAACAGGAGTACATATGGGCACAGGGCAATTCAGAGGTGCTTTTTAGAATAAAAAGTCTTAAAATAGTACTCCTGCTAACATCTTTAATGTAATAGCCAGCACTTGCCTGTAATAGGGCACAAATACTTTATAAATAAGAATTTGAAAAGTAATATAAATATTCAGGAGAAGCAATTATGAGATTAGTTTCAGATATTAAAATCGAATTGCATGGCTCTGATACTGTGCAGGTGGACTTTCTTTAAAGTATGCATCTGATTTTCTTTATTAAAATCAGAAATGTTTTCAAACAGTCAAAGTCAAAAAGGGATTGCTATATGTTTTAGTATTTATTTTATTACTACACACAAATTAAATAAACATTTTCTTAGTATACTTTCAATCGAAGAAAAATAGATTGTGCAATTTCTTAGTTTTTTTTATTTATTTTTAGCACAATAAATGTAATAACGTATTTATCTCTTTCAGTTAGAACTTAATTTCATTTATTTACTTTAGTTCAAATGGAAATTATTTGTATTTATAAAAATAAAAGTAATTCTACTATTTAATTTTGTAGGGAAAAAAGGAAAAAAAAAAAAAAAAAAAGGCATATTTTATATTATATTATGGGCAGAAAATGATTTCAATTTTCAACTACATAAATTTACAACTTTTATTAAAGTAAAACATAACAAAAATATAAAACTCATATTACATTAAAAGAAATATTTGTTTGCCCTACAGTAAAAGGTAGAGGGATCATCTGGAGTTTTAAAATACTTGATTGACTCTCCAGGAATTGTCTTTCTGCTGTAAAGGAATTTCCAATAGAAATTTTATTAATTTATTTGAATGTAGCAAAGAACATGAGGTCTGTCCCAATAAAAAGAATTTCATGAAGGTATATTTTCCCTTAAAATCAGTTTTTCTTCCACTGCATGGTGGCAAAGTCTTTTCTTTAATGAATCAATGTTTTAGAATATGCAAGTTTCCAAGTTATTACAGTGAAATTTTTATATTCCTTTCTGAAAGATTCCTTTCTTAATTTTTCTATGCTTTTTAAATACAACTGGAGAAATTAATATAATTTCATTTTTCGTTTCTGCAAATGATACATCAAAGCAAAACTAGATATGATATTAAGTTAGATAATTAAACTAGACATAATTAGAGGGGTAGATGTAATTTTTAAATAACTAATAAAAAAATAAAGTAACTTGTTTGCAGAAAGAAATACATTCATTTAAATAAAAATTATTATTTTTGATAGTTTATCAGAGTGTGTGTGTGTGGGGGGCCTTTAATATGCATTTTGATTTTTTTTATTTATAGTAATTTTTATATATTTTATACAAATTTCCACAATGGGTTAATTATGTTAAAATATTGCTTTAAATTAAATTTCTGTATGAAATAAAGTAACTTGTACTTTTGGACATGATTTAATATCAATTTGCGCACTTTTGTCAAAAATGCGATTTTTAACTTCATATATAAGTACAAATGAAATGTAATTTCCTTATTTTTATGTTGTTATCATATAATTAATGTATCTGTTTAAAAATTTAAAACTTTAATTATTATTCCCTTAATCTCTCAAGTAAGAAATACTCTTACATGTTTGGTTTTTCTTAATGTATAACATGAATATGAACCAGTTTCCCTTAAAAACATCCTCTGCAAATGCATTTTTCCTCTTATGTAGGCAACCCTTGTGTGTTTTGCCGTATTAAAAAAAAACCTAACCAAAACTAATGAATATTTTTTATCTAACTAAATTTCTTAATAAGGAAATTGGATTACTTTAACAACACGACTTAAATATGTAATATTTTAAAACGTAACATAATTTATGGGAAGAAAAGATCTAATTTTGGAAATTTCAGAAATTTAAAGGAAGCTTTGTAAAATTATAATAATTAAAAAACTTATTATAACTAGAACTTGCTTATGGAAGTATGGCATCCTTCGTAATGTGACAGAAAGTACCATGCATGGAAGTAACTAACTAATCTGTGAAATTAGTTTTGAAAAATAGCAGAACATGATGCAAAGTACTTCAATAAAATGCATAAAATAATTTCCTTTTTCACATTATCTTCTTATATTAAAAGCAACAGAAATTGAATTATATCTACTAAATAAAACTGGCACCCTAAATTAAAGTATCTAAGCAGTGAGACAAAAATGAGCGTAAACTTTTCCTGATGATTCCTTGCTGCCACACTCATAGTAATACAAATAAAAGTGAATCGACCACTAGTTTAGTATTTCTTTTTATTTGTAGCTTTTTAAATAGCACTATAAAGTGATTAGATTATTTTGTAGCAGGAGAAGTGAAAAATATGCAATACCCACTATGGGATTTGAACCTGGGCCTCTCAAATATGAGCTAAGTATGCTACTATTACACCACAAAGGCATGATGGAAGGAAGAAGAAAATACCTTATAATGCTTTTATTATAATACATTAATTATGACTGATATCATTCACATCAATGTACAATAAACAATGCTTACCTGAAAATGTAGGAGTGACAAGATATTCAGCTTACTGAAAGAACAGAACTAAAAAACTGGTTGTGAAAATCCTCAAGAGAAAAAAAAAAAAACAGTATACTAAACTCTTTGGTCAGTCTCTCTTGATAACACTAGATATGGCAGAATGTGTATGCATTCATCACAGATTGTAGTTTCATAATTCCATAGTATCACACCAAGTAAAAAATTGTTATAAACTATTAGTATTTTTAATAAAAAAGAAATAACTAAAATCACAAGCAATTAGCATAAAAGATAATTTATTTTGAAAGGTTTATTGAAACATTTAACAATGAATTAGAGAAAGGTGCAAGGTCAGCACACTGGAATACATCCCATTAACCTATTAACTACCATGATCCCCATTCAGGGATTTATTTTAGTAGAAGAAATTTGGTAGCTTTAATTAGGTTGGCAACAATGGTTAGTTTTTTACATTGTTGTTTAAACCTTTCTCAAGCATTTGCATGAGGTGTTGAGTAGTAGTTGTTAAATGAGTGAGCTTCACAGTATTATTTGTGAGAAGTAAAATTTTTGTTTCAAAATTTCAACATTTTCAAAATGCAGTATGTCATATTATTATGTACATCGTTTCCAACTCCTGTGTACTGCCATGTTCTCTAATGGTTTTAGAATATGTTTACTAACTATTTATTGTCAATTTGAATTTTATTTTCCAATGAGAGCTTCTTGAATGTTGTTCCCCATTTAGGGCTCATGGCAGATTCCATCTATATTCTAATTTCCAGTTTCTATGTCAATCTAGACACCCAGAAATAAATGTAAATTGAGAGAAAAAAAAAATTGGCAGTTAATGGGTTACAGAAGAATTAGATGAGCAAGGTCAAGAAAGGTTAGGGTGGGAGAGACTGAGAAATTTCTTGTGGTCACTTTGAATGTGTGTGGTGATGTGTTTGTGACACCCATATCTATATCACCATGTGACATCTCTGTAACATTGTATCATGATCACAAATGTTGTGTAATAAAAATGTACTATTGGGATGTCAGTGTAACATAAGAGCAACTATGTGTGTTATATGGATAGTGATCTATGGTGATTATCATTATGATACAGCAAATATAGGATAGAAATTAAGATGAAATTAATTGGTTATAAAACTTAAGTCAAAATATTCAAAGTAAAACATACCTTGATTTCATTGTTCCACGTGAATGACTTAGCTGGTGCCCTAAAAAATTCAGCAGTCAGATGGCTGCCTATGTCCTATGCTTGAAGGCAGCCATGCAATCAGGCACCAATATCAGGTCTGAGCAAAAATACCAATTTGTTGCCAGTTCATGAGGATCCAATTTACTGTTCTGATTTCATGTCTAAAGTAGAATAGTACATTAACTTACTAGTGTAAAACAGCTGAACCATTGAGCTGATTGCAGATGGGAAATACAGGTGCTGACATCTTCTGAACAGAATCAAAGAGAAAATTAGTAAGAGGAGCAGTCAAACTTATGGGATAAAATTTAAAACAAAATTAGGTTTAAAATAATTATTTAAAGTCATGCTTTTTTCCCCTTGATGTTTTTTTAATGATTCATGTTTTTTCAATTTTCCTCGTATGGAACATAAATCTGAGCCAGTTTTCCTTAGAAAATCCTCCACAACAGCATTTTTCCTTAGAAGCCTCTGCTTACTTTTTCTTGCCCTTAAATTAATGAATCCAAATTAAAAGAATTAATATGATTATTTTATTTAAATTTTTTTTATTACAAAGTATTGCAGGTAGAATTTTTTTTTTTTTAAATTCTTAGTTCTTATATTTCATCCCTTTAATTACAATAAACAGAGCTTACCTGAAATTATGTATGAATATTTAAAATTATATATGAAATCATATCAGTTGCCAATGAATTTTTAAAGTGTAACAAACAGGTTTCTTTTCCAATGATTGCTTTAATTTTCTTACTCCACTGCTATTATATATATTTGCTTTATTTTAATGAAATAAATATTTTTGAAAATATGTTAACATTGGCAAATTATTGCATTCACTATACCCATGTATTTTTTCATATACTTTATTTTTGTTTCAAAATTGCATTTACTCTGATGTATTCATAATTTTTAAGGTATGCAAACAGTTAGCAGCCAGGACTGATATTGAAGAAGTTGCTCTTGATTTCATGAGTGAGTGCTTAATGTGCTTATTTTCTTTGTGTGCACAATTATTTATTTCAGTTAATGAAAGTATTATTATCAAATATTCCATCATTTTTAAGTGTGTTTCATTTTGTTATTAGGATGTATACATATTAACTTGTGTATTGAAAGCTATAATGCCTGCATTTGCTTATTATCATAACATCTACTAGTTCTTCAGTTCTTTTTTACTCTTATTTGATAATTATCTATTCCAAAAAATCACTCTGTAATCTGTTCTCAAATTATCATGTGATTTATAAACAGAAATTATTATTAATTATCTATAAATTGTTATTAAGTCAATTTTATTTTCATAAGTGGAATTCTTTTAATGGGTTTTACTGAAAAAGTGATTCAATATATTTTGAGAATATGTTTCAGTAGTTTTTCTTATTTAAATATATATTGCTATATTTAAAAATAATATATAAAAATATATTTATGACTGCATATATTTCACATTATCATTTTCTAAATCTGATCTTGAACAAAGTTAATGCAGAATACCTGTGTATTGGAATTTAATGGCTTAATTTGTGGATTGGGAATTTTTAAAAATTAGCTGGAAATTTTTAATTGAAAATTTTACAGCTCTTTGTCTTAGCTGCAAAAGAGAAAGATTTAGCAAAATCTATTTTTTGAATATTTATTTAAGTTTTAATGCCAAATAAATATTAAATGAAATGCTTTAATATCAGTGTCATATTTGTCAGCAAAAATTACTTTCATGTTAATTATACAAAAATATCTCTTGGCTTAAATGTATTCTTAGCTGTGAAGTCAAAGCAGATAATAAAAAAGTATATTTCAAAAGCAGTAAATTTGCAGACCAGAATTATTTAAAATTTGTAACATATGGTATCATAATGTTTTTTGAAAAGAACTTTATGAATCTGTTCTGTAGCAGAAGTTTTAAAATTTTAGTATTTTTTCCTCATGATATCTGATTTCTGTAATTTAAAAAGTTTGTACGGAATGTTAATTCTTTTGAAAATTTCTCTAAAGGAACTATATGAATACTTCTCAAGAAAACCTTGTAAATTGGTAATTAAATTTATATTTCTTTAGCTAGATTTAAATATTTGTCTTCAGTCAGTATGAATCTATTAACAAAGGCCTGGGTGTTTGTTAGCAAAATATCTTGCTTTTTCAAAAACAGTAATTTTAGATAATTGTTCATGAACAAAAAAATATTTTAAAATAAAAATAAAATAAAAAAATTCTTTCAAATTTAAAAAATCAAAAATTCACAAAACATCTTTGAAACTGCATAAAGTAATGAATAAAAATAGGCTTGTGGTAGTGGAGTAGGCTCACGATCATTGGGTGATGGTTGAGTTATTTCGATATATTTAATATCCATATTCATGGTGCAAGTGCATTTTGGCTATGAATATCTTTGGATGTGGAACATTGTTACGATCACATCGATATGAATTTTATCACATTAATTCAGTTCTTGGCTGATTTTGAAATTTAACTAATTTACACATGCGAATTCAGTTTGGATCGAATGAACAGCCCTAGCTCCATCTGGGCTGTTTTCAAGTGTTTTTCCCCCCCCCCCAATTTCCACCAAATTTGATCTCAGAAACTGTAATGAATACACTAAAGAAAACTTCTTTATTTCTGAGTGCCTGTGAGATTAGTTAATTAATAATTATTAATTTGCATGAGAGCTTTCACTGCGCTACCAGGAGATTGTCCTCATAAGCTACATGGATATCCATACTACTGTGTTCATTCTTTCCGTTGAAGTGGAGAAAGATTTTACAACTTCACAGCAAAGACTTTCAAATTTCCCTGACCTTTTAAGTATTTGGATGGTAGTGATGATTTCAATTTTGTGGATTTATACTACATTATTTTTTAATAGTGGACATCACCAGTGCTCATCCCCCCAGTGAGTATTTCATCAGGGATCTCAATTTCCTGTAATTCTTGCACTCAGGTCACCCCCTCCCCAAACACTGCCGAAAATCGTTTTAGTGTAGCGCTTATCTCAGAGGTACATTACATGACATTATTCTCAGGTTCCTGATTTTTGTATATTTCTGCACTGAAGTAGCGCAGTAGATTTTCCAGTATCCAGCGTTATTAGCATTTTTCATTTCTGTTTCTGCCGTATTTAATTATTGTGTATTTTTACTGCATTACTATTTTCAGTTCTTTAATTATTCTGCACTATTATAATTATTATTATCATTAAATTGCTTTACATTCATAATATGAATATACATATGAATATTTTTTATTTTCTCATTTTATGTATTTTTAAGTTTTATGTCTTATTTATTTTTTCTCAATGCATATGTTTTTGTATTTATCCATTGAATAGTAGTAGCGTGTAGTAATGTAGATATTCCTGTGTTCCAGGTAATTGTAAATATTATACTAGTATTTTTGTGAGTACAATTTTTCACGTTTGAGTTAAATAGTGTTACCCCCCAAAATTTTTTGCTGTATTTATTAGAGCTTTAGGAACCTTATATGTGTTCTATTTTGTAGAGGACTACCAAGATCAGAACATTTATTAGGACTTTAATGTTTTTAAGACCTTTCATCAGATTCTCTATTTAACCGTATTTATAGTCTCAATTATCTGTACAATTTCAGGGTATGAAAGTAGGCAATCAACTTCGGCAATCATAAAAGTTTTTTTTATGATTGCCTGTGCTTCATATATATGTAATTGAAAGTGGAAATACAAATAGATTTGAGAGAACTTGAGTTAGGAAGTTTTTGCAATATATTTTCGATTATGAAAGATTACTAAAAAGTGGTGGAGTAATAAAAGATGAGAAATACATCACTGAAGAATTTTAAAAGCTAAGAGAAGATCAGAAAATTTAAATTGCACTTGAAGTAAGAATTTTCTTTAGACAGGTTAACAACAATTAGTTCAAATCTATTTGTTAAACTTATAATGAAATGCAATTATAGCCTTCTTATAAGATAAGCTAAAATAGTTTTGCTAATGGAATATACTTGTTAAGTATATGCAAGCCTAAAAATTATTAAATATATATATATTATGTATGCCAACATTTTTGAAAAGTTTTAATATATATTAATGAAGATATATTCAGTCTTAAAGATTTAGGCTCCAAGTAAGATGTTAAATTATTCATTAACATATATTACTGAATACTATGTGCTCAATTATAGTTTCATAATAAAAAAAATTTTTTGCAGGAAGAGCCATGGGTATCATGCAGCATCATGATGCAATTACGTAAGTGGTTTAGTTATAATTTTTTAGTTTTAACAGTACAAGATAGACATGTTGTTTGAATTAACATTGGTATATTTCTAGAATATGATTATGTTTTTTTAAATTTTGCTAAATAATAAAATGTTGAATTTTCCAATTTGTCATCCATTTCATTAGGTTCTAACAGGTTTTGTCAATGAAGTATACTTTTTGTTATGGAAGGTATATGAAATATGAAATATATGTATTTTATTTATCACTACTCTTCGTAAATGTTTGAATGTGTATAAAGTATTTCTCAATCGGGGTTCATAACTGCTTTTTTGAAATATTTGAACATATCTGATATAATACATTTTCAACAAAACTCATTTTGGACCTTCTGAGTGATATTTTTTAAGCATAGATTTTGTTCTGGAAATTATTTTCCCTCTATTATTTTTCTATGCAAAAATTTATCATGATTTGCAAATGTATGAAATTCTGTTGTTTTCGCTCAACAAATTGCATGTTATTTCAAACAACAAACCTCTCCTTTCAACATAATATAGGTTTAAATGTTCTTTTAGCTGTTATGCTTTAAAAGACACTTTTTAAAGATATACTTCCTTGTTTTATGCATTTTCAAATTTAATTAAATAATAATACATCAGAGTATATATTAAGGTACTGGATTCAATTAAGGTTTGGGCATGCTTTTTTTTTTTTTTTTTTTTTTTTATGAAAAGAATGCTAAGGTACCACTGAAATTTAATGTAATTTGAATAACTCTTTTATAAACGAGCAATTAGCTATTTTGAAATGTGTTATATTTAAACTTTGATCTTCATTTTGAAGTTGATTTTCTTGTAGTTGATCATTATATTTTTCATGTCTTCCAAAATTTATTAAATTCTGTTATTCTGAAGGAAAAAATGTATTGTTTTGTTCATCAAAATTTAAATTTTTATGTGTTACAATTCTAAGAATATGTCTCACAGTTCTTAAGAATGAGTAGAATCATTATGTGATAGTATGATTTGGAAACAAAAACCACATATATTGTTCATTTATGAAATGAATTTAGGCAACAGAAACCAATTGATATAAACTTTGATATTATTATAGCTTACTATGATTAAAAAGCTTTGATATTCCACTCAAATGATAATTACTGCTACTGAAAGTTTTTTTAATAATAAAGTGATTTTAAATAATTCTGAATTATTGGACTTTTCTATAATATTGATATAACTATTATTAAAGAATAATATCTTAAATAATAGTTATATCAATATTATTTAAGAATAAAGTGTTATCTTTAAATCATTTGCAATTAAAACATTTGTGCATACTGTGAATGAATGCTTGATATGCTAAATGATGTGTACAAATGCAGTTTAAGTCACTTGCTTACCTATCTAAAGATGTACATGCTTATTAACTTTTTTTTTTTTTTCCCTCAGTAATAGCCCTAAGTTATGTGATAAGTGGGCTCAACAAAAACCACATAAGTCAGTGTCTAATTTTGAAGTTAAATACATATGAATTTTAATTAATTATGACCAAGGGCTAAAAAATTCTTAGTAAAGTATATGATAAAGAATTTAATTTTCATACATCTTAATATAAAATAGTATTAAAATAAGTGTTCTGCATACAGTGGAGTTATTTTGATGTTATTAGCTTCATAAAATTTAACAAGCTTGTCTGATCCCTCAGTGTTTTTTTTTTTTTTTTTTTTTTTTTTTTTAAATAGGATTTGTGTTCTCCAAAATTTTTAACCTTTTGTTAATTTAATTGAGCTGAGACATTTTGTAAAGTTTGCAATTGTTATATGCTTCTTTGGTGGATCTGGATCTGAGATGCTGCCTTTTTCAGCAACAGATTGCTCATATATCTCTGCAAGTTTCTCGATTGTCATCTGTTTCCTATATAAGTACAGCTGTTCACTGACATTATCATTGCCAACTTGAACTTCCATGTTGGCAAGAGTGGCAACTTCTATTATATAAGTGACTTGATCAGTTTCTGGCATTGATTTAAAAAAAAAAAAAAAAAAAAAAAAAAAAAAAAAAAAATTGACAAATTTACTCCCAGATAACATTTGAGGTTTTTCTTGAGAAGTTTCAAACCAAAATTCTTCAATGATTTTTATAGCATTTAAAACATTGCATTGTATATGGTATTGCATAACATTTTATGAAAGTCAAAGTAGCATAAGTTGGATATTCCTATAATTATATTTTATTATTATAAATCTGATCTCATATTTATTTAATCTCATTATAAATAAATTTTTCTTTTGAGTTTTGTACTTTTTATTTTTTTAATTAATTTTTTTAATAGTGGAACAGCAAAACAACATGTCACAAATGATTATGAGCAAACGTTGGCAGCTGCCATTGAGAGTTGTTATGTATGTATACTTTATCACTTGATTTGAAATCCTTCATATAAATGACTCCTATAAATCTTTATAATAAAGTTTAAAAAGCATTTTAAAAATTTTTACTTTTTTTAGAAAAATATGAAATTTAAGTGAAGAACTGAAATATTTATAACATAAATGAATAATTCATGATTGCATTTAAAGTTTTACTTCTGTTTGAATTATCAGTGAATCTTAGTATAAATAGAAATAAAACAAAAGTACAGAATTAATGTATATAAGATAATATTTGTAAATGATCAGCTAAATTACCTTATTTTTTCCCTCTTTGCTTTCACGTTTTCAGTGTAAATAAACATAAAGCAACAAAAAAAAAAAAAAAATTAGTATAAAATATTGCTGCATGTAATCAGTTAAAGGGTATAATATTACATAATAATAAATTTCATTTTTAAATTTTAGTAAAAATAAATATTTGGTTTACATATAATTTAAATATATATTAGTTTAGTTGATTAGTTATTTACTTTAACTATTATTATATCCTCTTAAAACATTCATTAATTTTGAAATATGAAATTTCAGCAATATACATCCATAATACTTCATCAAGAATAATATTACGAATGTGAAGGGTAAATGCTATTAAAATGATAAATATGTTATAGCATTTACACATTAGGATTATTTGGTATGTGAAATTTTCCTTTATTTTGTAGAAAGAAGGTTTGTAGTTTAGGAAAGCTGTGACATTTCATGCATTCCGATGTTATCATTCTCAATTTCAAATCATTTTGTGTTTAAAGAGAATAGTAGAGTATTTAGTTGTAGAGGGCTAAATAAGCATAGATTATGGAATAATTAAAAAATGTCTACTTTCTTGGCTGAATTTCCTCATCAGAAATATGTGGCTCAATTTAGTTATATGTTTGCATCAATGGTAATAATAGAAAAAGTGCTAATTACAAGTGAAATTCTTTTATTTAAAAAATTACATAGATAAAAAATACAGTGTAAATTAATTACTTAAGTAAAATTTTCTCAAGCAATAAGCATATATATGGGTAACTAGGGATTTATTTTAGGATAGAAATAGTTGATTTATTTACTGGGTATATATTCCATTTTCTTTTTACAGCTATTGCATTTAAAGGGAATATTTTAATATGCATATTGATTTAGTTTATTTAATATTTTGAGAAAAGGAAGTGATTTCCAAAGTATTCTATTTTAATAATCTGATTTACTTTATTATTTAAATTATTTTAATATATTTTCAGGATATTGTCAATGAAGCATACGAAAAGTTAATGCCAGCTAATGTCAGTAATCCTTCTCTTAAGCAATATTTCTGCAATTTTCTGAATATTAGTCAATGTAATATAACTGAAGAAAACTCTGCTGTAAGTCTTACTTTTATATGAATGTTTTTTCTTGCAATCTTTGAAATTATTTTGAAAAGAAAAGTCTTAAAAATATGCACTTTGCTTTGATTGGAAATGTGAATTAAACTGTCTGACTTTTGTACTACAGATAGCTATCACAATTTACAATCCTCTTGCATGGAATGTTACAGAATATGTACGTGTACCTGTTACAGGAAAAGCTTATAAAATACTTGATTACAATGGAAAAGCTGTGGAAGCTCAGGTAAAAACTTAAGAGTTTTGTTTGTTAATTTTTTTACTGCTTTATTTTATATTTTTATTACATATTTTCAGGTTAAGTAATATAGGAATATTTGATACACTTTATTAGTAGCTATAAGGTGGTGCACCTATAGCTTGAAAAATACATACAGCAGTGTTCAGTTACTAAGCTTACTTATTTGCATATTTAAATCTTCATAACTCCTATTTTAATAAAGAGAAACAAATGAAATATCTAAACAAAAGCTTAAATGCAATACTGAAAAGTTTTCTTTAAAACAACTATAAATAAATTTTAAAAAAAATGTTGTATGCAGGTACATTAATTTGAATTACATTGTTTTGGTTATATTATTCCTTTATCTATGTTTAGGAATATTATTGCATGCTGTGCTACTATTTAAGCAATAAATTAAGTTTTCTAATTACTAAATAGTTCTCATGACCAGTAAAGCTTTACATTAAAAAACAATTCTAAATATTTGCTTTATGTAGTAAAATTCATTAATTTGTTAAAAAACTGTAATCGTGAAAAAGATATTCTGTAAAAATACAGTTTGCTTCTATCTCATTTTCCAGTCATTGTGCATTATACTGTAGAATTTTTTTTTTTTTTTTTTTTTTTTTTTTTTTTTTTTTGAGTTTTTCTTATATATAAATAAATACAGGAGTGAATCAGAAAGTCTTTGCCCCTATTTTTATCAGCCAAAATAAGGTACATATAGGTAATTACAAAAATACATACTATTCTATGTACCTTAGACTGTTTTTCCACATATCCCCTCACCGGCTCTGACATATGCCCCATCGCAGCACTAAATTTGAGATGCCCCTGTGGTAGAATTCATCTGGCTGACTGTGGAACTTGGCTTCATTATTTCAGGTGAATCACTGTCCTGCCAAGAACTTCTTCAGGGGACTGAAAACATGGAAATCACTAAGGGTGAGGTACGGGCTGTCTGGTAGGTGGCCGATATTCTCGCAGTAAAATGACTACAGGAGCTTGTTGTCAATTTTGATTGCCATATGTGGCCTGACATCGTCGTGTAGGATAATCATGTTGTCCATATCGAGAATCCTTCAGTGCTTTCACCTGATGGCATGATGAAAGCCCACAAACATGACAGTGTGGAACTAGTAACTGTCACCAAAGATGGATGCACTTTGTAGCATGAAATCCAGTAGGAGAGGTTTAAGGTGATCTCAGAAGAGCATTAATATAACTTTCCCAACAGATGACACTCAACAGAAATTTTTTGGTCACAAGCAAACTGGACGTTTGCTGCTTTGATTCTGACATAAAATGAAGTATACACATTTAATCGCCAGTAACGATGTGGCTCAGGAAACTTTTACCCTCCTCAGCATATTATTGCAGATATTTCAGTGAAGCAGTCATCACTTGCTTTTCATACTATTCTTTGTACCTTAGAATCCACTGCTTAGGCACCCTTTGACATGAAACCTTCTGTAGCCTAAGGACCCGTGAAGAATGTTGTAAACACTGCCATATGAAATGCCAAGCTCATGGGATATGTTCTTGAAGTGCACACGCCAATCTGCTTTCACCATTGCACCCACATGGGAAATGTTGTTGTCAGTCAGTGATGAACGCAGCCTTCCCGAATGCTCATTGTCATGCAAGTCTTCATGACCATTTGCAAACTTATAACACCTCCACCTCACGCTCCTCAAATCAAGACACTTTTTCCTATACATGGGCTGCATTTCCATGTGGATTTTGATGTTCATTTGTCCCTTACTTCATAGGAAATGAATCATATTTTGTTGCTTGTACACCGTGGATGGGTGAAGCACAACTGCCATTTTCAACCAACTGGCAGCAGAACCTGCCATGGAACTACTGGGAGATAAGACTGGGACAGTTCAAGAAAGGTCCACCACTGGGAATGGGTGCATTGACTTCACATTTACAGTTGTAATTTGGCTAATGAGGGCAAAGACTTTCTTATTCACCCTCTTATGTATTTGTTTGAGAATCCTTAATGATTTTCATGCTTTAGAAAGTAATTTTCATTTCAACAGTTTTGTTCTCAAGTTAACAAGGAAAGCTAAGAAATTTTTTGTTGAAAATTTTGGCATACCTGATGAAACACTCAATTTCTGTTTGAAATAAGTTGTTAAGTGATCGGTATTTGAATCGAACATGAAATAAGTTGTTCAGTAATTTGATTCTAACATAACTCTTCAATTGTCCTTAAGCTTCGAAGAAAAACTGATAAGACAGGTATAAACGAATTAAAATAAAAAAATTTTTAATTTTAATTTTTAACATGGTGAAAGTTTATAAAGTGAACTTTTTAAATCTATATTTTAGCATTCTTACACTTAAGAATTCGACATTTTATCATAATCGATTTTTCTAGAAATAAATCCCAAAATATTTTGATCCTAAATAAACTAGTTCAGAAAAATGTGTGCTATTGTATTTACTATTTTGCTATTGATTCATAAATAAACTGACCTGCAACTTTAGTTACAGGTTTACAGTTTTTTTTAACAGTTTCCTTTATTTTCTTTTATTTTGTAGTAATTTTCTAGGTTTTTTTCAACATATGTTTCCTTTTTTTAAGACACAGTTAACATATTTTTGATTGTATGTGTTTTGCGAATTGGGTTATTGGTGTTATTTCATTTTATGATTGTACTTTTCTGCATATTTTCATTGTGGTAGGTGGTACCAGTGTCATCAGCAATGTTGCAAGTGCCTGGCAGAAAATCAAAAGCTGTGGCCGAAGTTGTATTTCAAGTCCAGTTACCACCTTTGGGGTATGCAACTTACCTTTTACGAAACTCATCGTGTAAGTTTTAGTTTTACTTTGATGATTATGATTTTTTAAAAATATTTTAAGGCGTTTTTCAGTTTTCAGTGTGTTCTGTATTTATAAAACTGAAACTTATTTAATGAGAATAATAATTTTTAACTCAATTTGAAATTTCTTTCGAACTTTTAAAATTAAACGATTTCTAAAATATCTGATGTGGCCAGAACAAGATCTCCTTCTAGATCTATCTACATTAAAATATAGAATTGGCAGAATAACAATGAGCTTTAAGTAAACTATCACTTCTTTTTGATTGTTTGTGAATATAATCTAACTTTTTTATAAACTTTATGGCTAAATGTTAATTATAAACACTACTCATTTTTCACTATTCTAGTCTTCCATATAATGGGTAATGATAACTATACATATTCGTGTACATATCTGTTATCATGCTTTGACTTGAAAGCATTGCATCGATCATAGTACATCCTTTGTTCATATAGTGTTTCAAATTCACAAATCAATGACTTAACAACCACAAATTTTTTAAAAGCAGCATGTCATTAGAATTCCCAGTAAAGTGTTGCCATGCATTTCTTTTTCAGTTTTGTTTTTTAGTTTATAATATCAGTGTTCAGTTTTTAATAAGATGACCAACTTCGTTTATTTTTAATTTTAGCTTTATTTATTGAACATCACTTTCTTTGTACATACTCCACATAAAATTCAACAATAAATCTCTAAAATCAACCTATCTTTAGAATTCCCAATGGAATGTTAAGTGTTGCCATACAGTTTTTTAATTCACTTATATTATATCTTTATTTCTTGAAAAATAATACATAGCAATAAGATTTGGTGGCTGCATCCTTTTCATTTGAAGAGTGATTTGACACAAAAGTGAAACAAATACAAAATTGGTGATTGAGGCTGATACATTTAATTATTTCATAATGAAAGTTCATCTTCGTAATGAGCATTTAGAATAACTCCAAGAATAAATTTAATGCTTATAAATGAAACATGATGTTTTCAGTCACATACCTATTTTAAATACCTTGGATTATCTCATAATATGTTGTTTTTTACGAAAGTCTGTTCAGAGCTTCAAATAAAGTAACACTTCCGGCTTATCAATTTTAGCCAAAATCTATTGTGTTCTTGATATAAAAGTCTTAAATAATAAAATTGAATAATTCTGGATTATAGTTTAATATAATATTTTAATTAATTTTCCATGCATTACAAGTTTGGCCCAGAAATTTCGAAATTCCTGAATATGTCATGAATAAATAATATTTTCATAATTATAATACCAAAAGACCTCCCTACTTTGTACCTTGACTCCTTTTCTTCCAATATTTATCCAACCCAAAATTGGATACATTAGAAGCTAACAGAAATTTTCGTGTGTGATGAATTGGAAACTAGTCCATCTATATGGAATTTTATGTTCATAACTCTTAAAGTGTTAAAAACTGTTATGGGCTTCAAGTACAGTACCACTTCCATACCTCCATTAAAGATTGTCATAAGCTTTATGTAAAGTACTGCTTCTGGGCTGCCCAGACAGTAATTCCAGATGGATATGGTTAGGGGAGCCGACTGTGATAACTAAGGGCCCGGGTTCGAATTTCAGAAAAGGCCTGGATATAAATTATCTTCCCCTCTAATGGTGGCCACCTATTAGGTATTTCCATAATAAAATGACCACCACTTCTGGCCTTAGTAGTGGTGGCGAAGTCCTAAAAATGGCTATTGACCGCCATTGAAAAAAGTACAATTTCTGGTTGTTAAATTTTGCCCAAAATCTAATCTTCTTTTTTATATGAATGTAAAAAATTTAAATATGGAAGGAAATTTTGCAAGTTTGGTAAAGAATTGTCATGAACAGAAAATTCATCACATGCACACAGACATCATTGTAAAAATGTAAAACATATTGTGGGGACATTAATTTGTGCTTATTCACTGAAACTCACTATCAATAGACAGACACCACTGTAAAAGCATTTTGGGGGATACTATTTTATACTTAATCCCTGAAAACTCATTATTGCATTTTTGGACTGAAGACATTACATCCCTTACCTATGTATATAGGTTGCTGGAAGGTAAAAATGTATAATAGTCAAACCCTGCTGTAATGAACATTAAGGGAAGGAAATTTTAGTTCATTGTATCTATGGTTTGCTACATTCATTCCCAAAAGAAAAAACAAATTATGTGTAAAGTGTAAAAACTGGCTGATGAATCAAGTAATAACAATTGTAATTGACTAACATTATCACATATACAAAAAAAAAAAAAAAAAAAAAAAAAAAAATGAATAATAACTCTTAATTTAAACAAAATATTATTAAGCTTTAATAGTAATTTGATGTTTGTTCTTTTTCAGTTTCACTACATATTCATAATTTTTATGCAATAAGTTAAAGGCATGGTTCTGATCCTTTTCTCAAATTAAGCACCTCCATTTGAAATAAACTAATAAATAATTCTTTTATCTGTAAAAGTGTAAAAAACCATAAAATGAATGACAAATGTTGAATTTAATTTTAACTTTTATTTAACGTCTAAGTAAAAAGTAATTTATAATTTGCTGTTGCTGTAATGCAGAACTCTTAATGAATCCAAATGAATAGAAAGAAGACTCCAAATGAATATCCAAAAAAGATACGTACTGTTTTTATTGTTTCAATTAAAACATTGGTAACAAGAGAAAATCTGCTGATGCAGAAATCAGTTACAAAGCATCTTAATACATCTCTCGCAACAACAAATAAAATAATAAACCAAGGTGAAACCAACTTGAAAACTAGAAAGCATAATGTTCGCTAGCTTTTGCTGAGACATGCGACTTAACACAGAAGAATTCGTAGGAGACTGTATGAAAACTAGCAATGAGGAGATAAATGGTAATGCATTGTGATCCATTAAGGAAGCATGGGTTTACCTCAATATCAGCAATCAAAAAAAGATCTATTATCAAAAATAAAGAGAAAAAATTGTACAAATCAAGTTCTGTCAATGCAAAGAAAGTTTCGGTTAGAGATTTATGATTGCCACAAGATTCTGTTACAGTAGGAAATTAAAAATAAGAATAAAAATAGTGGGAAAATCATTAAAATCAACTCAATATACTATCAAGAGAAAGTTTTATGTCTAATATTTAGAGGGAAAATTCCATTTTTGACCAGTGACTTCCAAAGAATGAAACTTCATCAAGACTTTTAGAAGAAATTCTGCTTTTTTTATCCCAGAGACTTTCAAAGAATGAAACTTGATCAAGACAAGTCATCTTGTCATACTTTGGAAAGTAACATTGTAATTATTGAAAAAATGTATTCTTGCAAGAGCACACCATATATACCTTTTCAACATATTCCTGCAAATTCCCTTGATGTTTCATCTATGAACTATAATGCCTTTGGTGTCTTCTTAGTGCAAATCCACCACATTTGATAAACTGTGGATAGAAGTGCAAGAGAAATGGAAATAAATACCTCCAGAAAATTTATGAAAAACTCTTTTAACATAAAAATCATGATGCAGACTTAATAGTCCAGAAAAAAAAAAAAAAAAAAAAAAAAAAAAAAGAACATTTAAAAAATAGTTTTTACAGTTTAAACATTAATTAAAAGGCCCCCTAATCATTCTAAAACTGTATAAACACCATTTGTACAATTACAGATAATAAACAACTATTTTTTAGATACTGAAAAGTCTCTTAAAGCCTTCAAATATATGCAACATATGGTATTTTTATACTTAAGCTAACACAGATGTTTGAGATGGTGTATATTGAAAACCTACAGGTTCTTCAACCAGTTCAACAATTTCTTGAAAATTTTCTTCGCTGATAATATTTTCTAATACTTTGTAAGATAAATTTATTGTGTTTAACTTAATCATATCTGTGCATTTAAAGAAATATGTAGACAACTTCATGCCAGCATGATAGGCCTGATTTTTACTTCCTTGTAGGAAGTTTTTCGCAATTACAATACTTCCTTTTTACTTCCTTGTACGAAGTAAAAAGGAAGTATTGTAATTGCGAAAAACTTCAGGCATAATATTTCAACGAAAATATCCATTTTGACCGCTATCGAATGCAATTTAATGATATTTTTGCGTGACATCCGTGTGTAAGGACAGAATAAAGGACTCTTTTTTCCCCAAAATATTATAAAACTGATTTAAAATGAATTCTAATCAGAATTTTTTGTGGCGTCTGTGCGTACACACGTAAGTATGTATGTATCTCGCATTTGAGTAGCCTCAGAACATTGAAATTTTGTATATAGGATTGCTATAACATGTAGATATGTACCTCGTATTTTGGTTGCAATCAGCTACACCAAAAACATAAAAATATATGTATATATATATATATATATATATATATCCACTCTGTTACTCGGCTCAGTAATCTCAGTTTCTTTATTCTTATATGTTTGGTTAGGTTAGGTTATTTAATTAGGGCAAAGCCTCGAGGACTATCTGCCTAAGGGGAGGGATGCCTTCGTGGAGGACTTTCTAAGCGAAACTGGCTCGTATACACGTTACACATGGGAAAAACACCCATGCAGCCAGCCCATTCGCGGGATTCGATCTTATATGTTTGTAAATTGTGCATTTTTTGCTTTAAAGATGATTGAATTATGTTGTTCTTATCTTCCGGTTAAGGTTTCTATGCCTTTAATAAATCTGCATGCAATATTTTTAGAATTATCAACAATTTATGTTGTTTATGTGCCGCTAAGCCTAAGTATTTTTGCCATGGCGGCCATATTTGTATACATTTGAAACAGCATAGTAATAGATTTATTGCCAATCTAGAAAAAGTAAGCTTCGCAATAACAAAGATAACGCCGTCTTTTATTATTGCGAATTAAATCATGCTTAATCCATTTTGGAATTTATTCAAGGAAATAATTGTGTAAGATTTACTTCATAATTTTCAATACAGATATTTTGAGAGTTTTTATGTATTTTTGCCTCGTTGTGAAGTAAAAACTGAATTAATTGAACGAGAAATACTGAATTGTCAGTGAAAAACTGTTTCTTGCAATTTTTGTTGTTGTTGTTGTTGCTTGCTTGATTTCTTTTGTACATCATTTTATATTTATTATAGTATTTGAATAGAACATGTGACAACGATTATATAATTCTTAAGGTGATATAAATTTTGTGCACTCTGAGTTAAAAAAATGAATGAAATGTAATGCTGTTAAGGAAACCTAGGGCCAGAGTGTCCCTATGGTAAACAAATATGATGAATTTTTAAGAGTGCATTTATTCTATTGTAGTTAATGCACTATCGACAAAGTAAACTTAATTCTATCCAATAAGTTTAAATGAAATGCTAGAAAAAATGCGTATAATTTAATATTCTGTACAAGGAAGTCTTGTGATGTACACATTATTAATTAGCCGTAGGCTGTATCTATCTTTTCTCATCTTGCATTCATATAAAAATTTATCTTGATTTTTATATTCTACACTGCTTTGATTTTGGCTTCAACCATTCTTTCCTTGAACAGTTTGAAACTGTAGCCCTTAAAGATGGAAACAGTCTGATTGGAAAATTATTACTTGTTGTTTGATTGTGAGGTTGATTCCTAATAATAAGTTTGAATCTGTACTATGTGACCAGTATCGTATTTCTTTATCTACTAGTAGCGGTAAAATACCTTCCTTTTGCAGTTTTAGCATTTCATTTAATTCACTAACCACTGATAACATTCCTTAGTTAGAAACACTTCTTTACAGTAACATATAAATTTTTTCTCTGTTTAGCATAAAATATTGTATTACTACATAAATAGTTTCATTACATATACATATCTCTTAAATTATCTCCTCATTAATCAGTTAAGAAATGTATGCCATTAGATTTATATAACTGAAGTGATTAATGTTAAGCAAAATGTAAATATTTGTGTATAAAGTGTTTTGAACCATATTGATTCATGGACAGGGCTGGTACTATTGATATGCATGCATAATATTATAGGCAGTTACATATTATCACAGCCACCCTTATAGAAGTCACCAAATTGCGATTTGTGCTCATGGCTGCCTTTGGAGAAATTGTTATGTGCATTAGGCAGCCATGCACATAACAATCTTTCAGTTTTCATATGTAGTCATTTTCAAACACACTGTTTTTGCTGAACTTAAAGTTCCAGTATTTTTTCCCATAAATTCAGTTTTAAATTTTGCAATTATGAGGTTTGGCTATTATGGAAAAATTTCCAGTAATTATAGAAAAATTTTGCAAAAATGCATAATATTGTTTCAAAATTGTTAAAGGGAACAATTGCTTTTAATGTAATTTTAAAGATCCTGAATTTTCAACAGTCCAAAGGAAACAAAAACCCACATGTAAGTAAGTCGCTTTATTGATTGATGTTTTGCTATAAATACCTAACTAAATAAAAAAAAATGTACATAATAAGAAATTTTTCACAATTACAAACCTTCACTTTTTCTTCTGTAAAAAATCACCAGACTGCATCAAGGTGGTTGTGTTAGTACACAAGTGCCATTTTAGTAACTGTTTGATGTAATTTACTTGTTTTACAAGTTTCTATGCAGTGCATTTGATTATTTGTAGAATTCTAAGAACATTTATGTACATAATTTTATTTTATTTTTTACCTTGGCTTGATGTTTTAGAGAGTATATATAATGCCTAAGTATTCTTTAAATTCCAGATTTTTCGTTTGGAGAGTAATATGTTCGTTAATACTTCAAGCAGTTATATTATTATGTGAAAATGATTTTGTGAAGAACTTAATGAAAGAACTTAATTTGTGAAGAACATCATGAAATTTCACGGTTTTTGTAACTTGGAATTTTCTTTGATTTTCTATAGCAGGTGCTGTTATGAAAGATCAAGCTAGTAAAATTCACAGGAAAGCTCAAGGGGATTGGATAATTAAGAATGAAGTAAGTGTATATTATTCTGTTCTGGGAAATGTTGTGGATGCCCTTAACTATTAAAAATATGTTTTGTGTTTAGCTAGTGTATAATATCAAAGTGAAGTTTCTCTGTATTACTATGAAAATTAACACAATTATATATTAATTATCATACACTATTGTTATTAGGTCTTAACTACCGCCTTCTAAAAAGGCCAAAGTTAACACTAAAGCCATTGATGATTAATATGCAGTATTTCTACACAGAAAATTTCACTCTTTTTTATATTTAAGTAGTTTTAGGGTTAAGGGTGAATGTAGTAAAAAAATAGTAATTTTATATGCAGGTAAGAAATAATAATAATAACTTAACTCCATAGTTGCTGATTCTTAAATACAGATAATTCAGAATAATTAGATTGAATCTTTTCATTGGTCATGCATAAATATAATCCGTGTATTTCGTCTAATCAGGAAACTTCAAAGTATTTAAAACATGCCAAATTAAAATTGATTCAATATTTAGAACAGGTAAAAGAGGTATCTAATGTAAAAATAATTCTGCATTCATGATCTTATTCAAATTTAATGAATTAACTATGTTTATCATAATTATTTAACTTTTAACTAATTCAGAAATTAATAAAACTTTTCTACAAATATAAAGAAGTATATTAATTGCATTCTACTATCATAATGCTTCTATATGAGTTGATTGAACCCTACACTGAATGGATTTTTATTTTAACAGTATAAAACTATATAGTGTTGAAAAGGCTTGAATATTTGGAAAAATATATTTCTTGTTTTGCTGTATTTAATAATAACAAGAAATATGACTTATAAATCAGTTTTACACACCTAAAATTTTACAGCAGTAAGGAGTTTTCTTGAATAGTGGAAACGAATATGATAACTAATATGATGATGTATTTTGCCTGTGATAAAAGCTTAACAAATTTAGAGTACAGAATAAAAGCAATATGTTTAGGAGAGAAATAAAATTATAGAATTTAATATTTTAATAATAAATGTAACTGTTAATTTAATAATAATTTTAATAATAAATGTAACTGAAGATGCATTGTCTGCATGAAAGCAATTGCAAAGTTCCAAAAACTTTTTTTTTTAATTAAGATGGAAATTAAATCTTAGACTGATGTTGATTTTATAAAAAAAAGTATTTTTACCCCATCTTCTAGTAGGTCACTGAATCTCCTGGTCTTTCATTTTTAGCCCTTGCTAAGGAAAATGTTCCCAACAATAAATGGAATTTATGAAACTTTAATTGTACAAATTTCATTCTGCTGGCCCTAGTGATTTTTAGCAAAATTTTTCTTGCAAAATTTAATTTGATATGAATTATGTTAACCTGCTATAGACATTTGTAGTACATTTTATGAAGATTCAGCCATAAATTTAATCAATTAATATTTGGATTTAATTTTTTTTTTCATCAATGAATGGTACATTACTAAGTTTATCTACACAATAATATGTACATTCATCATGAATTTTATTTTAGTTGTATTTGAAAGTATTTAAAAAGGTAAATGAAGGCTTTCCATCTTGGCTAAGGATTTTCTTTGTATAAAATTGTAATAAAATTACAAAATGAAATATGCCAAAGAAAATAATATTTAGAATATCTAATTAAATATATGATAATACTTTTTTATTAGAATCACATTATAAATCTATAAGTAACCATGCCATGCATTTTAAACTGAATTTATGACAGTTTGGAGTTTTGTTTTAACTACCATCAATGTTCAGTATGAAAACCTCCAGAAACTCCCATTTTTTGCTAAAAGATCTCTCATTTTTTGATATTTTAAGGTATAGAGTCTTTCTTTTTAGAACAGCAAAAATATTCTGCATTATAATCTTTAAATATATTTAAACAGACAAAATTAAATAAACAAACAAATAAGGGGAAGCAACAATTAGGGCACTATCTATTAAGCAAAATAGGAATAAAATTAATCAAACAAATTGTGAAAAAAATCAATACATTAAGGAAGCTAAATAAAATTTGATTGCAGTTGAAATTAACTTCAGACAAAAGATTTTGGAATATCTAATAAATAAATGAAAAAAAATGATTGATTTTAATGCAGCTAAAATTGAAAGATCATTGTTATGGAAGATCTTTTAATTTATGCTTTTTTAGCATAATGTTAATTTTCTTTAATACAGAATTTAAACTTTTGTTAGTTTAGCCAATGTATGTTTAACATGCTAAGCACCAAGCCTATTTTATCTTCCTTCCCATTTACCCCACAATATTGAATCTCACTGATAAGCTGGCAGCTGGTGTGATTGATGCAGTCTGAATGGTAAATATAGTATCAGTCACTGATGTCCAAACAAAAAGTATAGTGTAAGTCACCAATGATTAGCATGGTGGTTAATGCTTTAAGAAAACCATTATTTTTATATTAATTTTTTAGGTACTTTTATTTTTTTTTAAGATTAAATTTAGAAAGTTGGAACTGTGAGTTGTTTTAAAAAGTGTTTACTGCTATTCATTCTTAAGACATTAAGCATCATGTGTGTTTTATCTCCCTCTCTATTTTACCCACAATATCCAATTTCATGAATATGCTGGCAGAATTTTTAAATATTATATCATCAATCAATAATGACTGATTAGCTTTGAACAGAACATATAGTGTCAGTCGTCAGTGGTTGATATGGTCTGAACAGAGAGCATAGTATTAGTCACCATTGATAGATATAATATTTAACATAATAACTACACAGACACGAATGTGAAAAGTTCCCAAGAATTAAAATATGAAACATAATATTTGAGGAATAAACAGCAAATTTATCTTGAAACTATTGTCACTAATAATAATTATTTATCTATGGAAATTAAAAACAGGCTTCTCATTGCAAATAGATGCTACCATGGTCTTAAAAGTCAGTTCAAATCTTGATTTATCTGCCATAATACTAAAATTAATATATATATATATAACATAACTAAAAAATATATATATAACATAACTAAAATTAATAAATATAATATATAAATAATATATATTAATATATATATATATAAACCCTGTTACATCTCATCATATTATATGTCTGTGAGTGATGAGCAATGACTAAAATAATTGAAAGTAAACTACTGATCTTTGAACATAAAATATTTTTAAAAATATTTGGCGCTGTTTATGAAAATGGTGTTTGGAGATCTTTAAAATAAAAAATCATCATTTATAAATCTTTAAGTTCTTTAAAATAAAAAAAATCATGTATAATCATGTAATCTACCAAAAATTTAGACAGCTTGATATTATCAAGGTAATAAAAAGCCACAAGATTCGATGGTTTGGTCATTTATACGGAATATATGAAGACACAAACCCAGTAAAACAAATCGCGTTTACCAAATCTGTGGGAACTAGAAAGTGAGGAACAATTAGGTGGCTTGATGCTGTTGAGGATGACATTAATACCATATATAGGGAAGATTGTAGGAGTATTGCCTTGAATAGGTCCAGATGGCGTAGACTGATTGAGATGGCCTTGGCCAGCAGTAGGCTATAGTGCCTAAGAAGACAAAGAAATAGCAAATTTCATTAGTAGAAGACAAAAAACTCAGACATGTGATGAAGATTTCAGACAGTTTTATAACATACAGAAGAGAAAAACATGACATTCAGATTTAGATGTTTTTAATGAGATATTTTTCTTTGTAATGGTAAACAAAAAATAATTTAAAAACTTTATTGATAATGAAAAGAAAAAAAATATTAATAGTAACAGCTTGCAAAAAAAATTACTGATCAAGATGAGATTTTGCAGAACAAATCTTCTGTAGGGCATCTTCTGTATGCAGAACAAATTCTTCTATAGGGCATGGAACATAAAAAAATAAATACAGACAAAAGTCTTTAATCCAGACGTCCATAATCCGGACCCTCAAAGCTACAAACTTTCTGCGCATGCGTAAACGCATAATGCACATATGCATTTATGCATGCCCATAATACCTTTACACATGCGCATAATACCTTTATGCATGCACGTTTAATGTATAACAGACGGTATAAGCTAAGTTAAAATTATCTAATTATCTATTTCAGTTAATGTTGCAGATTGCGTTGTTCCTTCGAATTGGATCTGGCCTATTATTTTTTGCAGATTGTTAGAGCAATTTTATAAAAGTAAGCTTGGACTTTCGATTATGTCAAAAAGAATTTCCGATTCTGGAGCTGCCAAAGGATCTACAAAGTGAAAGCATGTTTCAATGTCCATCAAACAAAAAGTGGAATTGCTGCAAAAAGTGGATAAAGGCATATCCTTTGTTTTTCTAACCATTCCGAAATCTGTTTATCAATTTCATGCTGCTCTGCGGGTGGGGTAGGGGACATCGCGGCGCATAATGAAACTGGAAGTTGATCTGTCAGCACTATCCTTATCTTCAGGGCAGATGTTTTTATTTTATTCGGCTTATAATTCCTTACTAAATGTAGTATTTCATCTCGATGTACTCTGTCTTTGATATGATTTAAATCAAATTCCTCATCATTATACATATAATGAATACACATCAAATAGTTTTCTGGTTGCAATTTTCTAATTTCGACTATGCGTAATATATGCTTAACGCATGCGTTGAAAGTAATGTTTAATAAAGTAAACAAATAAATATTAAGCTTTTTTTTTTGTAAATTTTGATACCCTTTAGATCATAATTGCTCTTTATTTCATAAATTATGGTTTCATATTTTTAATTTTTTAAATTTCTGCATGCCATCTTACCAGATTTAAGTTGATGATCTATAATCTGGAAAAAATCAAATAATCCGGAATCGCTGAAGTCCCGACGAGTCCGGATTAAAGACTTTTGACTGTATATACTATTTTTAGAATAAGAACCAGATTTGGCATGAAAAGGAAGACAATCAGTAAAAGTTTCTGATAAATTGTCTCTATTTTTCACATCTTCAATGATGAAGTTAAGATTCAATTAAAAAAATATTGCTCAGAAACATGATTTATTTTCAGTAAGAAAATTGTCATCATATTTGTATTAATTAGAATTATATGTTTTATTATGGTAACAATAAAGTGACTTCAAGGAGCAGGCACTGTACAGTTTTAACGGAAAGTTATTAGAAATAGAATATATATTCATTTGTAAGGAAGGAATGTAATGTAGTTATTGTAAATTAAGTTATGGTAGTTTAATTAAAATTCTGTGGATCATGAAAATAACACATAAATGGGTAAAGGGGGGGGAAGTTTTTTTCAATGCACCGAACATTTCTAAAATTCCACAAAATTTTAATCTAAATTGTTTGGAACTTGAAAAAAATATATAACTGAATGAAGATGAGAAAATTATTTTCTATATATGCACGATATAAGCATGATATGTAGTTTTCTTTTCTTAATATGGGGTCCACCAGCGGCCAAGCAGTAAAGTCGCTGAACACTGGTACTTTGGTCCGAGGTTCGAATCCAGTGAATGGGCTGGCTACATGGGCGTTTTCATGGTTTTCCCCATGTGTAACGTGTATTCGAGCCAGTTTCCCTTAGAAAGTCATTTACGAAGGAATCCCTTCCCTTAGGCAGATAGCCCTCGAGGCTTTGCCATGATCACACACACACATCTTTTCTTGATATGTTTTGATAAAGATGGGAAAAAAATAAGATTTACTATTTAAATATTTGCTGAACATAGCAGATTCCAGCATTATTTGTGAACATCATAATAAGGTTGATATTTGAATTTAAAATGTAAGCATTCTGCTTAAGAATGAAAAAAAAAAAAAAAAAAAAAAAAAAAAAAACTTTATAACCATTTAATTTACTTACTTGAATTTAATTCTGCTTATTTTTTCATTATTTATCTTGCTTGAAGTTGAATATTTATACAACTTATATAAAAATTTTGAGGTGAAGTTTAATCATTTGATTGGATTGGATTGGATCATTCATTTATGGCAAAGCACACGAGGGCTATCTGCCTGAAGGGAGGGATGCCTTCGTGAAGGACTTTCTAAGGAAAACTGGCTCGTATGCATGTTACACATGGGGAAAACCACGAAAACGCCCATGCAGCCAGCCCATTCACGGGATTCGAACCTTGGGCCACACTACCAGTGTTCAGCGTCTTTACCGCTCGGCCGCTGTTGGGCTTAATTATTTGAAGAATAGACTTGTGCTCTTTCAGTTGTAGAATCTGGGTGGTTATTTATTTATTTATTTTGTATAGGTTTGCTTGAGAATGCTGCAGTAGTTTGGTTTAAAAAAATATTTAGTTAAAATTACATTAGCTAAAACATTTTTATGTATATGAATGGTTGCTATAAGTATTCATTTTACAATATTTTAGCATGTTTATATAATAGTTTTATATCATGTCCTTTTTATTAATAATATAGTCATTTTAAGAAGGCGTTTCTTCATAAGTAGTGCTTTAAGTACTTGAATATTCTTTTTTTGTAGCATCTTACTGTCTTTGTTGATGGAAAGTCTGGTCTCTTGAAAGGAGTTCGTTTAGCAGATGGTTCCAATATAACTGTGAATCAGTCATTTTATTGGTACAGAGGTATGAATGGTAATAACAGTGAATTTCAGTTTAGAGCATCTGGTGCTTACATATTTAGACCAAATGGTACAGAGCCCTTACCTTTGGGAAATAATGTTGATATAACACTTATAAATGTGAGTATTAATATTTTATTTTTATTTTTAAAGAAGTGCATATTAGAAATTTTTGAACAAAAGTTTTGTTTGTTATAGACATTTAGAATAATTGATTTAAATTTTTGTTTTAAAAATCTTTGATTATCATTATTTAGTCATTATGATTTGAGATTCTTATCATCCTAAAAAATATCTCAACCTTATGAGTTAAGTATTTGGTAAAGAACATAAAAACTATGAAATTATTTTTAATACACTTTACAATATATTTATCATTTGTTTATAATCTGAATGAGAGCAATTATTTTTTGATAATTTATGAGAAATTTCTCATATTGAAAGCCAAAAGTTCATAGTTACATCTTTTTTTTTTTTTTTTTTTTTATTTCAGAAAGGCTCTTTAGTTCTTCGACATTTGGTCATTGAATGTAATTTAAGCTATAAAATTATCTTACATATTTGCTTAATTATGTGCATTTATGTGTGTAATAAGTAAACTCGATAATACTGAAGCAAAGTTTTCATGTCTAAGTGATGTTAGCAGTTATAGGAATATCTGTTAATATTGAAAATATCAAATATCATTTGGTGAATATTATTTATGAAAGAATTATGAGTTCTTAATGAAAGAAGACATAACACTGATATTCATAAATGCATATTCACAATCTATGTTGATATATCACTTTCATATCTGGGTTAAAGGTCTAATACTTCAAATTGCCTCAAGTAATAAGAAACAATTTATAATGTAGCTGAATTTATGCTGAAATGTGACAGAAATTTAAAGCAAGTGCAACAAAAATATTATAAAGCACATTTCCCGAATAACATTTTAGCAAAAAGAAATAGCAAAGTAATCATGTTAAAATTAATTTCCATTCAACTTTTTTTTTTTAAATGATAAGTGTCCCCCCTCTATGTAAATGTTTCAAAATAATCAGGTTGAGAATTGTTTCAAAATATTCAGTGACTCAGATAGCAAATTGTTTCTAGAAGATTCAAAATGTTCAATGTTACATATTCAGGCAATTTTCCCTTAACATTCACCTTTTTTATTCCTCCTTCTTAATTTTGTTAAAAAATTTCCGATTTTCACACTGATAAAGTTGGCAGGTATATAGATATTAAAAATTTGTTCTATCATTTATCTGACAAAACTGTTTTGCATGTGGAAATCCCTAAATGTGATTGTTGCTTTATTTGTGTGTGTGTGTGTTATGATTTTGATGTACTGTTGCATTTAAAAATTATAAACAATGTTCAAATGCAATAAGTGTAATTTTCAGTATTTTTTCTATAAACCGCTTACACATATCTTGAAGATAATTTTAATACATTAAGTGACTTAGTTTGTCATTGAGAATGAAAGTAAAATCTCTTAAATGTGTTAAAAATATCTGAAAAGTAGCTAATCTGAGAATTTATGATGCATCATGATGTCGCATAGTTCCCAAGACAAGTTCATCTTGGCACCACTCTCTTCAAAGGGATGATCCAGCCCCTTTTTAATTTAGTTCTGCCACTGTATGCCACAGTCAGAAAATAAGTAGTCTGCCATATTTATAGAGGAGAACATCACTCGAAGGCAATTTCAGACAAGTCACTGTGTCAGTGCGAAGATATATTATATTTGCTAAAAACAAGGAATATGTGATAAAAAAAAAATAGATGAGAGACAGTTTCTCAGATTGCTATGGAAATGAACATCAGTGCTGAATCAGAAGAAAAAATTCTGCAGGAAAAGTTGGCAGTGTTGTAGGATTCTCCACTGTGTAATTCTAAGTTACTGTTGGAATTGAAGAATCTTATGAACTGATAAGCAAATAATCGCTTGAGTTTGTGTGACAGGAAACAACAAGATAGAAGGGTAAAATAACCCTTTATTATTCCAATTAAAGTTTAGTAAAACTCCGTCTTGGAGTTGTACATTAAAGCCAACACTTGGGCTTGAACTTAAGAGACTAAGAATTAAACTAAACTAATCTTAACTAAAGAGATATAGCCGAAGTTATCAAGATTCTAACAGGGTTGGCCCTTTAATGCTAATTGACTGCGAAGCTATCAAGGGCCTAAAGTATGGCTGAGCATAATAATAGCTTACAAGAGAGTAGCCTAAAAGGGCGGACGCGTGCAGCTAGAATATCTGGTATCTCCTCTCACTAAAACTGTAGAACTTCGCTGTTATATACTGCTCTTCCTCATTAGCATTCAGACGTGATTCTAAAACGACGTTCTGGCTGGAAATGGTAAGTTGAAAAAAGAATCGATAGGAAAAGAATTTTAACTCAAAATTTGACTGCTAATAAAATTAACACTATCCTTACAGTGTCAAAGATAAGTACTTAGAATGTTGCTAGATATAAATAGGTACTCACAATAAGATACTAATATAGGTACTAGAATAAGTATACTCTAAGATAGGTACTCAGAATGTTGATGTCTAAAGTAAAAAAAAAAAAAAAAAATTTGGTCAAATATTTTAGAAAACTGTTCTCTATGATAAATGCCAATAAAAGGTTTTTGCACGACTAATGATAGGAGAGGAAATATGACATTACACACCAAGCAATGAAACAAGATAGCATGAAGTTGAAGCACAATCTACCTCTTTGTTTCATAAATTTAGGACTAAAAACTTTGTCCAGTAGATTGTGTGCATTTTTCTTGTGATGAAAAAGGATCATTAATTTTTTTATTATATGTCATATACTATCATGATATAGGTGTTATATTAACTAGTTAACTAAAATCCGATAAGCCATAAAGGTAAAAACACCATGACAAATTACAGAAATATGTTGTTTTAATATGACAACATTCCAGCACATAGGTCTCATGTTTTCAAGACTGTTGTTGAATGCTTTGGATCTCAGCTTTATGTTCATCCATTGTGTTCACCAGACTTGCCTCCAATTTATTTTGTATCTAATTTTTTATTTATTTATTTATTTATTTATTTTTTTTTTTTTTAAGTGAAACCACATTTTCATACTTCACATTTACAATGATAATTTGAAGTATACCATTCGGGAGTTCTCTGAAGGTTGTGACAAACATTTTTGTGGAAAACTATGAAAGTAATTTAAGACATTTATCTTATAAGCATTAGCATTGAAAGTTCCTCATATCAATCCTCTTCTCTCAGATGTTGATAATTTAAGATCATACCTATTTACATATAATGTAATATGCTTGATCAGTGTAGTTCGTAATATAATGGTAACATAATTCTTTATTTATAAATATTTCCTTTGGAATATTTTTTTTGCATTTTTATCAAATGAAAAAAATAATATTTTTTCTTCCCCATACCATCTTGCCATCAATATAAAGTAGTTTGTTTTTTCCTTTCTTTTCCTGTAATATATTTTTTGCTTTTAGTGCTGAAATGATGAAGCAGTGATTGATAAAGCAGTGAGTGAACTATTATGGTTTACAATTTTTTAATGATTAAAATAATCTTTTTTTCAAATATTTATTAAACATTTAGGGTTCATTAGTTCAGGAAATTCACCAAATTTTTACTCCATGGCTGAGTCAGATCGTTCGCCTTTATAAGGGATCAGAGAATGTTGAAATGAAATGGCTTGTGGGTCCTATTCCTGTCGAGTAAGTCATATTTTTGTACTCTTAAATGTAAATTTTGATGAGATTAAATTATTTGTACTTCTTGGGTTGCTTAATTGGGTTTATTTCATTAGTTAAGATGAGGCATCTGAAAGGAAATTATATGAACTGCATTGCAGCTTTTTGTAGCAGGATTTTATTTTTGACAAATAATTTGGAATATGTAAATGATGGGAAACATTTCCAAGATCAAATTCCATTTTCTATACCGCATATATAAATTATTTTTATAGGGATTAAAAAAAAATTATGTTGATATTTTCCTAAGAATTTATTGAATATTTCCAGTTGACTGAATATGCTTAGTAATAGATATGTACTGCGCCCCAAGGATAGTGGTTTGCAATGCTGACTACCGTGCCAAAGGGCCCGGGTTCAAATTCCAGAGAAGGTATAGATGCTTACAGTTTCTGTGCAGCAAGGGGGGCGCTCTAAATATGTGGTGAGTCAAAAGGCCTCTGAAGAGGTTGGTAGTAAGGGCAGGAGACCTTCAGACCTGTTCCCCTGGAGTTCTCTCCATCAAAATTGGGGGTGAAGATGAGCAAATTTGTACTGTTACCTGTATGGTGTTCAAGGCCATTGCCAACAGCAAAGACAGTCTTGCACTCCTTGCCACAATGAATTTTGTGGACTTGTTTTGATGTTACGGTCAGACAAGTGAGATAAGTCACAACAACAACAGATATGTAAAATTCTATGAAGTAAATGAAATTCAACCTAACATTCAATGTATTATATAAACTGACATTACAGAACAACTTCTTGAAAATGACTTTTTGTCAGAAATTTTTTCTCTAGGGTTTTAAGTCCTGGGTTTTGATTTCAAATAGTGGTGTCATTTTCTAGTTATTATACAAAGAGAAATTGCTTGTAGCTTACAATAACTAAGGAAGATGGATGTTTTATAATATAATAAGAATAATGAATATGATATGTTAGTTCCTATTAGTGTGTATGTCTTAATGATTGTGCTGGTAAGAAGTCTACCATGATAGGATGAATTAAGTCATAAAGGAAGGGGTGAACATTGGTTTAAATTTTTCTAGATAACAGTTGAATTATATCTGTTCTCTTTTGTTTATTTTTCTAAAAAATAATTTTGTAAAAGCACTTGGTTTCATGTAATTAAGAAATTAAAATGGCTGTATAATATAATTAACAGAATGTTTATCAGCAAGTTTAGAGGCCCAAAGTTTGAATTTCTTACAAGGTATCTTTCTAATTTCATTCATTGAAATAGCATCTATCTTTATCTAGGCCAAAATATATGATTTTATGAAACCAGTAAAAGGTTTACTAAAGTAAAGTCCTAAGTAATTTCGTCTGTAATGAATAAAAGGCTATTGAAAAGAACAGTGAATTGCTTTGTGCAGTTGGGTAGATAGATAGCTGTAAATTAGTCTTTGAATTTAAAGTGCAGTTGAGATAACCTGTTTGACAGAGTGAAAACAAATTAATTTTGAGTTTGTAATGAAGAGAAAATTAATTTTGTTTAGCTGATAGAAATTGTGATTATTTTAGTTTCAATAACAACTGTTTTATGAGCAATTACAGTAAACTTAGAAATCAGTTTTGGAAATGTTACATTATCTTATTCATGGAAGACTTGCTTATTCATCGAAGACTAAAATTGTAGAATGTGGCTACTTCCATTTTACATTTTTTTTTTTTTTTTGTGATACTGATTTGCATTTACCATTAACATTAGAACACATCTACTATATTTACTCCACAAGAAAACTCTCCTTTACATTTTAGAATAAATTTTAAGAAATAAAGGGTTGATTATTATGTGATGAGGGTATTGTTTTGATTAGAATTCAGTTGACTCTAATTAGAATGACAAAGATAAGCTATCTTATTAAATACAATATTTTACAATGATATAGAAAAAAAGAACAGGAAAACTCAGTGATACATTGTTGCATCTTGGTTCCTGGGTATACCAGTGACCGGTATAGTAGATACAAGCCTAAATTGAAATCTCTCAGCTAGACATGGCTGTAATAATGATTGGTAGCTATGGTGTTTATATATACAATAATTACTTTTGTGGTTTATTTAGTATTTAAACAGTGTAGTTATACTGTGTTGTAATAATTATGCTCCTTCCTCTTGTTTCCCAATTTCAATTATAAAAATACTCGATTATATAACACTACCAAATAATATAACCAAAAATATGCAAACAAAGGATCTTATATTCAAGTTATAAGATATTAGACTTTTACTAAATGTAACTTGTGACTAATCCTCAGTAAGATTGTGACTTATCGCTATGTCTTCAAACTACAACAGAGACTTGAGAAGGTTATAAAAGACCCTTTATTTTAAAACTAAGATGGACAGAAGGCACACGTGATGCTTACAAATCGTCCACATTTGTGGCGAGAACTCAAAATAGAAATTCAGTGTAAATCTGAATCTAAATAGCTAGCCAAAGGTTATGCAGAGTAAATTAATCGCAAAGTTGGCTTTTAAAGCTTCACCAGTGTGAAATGCTACCAGCAATTATAACTCACGACCAAAGACATGAATTCTTATCTCAGATCAGTACATCTAGCAGCATGGCCTTCACTAGGCAAAATATGAAGTGACTTCTCAGTCGCAAACATCTACTTAAATACACATGAGCTAATTTGCATTCTGGCAGGAAAACAGAAAGAAATGACAGTAAAGATTCTGAACATAAAATAACTGGTTAAATTAATTAAATAAAGGTTGAAAAGTCAATATAATATTTCAGTTGGAGGACCCATCATTTTTAAGAAATGGCAGCTCTAGTGTTAAATGTTTTGTTATTTTTATTAAAAATATCTTGAAAATTGCTAGTTATAAAAAGCATCCTTTGTCTGGCAAAATAATTTTCTCATTCTTCATTTTGTACTGACTATATGATATGTTCATTAATCTCTTGTATCAGAATTTAATAAATATCCCATTATCCTATGGTTCTAGAAATCTAGTCTCTAATTATATTATTTATGAACAGTTTGTATATGTTCTGTATTTTTAGCTTCATGCACTGAATTTTGTTCTTGTAGAGAAAGGAATGTTTTAGTCGAATTACAGAGAGGCATTTTCTGTGTTAAGTTATTATGAATGTCTTTCCTGAATAGAAATTTTGAAGCTTTTAAATTCCATACATAATTTAAAAGGATTTATTCTTAAATGATGCAATTAAATGATTATGTAGTGTGATCATTTGAAAGAGCAGGTTGTAATAGTTTAAAGCATAGGGTACACATTCAGTTTAAAGTGTAAACTAATTATTATGTTATGGAATGGAATTATTTTCTGTATTTAATTTTTCATGCTTGTGCATGTGCTTAAAATTTGTTTTGTTCATGTGCTTAAATTTTGTTCTTTGTATTCATAAATCAAACTTCTTAATATCAGATATTCATTTTCCCCCTAATATTCAATTTTTTCCAGAGATAATGTGGGAAAAGAAATTATTACAAGGTTTGATACAGACTTAAAAACTGGAGATCTCTTTTATACTGATTCTAATGGAAGAGAAATGGTTTTAAGAAAGTAAGTATTTCCATTTTATGTAGCTTTATTTTAATATGCATACTTAAATAATACAACTATATATATATATATACTGTTCTAATATATATATATATATATATATATATATATATTTACTCATAATTACTTTTATTTAGAATATATATATATATGCATGTATACTATATTCTAATGTATGTTTTTGTACATATATATTGTCCTAATATATATACTTTTATTCTAATGGAGAATAAATAAATGAAAAGTATCTCATATGGAATGTGAAGGTAGTGAATGTGTACTATTGGGGAAATTAAAATTTGATATTGGGAGTGATTAAACTGGAATCTTTAATAATATGCAAAATTAAAGATATGCAACAATAAGGACTAAAATAAAGTCTAAAAACAATAGAATTATTTCTGATTCCATAGAAAAATCTCGACTTATCAAGTGGGAATTAGAACTTCTTCATATAACCACCAACAATTCATGAGAAGTGTGTCGTCATTTTGCATATCTGGACAAAATTCCTTTTTCCAATTTTAAATTTCTATTCAATTTTATAAAATCCAAATTTAAATCTTAAAAATTCTTATGTTCTAATATGTGCATGTATATACAAAACATATATGTATGTAAAACGGACCAGTCGGTATAGTGGTTAGGGGAGCCGATTGTGATACTAAAGGGTCCAGGTTCGAATGCTGAATAATGCATGGTTGTAACTGTCCATCCCTTCATAGGAGGCAAAGGTGGTCCACCTATTAGGTGCCTCCATAATAACATGACCACCACTTTTAGCCTTAGTTATGGCCAAGCCGAAGTATGCTGAGGGCCCACCATTGGGGGCGGGAATATAAAACAGATCAAGAAAGACTTCTAATCTTTGAAAGAAAAATGCTCTAAAAAGTATGTGGCCCAATTAGAGAACATAATAGATGGAGAATTTTATATAATCACGAAATCTATAGAAGATGCAAATAACCTAATATTATTCGAGTCATCATATCTTATCATATCAGGTGGCTTGGACATATTTTTAGACATGACAACTTAAACTTTGTTAAAAATGTGACCTTTGCAATTGTAGAGGGTATCAGGAAATCAGGGAAGACCTTGCACTAGATGGCTAGACTGTGTGGAGTCAGATCTCAAGACTTTAAAATCTATCATTAGCGGACTGTAGTGACTGATTGGGTCCATTGAAGGAAGCTCATTGCTTATTGTATAAAATGTGCATGGAAAATATCTGACAAAAATGTAAAGGCAGGTAGAAGAGACTGAAATAAACAGATTTAGTAGCAGTACATATGTTTCCAAATAATACATTGAAATAGCAGAGGATGCTATTGAGTGGGAGGTAAAAGCATTCTTCTGACATAAACTATGGAAATAGAGCAGCTTCTCAGAGGAGGTACTTGAGAATAATTATTGAACCTCTTCTTAGTAAATGCTTCATTTAAGCCACAGTCTCATACTAAATAAAATGTATATCGGAGAGCTTCACAGTTATGTAATGATGCATATGCTCAAAATCTGCAAGGGAATGACAATTTGCACCAGTTGAATGCTTTTATGTTCTGCTTAACAGCACACTATACCATCACAGTGTACCATTTTGGCATGCATTTTCCTTACAAAATCTCTTGTTTTGGTCTTCTCTACCTTTCTTTACATTTTTTACAGGCTTTTTATTAATACAGTCAAAAGTCTTTAATCCGGACTCGTCGGGACTTCGGCGATTCTAGATTATCGGTTTTTCTGGATTATAGATCATCAGTTTAAATCTGGTAAGATGGCATGCAGAAATTATAAAATTAAAAATATGAAATCGTAATTTATGAAATAAAGAGCAATTATGATCTAAAGGGGTATCAAAATAAAAAAATAAAAAAAAAACTCAATATTTATTTCTTTACTTTATTAAACATTTCTTTCAACGCGCGCATACGTAAAGCATACATTACGCATAGTCGAAATTGCAGCGTGAAATTGATAAACATATTTCAGAATGGTTAGAGAATCAAAGGATATGCCTTTATCCATTTTTTTTGCAGCAATTGCACTTTTCGTTTGATGGACATTGAAACATGCGTTCGCTTTGTATATCCTTTGGTAGCTCCAGAATCGGAAATTCTTTTTGACATAATCGAAAGTTCAAGCTAACTTTTATAAAATTGCTGCTCTAACTGTTTTAAAAAAATAATAAGCCAGATTCAATTAGAAGATTAAGGAACAACGCAATCTGCAACGTTAACTGAAATAGATAATTAGATAATTTTAGCTTAGCTGATACCATCCGTTATACATTAAACGCACATGCATAAACGTATTACGCATAAGGTATTATGCGCATGTGTTGACACATGCGCAGAAAGTTTGTAGCTTTGAGGTCCGGATTATAGATCATTCTGGATTATGGACGTCCGGATTAAAGACTTTTGACTGTATATTTTTTTGAGTTTAAAAATCTTCGGCTTGGTTCAGTATTATGAGATGTTTTCCCTGTATGCATAATATGATACAAGGTAGCTTTTCTTAGAAACTTCTCAACAGAGTTCTTCCTTTTCTGTTTGGATGGTACTCGAATGTTTTGCCATTATTTAATTACTAAGACACAACAAAAACTACTATAAATAAACAAAAGAATTTAATTAGCATTTTTTTTGCTTATTACGTGCTTCGCCCTTAGGCACTACATGGAAAGGGAGGGATGCCCCGTAGAGTTCTTTCTAAGGGAAACTGGCTGGTATCCATGTTACTCATGGGAAAAGCCACGAAAACGCCCATGCAGCCAGCCCGTTCGCTGGGACTTGAACCCTGAACTGAACTACCAGTGTTCAGTGGCTTTTACCGCTAGGCCGCTGGTGGGCCTAATTAGCATATTGACAATAGAATTATCCTTGTCATAACAAGTGTTGTTACTGCACAAAACATAAGTTTGTTATTTAATCTTACATGTGACCTTACATCTAACCACTTCTCAAGAATTTTTCTATTTATCAAAGAGAAAGATCTTTATCTTCCAAATTTAATTAATTTGTAATTGTCCATCAAAAGTTATGTTTTCATAATAATTTAATAGTTTATTTTATTTTTAATAATATAGCTAATTGATATAAATAAAAATGTGTTTTAATATAAAATTTCCAGTGGATAATTTTTATGGAATTTTCAGGATAGTTATAATTAATAAAAAATATTTTAATGACATTTGTATGTATGTTACATACAATATGGAATTGTTTACTTTTTTAGAGTTATTTTTGATTTAATTCATTAGATAAATAGCATTTTTATTTATTTGAAGAATTGATTTTGTACGCTTTTGTACATTTATGTATTTAGTTGATTAGTATGTCTAATTTAATGTTATTTTGTTATTATAATAGTGTGATGTGTACTTTTATTTTGGTGAAGAATAGTTCTATATTTAACTGTTATTTAATTTTGCAAAATTTCTTTATAGGAGAAACTATCGTCCTACTTGGACGTTGAATCTTACTGAACCAGTGTCAGGAAATTATTACCCTGTGAATAGTAGAATCTTTATTCAGGTGAGCTTTTGTCATTCTAAAATTGATAATATTTATTTGCTTTAACAAGAAGTAACTTTATTTTTTTCATCAAAGTTTTTAAACAGCTTTTCATCATAGCACTTTGAATGCACCTGTTTATCTGTTTATTTATTTTTATAAAACATATTTAGCTAAGTCTGTTATTGTAATAAAAATTAATTATTCAGCTATAATATTGTGATTTTAGGATAAAAAAGCTCGTCGACAGTTCACTGTTTTGTCTGATAGATCACAAGGAGGATCAAGTTTAAAAGACGGGTCAATAGAATTAATGGTAAATATTTCACTTCTATTTAAATTGTATCTATTAATTTACATTTCAGGGGTGATTATTTATCAATCCAAAAGGGATATTTTTTTATAGCTTTTAAATTTTAAGATGAAATTGATTAATCAGCAATTATTTATTGATATGCAAGTAATGCAACTTAGTTCATCATTATATCTCCTGAAACTATATGCTGATTATATCTGTTTATGTAATATATAATGAATTTGTTTTTGATACTGGGCTACAAGTTACTCTGATCTTATTACATTGTAAAAAATCATTTTTGTGTTGTACAGGTTATTGGCATAAATAATAGAGTGAAATATTGAGCAAGAAAGGACAATCAAAAGAGTTGTGTGCATGTTGATATGTTCAGTGCATAAATTCCCATTTGTGAATAAGAAGGATGACACTACATAGAATGCTCTAAATGTAAAGTTTTAAATGTTATGAGAACTTCTTTTTTAAACATCTTTCTACATTCTAATATTTAGCATTGATTTATAAAGTAAAAAACCTGCACTGTGTTTGAGTCAAAATTAATTTAATTTTTCATTCTTAGATGCTGATTTTTCTGCCTCAGCTAAACTGAAAGTTATTTTAATGTACAGCATTTAAATAATTTTACCTAAATTATTTGCTGTAAATCAATATATTTGTCAGTAATAAAACATTCCTTTCAATTAACATTACTTGTATTAAAAAACATGAATTTCGTTGTTATTCAGGTAGTTAAAAAGACTGGTTTTTGCAGTTTACAATAAAATTAACATAAAAAGAAATAATGCATATTGTATTTAATATGTATAAAAATGAATGCAGAAAGTGGTATGAATGTTTTTGAAATTTTTAAAAGATTGAAGCTCATAACCTTAAACATATGCAAATTTTATTAAAACTTCCTATTTGTATATTCACAGATACAATATCCATTTTAATCAAACTGGAAATGTAAGATCTATTCATTTGAAGGAAAAAAAATGCTATAAAAGTTAAATAACCTCTGAATTCACTATTTCAGATTTAATTTTATGTAAAATTCATAATCATTAATAAAAATAGACTCACAACCAAGTAACCATCAGGAACAACATAACTATAGATCTGAGGGCAATTAACAAAATGCTGGAAATAAATATAACCCATGTTATAGCTAACTGAAAGATACTATAAGTAAGTTACCTGCAATTTTATCTGGAGGGAAATTTCACTGGTTATGCAAATTAAATCAGCATTCAAAACAAAAAGAAAGAGCTTTATATTATTCTTTTAATTTGATAAGAATTAGCAAAGGAAAAAAAAAAAAAGATTAATTTCTTGTACATTTGATATTTTTTATGACCTAGCACTTTATTTTTGATGGATGAAATAACAGTCTTTATGTGTTCAGGATATTACATACAGTTAAATTATTTACTGTTTTGTTTAAAAACAGGTCTCAAAATAGTATGACATCATTTGCTATCATTGCTATTATCCCATGCATTTTAGTTTTCTTTTTTGTATTTTTTCTAACAGTTCTGTTTTACACTCATAGTTTGTTTTAGTAAATTTCCCGTTGTTCCACAATAAATAAACTATTTTTTTTTAAATATAGCCTGATTAGTTAGGTGCGTACTGTATGTATGTCTAACATAATTTAATTTTATATTCAAATTCGATCAAGTATTGTTTTACCTTAGAATTTTGAACTAAATATCCACTATAATTATTTGTATATAAGTGTGTGTTAATGTATTTTATGATTGTGCTAAGTTTAAAGTGATAAATAACCCTATATTTTTTAAGCAATGCTGTTTAGTGTGGTAGTACCTATATGAAGAACTGATGCATATATTGTATGATTATACCTAGACAAAACTCATTTAAATATTTTTTTCTGTGTTAAATATAAATAATAATGTGTACTTAACATGTGGCTATTAATGTGGCTATGAATTAAATGAATGCTAATCCAGTGCAACAAAATTTTAATAATTCATCAAATCTAAGTATGTATCTGATACAAATTAGAAATTGTTGAAATATTATTTTTGCATTTTCCTAATTTTCAGAAACAAAATGCTGTTATGTGTGTATGCCCTAGATAATTAAATTTTAAAAAATGCTTATAGTTTCTGTGTAAATAATGTTGTTCCTTGCTGTGCCCAAAATATTTTAATTAAAAAAAAAATAATAATTTTCTGTTTTGTTTCTAGATTCACCGTCGCTTGTTGCATGATGATGCATTTGGGGTAGGTGAAGCTTTAAATGAAACTGGTGTAGATGGCCATGGTTTGGTTATAACTGGATCTCATTACTTGCTCTTCACTAGCATAGATAAAGCTGCATCAAAGCACCGACCACTTGCACAGAAACTGTTTATGAAGCCTCAAATAAGTTTTGCATTCTACAATACCTCAGAAGATGAATATATGAAAGCATATAAAATGATTGTAAGTTTTTTTTTTTTTACTCTGTATTCTTTTAGTTTATTTATAAATCATTATTGATTTTTATCCATTGCATTTAAAGAGAGAATCTGATTTGTTTTAAATCATGAAATCTTATTAATTATGACCTTTTGTAATGTTATTTGCCTGAGAATTTTTTTTAAAGCCTTGAAGAAATGTTCATTGTTTTCAGTAAGTGAGTTTGTTATCCTGACCAAATATAAATAATCCTTTGTCACTTGAGAAAAATATCTGTGGCAAGCCTCCTGTTTAAATCAGTCAAGTAAATGCATAGCTATGGCTTAAGGAGTCTTTTCTTTATTAAATAAGTGCACATGATGTTAATTTACTTTGAAATAATATCATAGTAAATTTCTGTCATTTGCCATTGTTGTTATTAACAGCTTATTTTAAATGTTGTGTTTTATGTTCTATACTTCAAATTCCTGAGCAATTAATTTTAAAGTTAGTAAATAAATTTAATAGATTTAGTTGCTGTTGTGTATCTTAAAATTGTAATGAATATGCAAACTGGAATCTGGATACAATGTTTTAATTGCAAATTTTGAAATAAAAATTGTATAATTGCATTTTTTAATTGTTTATTATTTTTATATTTAAAAATATTAATTATTTTTAATTTAATTTATTTTTAATCTTCAAAATTTTAAATATTGTATTTTTTTTTTAAGTGTGGATAAGCATTATGGGGTAAGATATTAGTAGCAGTTTTCTCTTTAAAATTATATAATTGGAAATTGCTTTCTTTGCAAGATAATTATTTTCAATAAAATACCATTTCTGAAGTTTAACCTTTTACAATGAAATATATCAAATTTAATATTTGAAAAAAATTGCTTGTGGCTAAATTTTCTGGCTCAGTTCATTAGAAAACCAGTGGGAAGAATTTCTAAATAAAATGAATAATGAATCATAGGAAATAAAAACTAAAAGGCTAGAGAAAAAATCCTAAATTCATAGTTTTGGATTAAAGTGGAACTTGTATGAAAATATGTTAATGTTAGAATAAGATTTGGAATGAGTAACAAAATAGAAAATATGTATGTACATATACTGTGTATGTATCATTTTCTGCAGGCCAAAACCATGAATTTACATATTTTGCAGTTTTTATTTATTTAGATTTTCCAGTTAAAATAAAATTTTTACAATTAGAATATGTTTAACCAAGATGGAACGATTTTATTCATATTTGCGGGAAGAATGTACGTGTATCTTCATTAAATGTATTCTTCTTTGAAGGCACATTTGTATTTCTCAATATGTAGATTTTTATTGCTCTATAAAAGAGCTATATGGAGTATGTATCACACATTATCCTCTTTCTGTTGGATCAGTCTACTTGTTGCTGAATCTTTGTGTAGAAATGCAGCCTTTTTGTAAATAATGAACTGAAATTTCATTTTTTTGTAAATCTGGGTTGTCCATATTCCATTTAGTAACAAATTTATAGAAATGATGTACGTACTATAACATCTGAAAAAATCTTTGTTAGAATGTAAACCACTTAAAAATATGTTTTTGGAAAGTATCAGAGATTAGGTTAAAAAGCCAGTTTGGACCTTTTTATTAAATTATTTTGGCACTTGCTAAACTAATGGAAACTGAATACATCAGTTAATTTATGGGAATGATTAGACTTTTTTTATGAAGTTGCTTATATAAAAACCTGGGTGTATTGTGTGACCTTTTTTAAATAAAACTAAATCTAATAATTAATAAATGTTTGAGAAAGATGGAAACATACATTCTTACCTAGCTTTATATAGTAAAGGTATATTGATGCCATCAGCCCAACACTTTCTGTGTATATTTTAACATTATATTAATGTATTTTTAGTCTAAGTTTGATAGAGTGGTGTGTTTTAGTCTGGAAATTAAATAACTACCTTAAATCATTAAAAAACCTTAAATCATTAAAAAATAACCTACCTTAAATCATTAAAAAAGTCATGGCCTCTATGCACTGAAATTTCTCTTAAATCTTGAATTAATGTTTTTCTGTGATTTTATATTTCAACCTCTTAATAGTACTTGTTTTAATTTGTGAGAAAGCTTCCAGAATAATTTTTTGACAGAAGATACTTAAAATTTAAATATATTTCTTGCTTTGAAAAGAAAAACATGAATATTTTTTACTTTAGTATTCCTGACAAGCTTTTGAAATCCTTTAGCATGTGTTTGGGCAGTTTATGATGTTTATTTTTAACAGCACAGATCTTAAAATTACTCAAATCAGACACTGGCATGTGTACCAAGAGGCTGAAACATATTTCTGAAATATGATGAAATATCATTTATTGATAAGATTCTAGCTCGGACTGAAATATGACAGTCCTAGAATATTTACTGGCATTCCATACAAAGAAAAAAAAAATGGGAGATATATTTGTTATATTACTAGTTAATAAAATACATATCAGTATTAGAAATATTTATATTATATTCATATTGATTAAATTGTTCTAATATATTAAAAAATATTTGATAACTTTATCCTAATTAAAGCTCCAAATTAAAGTTCTGTTATCAGGTTTATATATGCTTATTCTAGTAAACAGAATTATTTAGCTTGTAATCTTTGATCTCATTTCAAACTGTAAATTTTCTGCTGCTTTGGTCCTCTTTAAACGAGCGATTTTACTATAATATTTGCCAAGCTCATATCTATTGTCTTTTAATTTTTATTTATTTATTTATTTAATTTCAGTCTCCAGGATTGAAAACATCACTACCACCTAATGTCCATTTTCTTACTTTGGAACCATGGAAAAGAGGCATGCTATTACTTCGTTTCGAACACTTTTATGAATGGGATGATGATGCAGTTCTAAGCAAGCCCACTAATTTTACTCTGAAGGTAACTGTGTATATGTAGATATATAAATTATAAATATTTATTTATAATTTTTTTAATGTGTAGTATTATCATGAAAGTCGCATTTTAAATGAAATAAAGGGAACATTTTATTTAGGCTTTACATTATATATATACACACACATTTACAGGGTGATTATGGATGATACATACAGTAAATATAAAAGAAAATAATTACCATATAGTTTCGATTATTAGCTATTCTGTGCGTAAACTGAAAAGTTAAATGGCGCTGTAGAAATTGAACCAAGCCAAAAGTGCGAATAATTGGTTGTCTAATTAAGATAAACGTATTAAAAAAAACTAAAATTGAAGATCACTTCAGCTTCAGCTTCTATTTGAAAAATAGGGATGAGAGCATTGCAGAATGAAAGTGTATTTTTAGTGCTAATAATTTCTGTTTCTGAACCTCGCCCCCCCCCTCCAACTTTGAGGCATGCACATTTGGCAGTTTGGAAATAAGATAGCAAATTTTAATTTGGTTTTCAGTTTTAGTAATTATTCTCAAGCAGTCTCTAGAATTTTTCCCGCTCAGTTGCATTCTTGCTTTTATAAATAAAATACAAACTATTTCTGCTGTACTGGGAAAAATACCTAAACAAGGTATCCTAAAAAGGACTAACTATTCTTCTAGTATTAAATTAAGCATTACCACTTTTGCCTGGGCAACAATGTGGGCACAATTGATGATGATGATATCTATAGGAAACAAGATTGGATTTTACTGTGCATGCTATTAAAAAATCTAAATCAGACTAATTAATAACATTCAGCTGTTTCAAGGGGGGGGAATCCACCATTTGCTTACCTCGGGTAGAAATCATAGTGTTTTACATCGTAGTTTTTTAAATCATAGTGTATTTTTGTAGAGCAGTATGTAATAATATTGAATTTATATGAAATAAAAATTGAATATTTAATATGTTTGAGGTAATTATTAATTAATGTGTATAAAAGTAGCAAGAATTAGAGTGTATGCAATTTGAGTTTGTAAAAGCACATTTTAATTAAAAAGTTTTAAATCTATAAGGGGTTTTTTAGAAATAAATATTTGCTGTGATAACCTAGTGTAATCATTTAAAACCCTAACCACTGCTCTAGCATACTTAAAATTAAAAAAAGAAAAAAAAAGTGATTTTCATAGTAGTTGTTTTTCACTTTTTTGAAAATATGTAAAATTTTGTGAAGTATTTTTGCAGAACCGGATAAATTAATATTGCATTTATATAAGGTCAAACACTGCGTTAGAAATAAAACTGAGAGGATGCTGATTTAAAATATTTTTACTTTTAAACTGAAACTTTTTTATACACTATGTATAATTTTATGCAAAAGGATCCAATTTGCTGGCAGAGGTTCTAATTAAAAACAATTATCTGTAAATATGTGGTAGAACTTCCATGCTTTCAAAGAATAAAAGTGATATTTTGAAATACTCATACAGCTTTAACATGTATGAAAAATTTAGTAAATGTTAAGATAAAAAAATTCCCCCCTTTTTTTTTATTAAATTTGACTGACTACTTACTAGACACATACTTGCACATGTCATCTTTTAGTATGGAGTAGTCTTAATGTTTTTTTTTTTTTTTTTTGAAATATTAGATTGCATTAAAATGTTTATTCTCTTAAAACATCCTGCAGATAAATCCTCAAGTTATAAAAGCTGTAAATGTTTTATTTACACCACAGTAAAATGTATATTCATAATCAGTTAAAAACTGGAAATTTGCAATTTAAAAATCTGCTTTTTTTCAGTTGGTATCAACATTAAATAAGTGAAGGGATATATTAAGTTTTTTTTTTTTTTTTTTTTTTTTTTTTGTTGTTGTTGTGATTTAATATGCTCACATAACATTAAAAAGTTTTTGCAAACTCTGTGAAATTTATTTGCTTACATTTAAAAATGTTGGCTAATGAGCGTTTTCTTAGAAATGTATAACGTGTTGACTATGTAATTTTAAATTAATTGATAACACACACACACACACCAAAACAAAAAAACAAACAAAAAAAAAAAAAGCATACAGATTGCGAAAGTGTAAAGTCATATGCAAAAATCAAATCGAAGTAATTGAATGTATCTAATATCGGATGGTGCAAGACAAAAATTCTTTGCAAAGACAAAACTGATGTAACTTCACACTTGTTTTATCTGTACTTCAAAAATGATGATGATAACCTTTTTTTTTTTTTTCTCTCTCTCTCTTTCTTTTCTCTTCCCCCCCCCCCCCTTTTACATGTGTATGCATGTGTGGCTATGCAAAGATTCACGAAGTAAACAAATAATTGTAGATCTCTATGCATAACATATTGTTTTCCTATTAATCTCTGGTGATTATATAGCTACTGGACATTGCAATTCTATCTGTATATCATATACATTCACCTAAATTGCATAATTTCATAAAATGCATCTAGTAGTTTATTATCTTTTTAGATATATTTAAACCAATATACAGATCTTAGGTGCATAAGCAAACTAAATTTTATATGGACTAGAATGGAAAGAATAAGTGATACCAATAATTGGAATTCCAAATATCAGGGGTCTAATAGGAGTTCTGCTGTACATAGAATTATTAAAAGCTTTTGTTATATGTTGTTTAAAATATAGTCAATTAAAATAATTTCTCGTGATTATATATGAATTTTAAGATTCTGTATAGTTTAGTTCTAATGAAATTAATTTGTGATATTTCTTAATAGTTTTTCTTAATAAAATTTATATTTAATATAATTAAATATAATTTATTTAAATAATTAAATATATATATATTATGCTTTATAATAGTTTTTATTAAGAATATTATTTAATAATATTCTTCGAGTCATTTGGGGAATGTATGAGAATTATTCCAAGATTATTTCTGATTTTTTTATTGAGAAGAGTTTGCTTATTTTCAGAAAATATTACAAAACTAAATGGCATAACAATAAACCTCTGTATCTTGCAGAATCTTTTTAATGATTTTGAGGTCCTGAGCATTGATGAGACAACACTTAGTGCTAACCAATATTTAGATGAAGCTAAGCGATTAAGATGGAATATTGAAGGAAGGGCAGTGCATGGCAATTCAAATGTTACAGGTATATTTAAAAATTTGGAGTTTAAATTGTTTTAAATGTTTGTAAAATTTGTTTTATATGACATTAGGTAGTATCCTGAAAAGTAGTGATGTATAGTTGCTAATTTATGAATGCAAATAAAATGTAGCATAAGAAATAGAATGGATTTTATTTTTTTAACCCTTTTATTAAAAACCATTTTGGTCATCAGTGGCTGACTTTCAGCTCAGATCATAACAGACACTGCTGACCAACAATGAACTTTTTATTCTGCTATATCTAATACTGTGACTGCCAATATAAAATTTAACAAATATTAGTATTATATTATAATCAGAAAGTTTAAATTCTGAAATGAGGAAAAGTGTCCTCATATTATTTTTATTAATAGCACTTATAGAAAGTATCTTCAACAGTGTATACTGAACATTATTTTTGATGCATTGTGATATTAGTGTATTTGATTGATCCATTCTTCTCTGAAGAAAATATTGCATGATGCTTTATTTTTGACTGGCAAATATAATTTCCTTGAATCACTTTCATTATATCTTGTCATACATTTTGTTAGCATTATGGGTATGAAAAGAATCTTTTTATTTTTATGAGAACTTGTCAGAACTAGCTGATACAAACAACATCTTTTATTCAATTGTTTGTGGCCTGTGTTTAAAGACATGAGTTTTTAGGTATCACTATCTCCCTCCTTCCCCTAAAAAGCTGTGGCAGCTCTGATATTGCATGGTTGACTCTACTTCTAATCATTTTCTTTGGGAATAGGTTTCAGGAATGTATAGCTGATGAAAGCAAACATTTGTATAATATTATCTTTAAAACAAAAGCTTGTCAAAAGGAAAATTCTTGTTCTATATTGTCATGATGGCAAAATAAAAACTGGATATAATTTTTCCATTCCTACCCTCCTGTTTTAAATCAGACAGATATGAACTCTGTATAATCATCTCATATCAAGTATAGTAAAACCTGACTGTCTGACATATAATTAACCAGAAAACTCAAGTAACTTAAATACGTTAGAATTTTAGTATTTCTCCCTCCCCTTTTGAGGCCTCTGATAATTTTAGACTAGAAATTTCTTCTTCAATTTATTAAGGTTTTTCTGCCATGAATTGCATTTTTATATGCTCAGTTTTCTGAAATTTTCATTTGTCTTGCATTTGGGATCTTTTGAGCTTTATGAACAGTCAAGCTTTTACTGTAATACATTGCATAATACTGTATGGCTGAAATGGAAAGATTAGGAAGAGGTGCTTTTCACTTAATGTCTTTAATTAAAAATACTAAAACTTTTTTAACATTTAAAAATTTTAAAAAGAAGTTAGAATTTCAAAAGTGATGTTAAATACTGTAAAATTATTCAGTGATTCTTATTTTATATGATTACAGTAATTTAATGATAAAAGGATTATGTATTTTGCAATTTTAGAACATGGGAATCATTTAAAAATTCTTCAAATATTGTATCAAAATTTAATGTTATTTTAATTGATATTTCTTGTTTACAGATTATCACAAAGATGTTGCCCTTGATCATTTGAATATTAATCTTACGCCAATGCTGATACGCACATTCCTTGCAAAAATTAAACAGTTATGACTCTGTTAAAGGTGTTGAATTGTGCAGAGAAGAAAGGTGTAGGACTGTTTGTTTAATCGATGATCTACTCGTTTGTTGCAAAATGTTATTTATATATTTCTATGTACTTTTTGTTGAAAACAGGTGCTATTTAAGTTTGTTTCTTTCAATAACATTATACTGCTGTTTATTTAATTTGTCTATTTATTTCAACAACATTTTGAGGATATTTATGTAAAGTACAGTTGTTGGGAATCTCATTAAAGGTAATGAAAAATTTGTTTTGGTAAGATGTAAAATTCATCTCTACTTAAAATAGTTAAATAAAGAGTTAAATAAAGATTTCTGTTCTATTTTTGAATTTATTTTTTATCTTCCTTCCCAGTAATGGTTAGCTCAAATTCATAACAAAATCATAGCGAATTTGATTAATTATACTTATTTATTTATGCAAGGTTAACTAATTTTTATTAATATTTTGACTGTCAGTGATAATTTTTAGTAGATGATCTGGCTGAGAAGACTGACTACAAGATAATTAGTAGTTATTGGACTGACCTTGACTGAGTTTGATTCACTACAATTGAATTTACAACATATATCACGTACTCTGCTTTAGAAAAGCAGTGGCAAGTCGAGAATATTAATTCACAGTGCACTATTGTAAAAAAATTTTTTCTGAGACATACTAATTATGTGGCAACTTTTGAAAAATCTCTTTTTCCCAAAAGAAAACATTCCATATGCTTTTAATGACACTGTACATTGTATTTAGGATTTCAAATGTTGCAATGTAACTAAATTAAATTAGGATTTTGCTATGTGTGTCATTTTATAAAATTTCAGCTACTTTTTATCTGACATAAAATTGGAATAATTTTAATTTATCAAAAAATAAGCTGTATTGTGGATTGATTTGTAATTGTTTATACACACAACTTTGTTACTTGAATTATGGATAAGTAGAATTTTTTATTTACTGAAATGCTTTAGAAATATTAGAGAAATTACATTTAGAATCAACATTTGTTATGATAAGTTAAAATCATTCCTTTAAAAAAATTTGAGTGTAAAATTTAATATATTAGCTGAAAACTTTTCATTCAGATTTAATTGACAGTTTTTACTAAAAAATTTATGAAACGAAAGAATTTTTTTCGTTTCATAAATTTTTTAGTTTACAAATTTCGTTTTGTGAATGTTTGTAAGAAAATTTGATGAATAATTCATATTAAATTAAATATTTGATGATTAAATTCAATTACTTTAAATGCTTGAAAATTTATTAAAAAATTTTTTAAAAACGAAAGAAATTTACCTTTCTTGTTATTCTCAAATTTTACTATAGAATAATAAATTTTATTATATTGTAATTAAATGTTGCATCTTTGAAGTGCATTTGATGTTAACCTTTGTAAAAATTTATAATTAGGAAGACTAATATAATATATGTAGTTAAACAAAAATCATTTGACAAAAGTTTTTCTTTATCTGCTTTTCATATATAAGTTACATTCCTGGATATGTTTATATTGTTATTAAATGGGAATGCCTAGTTGATCAAAGGATAATTATTTTATACCATTTCACATAATTATGGTTCAGAGCTCAGTGATTAATATTAATGTGATACAGGGTTGATATTTTTTATAACAATTCCTCATATTGTAATGAAAAAGGCTATAAAATGGGTGCTTTAATGAACATGGATTAAAATGCTCTCATTAGCTGGGGAGCTTTTTACTGATTGTTGTAGTGAAATGGTCACTATAATAAACAAATTTAGAACAAGCATTGATCGCACTTTTCTTCAACTGTTTTGTATTAAAGATGATTGTGGAGGTTTTAGTGTTTTAATGAACATTATGCATTATTTGAAATTAATTGATACAGTAATATACATCAAGAAAGAATACGTATGAGTGTGAAATAATAAAAGTTTGGAAATGTAGGTTATTGATACAGTAATATATATCAAGATAGAATACATATGAGTGTGAAATAATAAAAGTTTGGAAATGTAGGTTATTGCTTATGTAATTTTTGATAAAAGATATGCTTTATAATCAGTGGAAAAGACTAAATAGAAATATTTCTTATGCAACACAATATTCCTACACAATGTCTTCACTGTAATGCCATACGGAATTTGTGAAACCTTTATATAACATGGAAATTCCAGTGAAAACTGCACTAATATTGATTCAAATTTTAAATATATTTTATGTATTCTTGCGTTTCTATTTTATGCACAGTTGGAAATTTGGGGTTTGCATTCGTGAACTATTTTTTTAAAAGAAAAGTTAAAATTTTTATGTGAATTAAGTTATAAATGAAATTTAATAAAAGTAACGGAAGGAAAAGAAAAGAGTATTCCTTAAAAGATTTTTCATTTTCATAAGAGTCAAAAACACAGATGTTTGACTTGTGTGAAGAAAAGAGAATATTATTATATATTGTCAAAACATCAGTTGTTAAAGAAGCAGTCAATTCATGCTGGAAAAGCAGCAGAAAATTATAGACTGTAGCAACAGGAAGAAAAGGGAAATTACAGAGTTTATAAAGAATGTGGAATATCAAAATCTAAATGTGCCAAATGCAAAAGAAATTTCAGAACATGATAATTTTGCAATTAAATAATTCTGCTTAGCTGCAGCGAAGAAGATAGGTACAGTCAACTTCTGATTAACAGAAGATGTTCTCTATGGCTAACACAAAATCGCGGTTTATATGAAGCAGTTACAAAAGTGTACCAATGAGAAATAATTCATATTATAATTAAGAGAAAACTGCTATTAACAATTTAGCTATTTTCAAGCTTCTTAATATAGAGAATACATTCATTAGGTTACATAAAATGAGGTTTTGTAACAGTAATTCTTCCATATTCTGCAATAATGTTCTCCCAGACAGGGCTCGATTAATCGACCCTTCAAGCGGCATTTGGCGTCGATTTATCTCCATATATTTAGTTTCGTATTTTTACTTTCATATTTTAAATAAAGTTAATTTTACGTTTTGCAAAAGTTCTCGACCTTACTTTTGACAAGTGTGAAATCTGGTGGCATAAACCATCGCCACATTTGGTGACCCATGAAGTATATATCTGGTCGTAAATTTGTGTTAAATTATTATTTATTAATTTTATTTCTCCTCAAATTTTTTGTTTTTCCCCAAATCAAAATTTAATAAAATTCATTTAGAAAAAAAAAAAAAAAAATCTGAAAAGATTTTGAAAATATCAACCTGCTTCCTGAAGTAGAATTACAATTTATCATATTCAGTCTACAAGTGTTGGATAAAAACTAATGGCGAAACGTCAATAACTTTGAAAAGACTTCATTACAGGTACAGACACTTCAGTTCTCGATAAAATTGCCTTCCTTGTCTACCATCTTCTGATAAATTACGGAAAAACATAAAACACCATCAGCACGTCCTTTCTATCGATACCCCATAGTGGTTGTCCTATGGTCCTAAAGCACTTAAAAGCTTTTCTTTACTATTGTAATGGATCTCTCGCAGTGAAGATAAAACAAAAGAACCCTGCTGCTCCACAGATGTGCAGTACCACTGCGAATAAACTAACTCGCAGTTTAAAAGATCTTTAAAAGAAAGAATAAAAGAACGAGATCTCTCGTTCTTTTATTTCGGCGATGATCTCGTGGTCAGATGGGCTTGTATCGGGTGAGTATAGCGGGTGTTAAAGACCTCCCCTTACCACTGTCACTAGAGATCTGTGTCAGCGCTTGCACTACCACAACAGGCATTGTCATAGATGATGGAATTTTAATCCAACAAATGTCGTCGCTTTCTATGAGTGCTAAATACAAATACCTAAAGTGATAAATCTTATCTTCCATGATAATGCACGGTGTCATAATGCGAGCGTCACCAGAGATTTCTTCCGACGGTGGCGATAGGAGTACTGGAACGGTACTGAAACTGCAGGAGATGGAACACCATGCCAATCTTTCTGTTATCGGTTGTTGGGCATACTCATCGGATATGTGTGTGATTATGAACGCTTTACCAAAACGAAAAAGTTATAATGAGGGATTCATGACAATGTTAGAGAGGAGGTTATCCGTGCTTTAGAATAGTTATGCGGGGATCAGCAAAAGTGGACGTTCTGATGGTGTACCACGCCTTACAGTAATTTAGTAGGAGCTGCTAGGCACGGCAGTCGATTATATTGAAGATACGTGACGTGATAATAGAATCGTTTCAGAAATATCAACGTGTTGCCATTGCTTTTTATCCAACTGTTGCAACTCTCTCTTTTTGCATATCTGAATTAACTCTTTGCTTTTTGATTTTTAGCTATCAAGACTAGTTTCCTCATGAGGTGCAACTTAGAAACTTTTAAAACTTTTTGCTTACTTGCTTACTTTTTTTTAGCAGCAGCAACTTGCTTGCAACTAATGTATCTAAAGATTTGATTTCTTTCTCCTATTTTCTGATAAGTTATTTATTTCGTTCTCATTAGTGTACTGTAACTGTATACTAACCTATACGATGGATACGGTAGTTATATACACAGTCAGGGTGCTTGTGAAACATTAAAATGATGAGAACCACTGGTGTAGACAAATTAATTTTAAATCGATAGTTTAGCTCATTTTACTCAAAACGCGTAAATAACATTTGATGATGAAACTGAAGTCATAGAAGCTGTTTTTCTTTGTAAATTTCTTTATTATTTTTCGTTTAATATAACATTTTGATACTATAAAACTGACTGCAGGCTATAGAATATTTAATACTCTATTTGTTTATTTTATAAGGTATTTCCTCCCCCCTTTCCGCATGCCCACGTGGTGTAATAGCATACTCGACACGTATTCGAGAGGTCCAGCTTCGAGTTCCGGCGAGGGCATTGCATTTTTTCACCTCTCTTGCATCAAAAAATTCTAATCAGATTCGTTTTATTAAACGAATTTAATTATAATTTAGCATTAATTAAAATTATACTTCATTTTGTTCAAACTTTTAAATAAAAGTATTTGATAGGTTTAAGTATAACATAGCCATATTACTGATAAGTAATTTTAAGAGGAAAGAAACATAAATAAAAATACTATTTAATTTTATAATAAATTGTAAATCAACAAAGGCAGTAAAATAATTCTACACTTGTTACGGAAATATTAACTCAACTTATAATACACATGTTTCAAAGAATATAATAAAAGTAAATTCTTTATATGCAATTACATATTCATGTAAGCAAGGAACATACGATCATAATAAAACGATTACGCTGTGATTACATAAACTCCAACAACAAAACTCAATTGTTTATTTGGGATTTATTTCTTTGGGATAAGTTCGCAGTTCAGGTAAAGCTCTTCAATAGTAACAAGCTCTGTAGATATATTAGAAAAATGTCCATGTTTCCTGATCATACGTGCAGCTCCATCTTGTGATACCAGGAAAAGGTATTTTTTTTTCTAATTTGCAATAATGTCTTCAACAAAAGGCTAGCACTTAAAGGTTCCTTGCTTTTAGAATAAAACCCTTCTCATATCTTCAGCTTCCTTGGAACTTATGATCAGTCTTTATGATCCTTGTTTTTGAAATAAGACCCATCTCCTGTCTTCAGCTTTCTTTGGTGAACAATTTCAGGATTTGCAGTTTTAAGGTCGTACGCTTGTCCAATGTATGACATGCAATCGATGAAAAACGTGGTGAAATTGTATTTGTAGCCTAATTCGCTGGTGGCATAATCCCATGGGAAAGTGTGATGGTAATTGTGGAAACCTTCACCAATCGCTAAAGCAGAGACCCACTTTGATTCGGTAGCACTGCTGTACTTGTCATAAGGCTTGTTGCCCCAGAGATGTGCAGCACTATTGACAAACCATGTGAAATGCAAGGAAACCATAAATCTGAAGAATCCTATTGAAAATACGCAAACATACCAGTTCTCTTTCCAACAATAGTAAGGAATGGCTGCAGGTATTACAAAGCAACATAGAACAGCTAAAGGTACGTAAAACCTAAAGAGAAAGAAATGGTAATGGTTAAGAAAGGAACAGTTGGGTAGTTTATGAACATATGCATATTAAGTGTGAACAAATGAAGCAAAGAACTTTTGATGAGCAGTGCAAAGGAAGTTCTTACCAAGGTGGGCGCACGACATTTCATTCACTGATCTACAAGGAAAGTTATGAGACTTTCCGGCATCAATCACTATAAGACTTTCAAGAATGATAAAGCACTAAAAAAAAAGGGGTTGTTTAGTATTTTTCGTACCAAACGAATTAGTGTGATCATTTGCAACATTAGATGGCGTTGCCGCCTGATGATTCAATTCTGGTTGCTATAACGAACTTTCAACTCATAATTTATGTGATTTGTATTCTATTCTTTTTTGTTTTATTAATTGTTGCTGTGCTTGGAGTGATGTGAGCTGTGTCGTCACGTGGACGGCATTCCTTCTATTTCAAAGTGTTATGTAAAATAAACAAGTGATAATTACAGTCCGCTTACCTTTTTTTGTGAACTTATTCTTAACATTCCTGGTCCTAGCGACCGGAGAGAAGAGTTAGCGATCTTTGGATATGATGTGATTTATTCAAATATTAGCAAGTTAAATCACTTTCGATTTGTGGAATATTCCCGTGGCATGGTGTAGCGTAGAAACCTCAACACTGAGGTGAGTACGTTCCAATATTTCATCTTCTTTTGCTAGAGTTGTTAGTATAATATTTATTGTTATTCATAATGGCTGATTTGAAACCAGTTTTAACTAAAAAGAAGGTTCTAAAAAGCAATATAACAACGTTTAAAGCCAAGGTAAATTCGAATTTAGAACAAGCAGAAATTTTAGAAGTAAAGTTGTTCGAAACGAAACTAAACGAAACTAAATGCTTTTAACAGTGAGCTTTGTTCTATTTATGAGGAAATATTTTTGTTGTGTCCTGAAAAGGATTGTGATACATTCATTACGGGACAACAAACAATACAAGAAACTTTAGATGAATTATGGATAACTATAAATAAAAAGTTACAGAAACTTTCCAGTGACTCTGTTATCGAAACAAGTAGTGTAGCAAAAGTAAATTCGTCTGACGTTCGATTACCAAAATTAGAACTTCTACTTTACAGAATAGAATTTTCACCTTAAGTTAAATATAGATGACATTAGTTCTATGGATGTTTTAGGCTAGTGTCATACTCCGTTCTAAAGTCGAAGTTTCTAGTAAAGGCTTTATTGTGTCAAAACCGCTCCTCTATTATTGATAATTCCTATTTATGCTGTAAATTATGATATAGCGTTGAACTTTTCAGGAACGTTATTCTAATAAAAGAGAATTAGACTAGCGTCCGGCAAATGTTTAATTTGCCAAAGTTTCTGATTCAGCTCAAGCTATTTTACATTGTGTGGATGTAAGTGATGAATGTGTACGCTCTTTGAAAAACTTCAAGCTAAGTCTGGCTTTCTGGTCTTTGTTTATGATAACTGAGAAATAGCAAACATAAAAATTTTGGTGGGAAAAGAACTTTGAAAAAAGATGAATTAGGCACTGCACTTTAGATAATTTACTCGAGTTTCAAAAGACCACGGTAGAAACATTCAGATTAGAAACCAATCTAAGATTTTAGGAAATTTTCTATTATTCAATTCCTCTTGTGTCGAGTAAAAACACAGTTGTATAATGTGCAAGAGCATTCTCTTCACAATGTGGTAAGAGTTAAAACGTGTCCAAAAGCGAATTGGAAGAACACAACTTTGTAAGGTGGCTTCTCAACTCATTTAGAAAATCGAGGGTTACAAAATGTATGACGTGTAAGCACTCATCATAGTCCGGGGAGAAGAAAAAAAAAACTAGTGAAAATGAAAAAACCAAAAACAAAGTCTCACTCTCCAGCGCCAAGTGAGTGTTCACCAAAGAATGAAGGTTTTCGGACAATGCCACAAAGGGGACAAGGAGTCTGGTGAATCAAAGGGGCCTGTGATGATCTCATTAATGTGTGAGCTATTGGTAAGCCATCCCGGCAGGGCGGCGGACGGCTGAACCACTTTAGAGTGAAGAGTTGTGTCAGTAAATAAAGTTGGTAACAAAAATTGAAGATCGTGGGTATTCACATGTAACACGAAAAGAGAAAGAGTGGGACCACCCCGCCTAGAGCAAATTGAAATTTCGAACGGCCAGCGTGAGCCAGGAAGCAGGCCACTGTCGCTCTCTAAATGTGAATCATTTTGCGACTAGTCTTAGTGATCGTAAGTTCTATGAAAGAAACCTAGAGCGTTGGGGATGGATGTGGGGAGATGCTTAAGGGGGCTCCTAAAGAAGAGAAGTACCTGCATTTGTTCCAGTTGGGTGGATCTTCAGGGAACACTATGCGTGATGATTCGAATCTAACTACCACTATTACAGGGAATAATCTTCGGTGACTAAAAAACGATATTAGTGAAAGAGTGTGGTCTTTAGACACCATCCAAGTCAAAGGCAAGGAAGATAAAAAATGTGAAGAGTTCTTAAAACAACGACGCCTTGATCAAAATGTGTATTGAGGAAAACGTCGATGAAAGATAACCTTAAGGTTGGTTAATTTCTAAGGCTGCTTTACAAAGATTTAAATCTTAGAAGATCTCTGAAACTCCTGCTACATAGGATATGTATAAACATTTCATGAGAAACCTGGATCGGACATGGACCAGTCCGGAGTTCGAGTCCCCAAGTCAGGCGGACAGCCACATCAGCAGTAATTAAGGAATCTAGCTATACAGTAAAATACGTGTGGGGGGGGGGAGGGAAGTCTCTCAGACTGCACACGACTATGATGACATGGCTCCCAGATACAAGAGCTGTTTCCATTTGGGTCAAAGTCATGTGTCTCAGTTGATATCATAAAATGTTTAACAAATTAGTTACTGAGAGGGAGAAACTCAAAGGATTTGTTGGACAGTCCAAGTGATCCTATTCAGAATTCACTTAATACTGTCACATACGGCACTGCCCGGCTCCCATATTGGCTATCTTGCTATACCAACTTGCCGACGATGACAGAATAACTGTCCTTTAGCTTCGAAGGCTTGTATCAAATTTTTTGATGATTGTTTGGTAGGTGCTCAAACCTGAAGAGTGAATATCTAGTAAAACTCGGCAATTAGAACGTGGAGGATTTCTTCTGCGTAAATGGTCATCCAATGACTTGTCAGTGTGTAGAAATATACCCCGATTTGAGAAATGATCTGAGCTATGAAAATTCAAGCGAACCTCAATCAAGTTTAGGAATTAATGGAACCCCCGTGAAGACTACTTTAACTTTTCGTATCCATTTCTGTGAAAAGTTAAATACTCTAAAAGATATCCTTTCTGATTTAGCGAAAATATTTGACCTTGGGTTGGCTGCTCCTTGTATATGTAGTCAAAATCTTGATACAAGACATGGGAAACTCTATTTATCGTGGGAATAACCTGTTAGTGATGAGATTGCTAACAAACGGAGATTTTCCGAAATGATTTACTCTTATTCAACAATTAAAAATACGAGATTTGTTTGATTTGACGTGAACTATATTGATATCTGTGCTTTTTTGACCCCGAGAAAGGCGACTACGCAGCAATTTATTTGCGTTCAGTGTCACGGACATCAAGTAACAATCTTAACATCAAAAACAAATGTTGCCCTCTGAAAAGTGCAATCATTACCTCGATTAGAGTTAGCGCCGCAGTTTTGTTAGTGAATTGGCTTAAATCAGTAGTGTCTTAGACATTTAGGTTTCCAATACGTAAATTTTTGGCCTGGACGATTTCAACTGTGTTACTTTGTGGGCTCTCAGAACCATACCGTTGGTTCCCTTTTTCAACCGCGTTGGCTAAAATACAATGCAATTCCATGGGGGAACCATATCAAGGTAAAGCTTAACCCAGATTTCCAGCAGTGTTCCTGACACCGTTTCTGAGGTGTGAACATGGTTCATTGGCCTACTTGGTTATATTCGAAGATTTCGAACCATTATGACAGAAGTTCGTGTAGATTAGAAAAAAAAGGAGTTCGTATAGAAGAGGGAAAAGAAAAAATGAATTTCGTATCATGGTGGTGCGGTAAATGAAAATGGTTTTTGTCGTGACAAAATACCGTTACTGTACAAAAAACGTATTTGCAAAAATGCCAAGATTTATTTACTCTGTCGAAACTTCATCTCGAAAATCGGTTTGAGAGGTTTTTCCGACCAACCGATAAGCTTCGATTAGCAAAAAAACAGTGAAAAAAATGTCCAAGAATCTATTTTTCCTCAAGAGCTCTCTTAATTTAAAAACATCGAGAGAATTAAAAATGTGAGCAGGCCGAGTAATACAATAACTCCCTTCCTTGATGAAAAGCGCAGAGCTAGGTGGTTCGGCTTAAAAAAGCAACATTCCTGAAAAAGGCTAACAGCTATTTGCTAACAAAAAGGACATGTAAAATCATCTAACTCATTCTATGTCAATTAGCATGCTAGTCAAGATTTCAAGAATACATTCTAAAAGCAGTATTGGATTCTTTCAGTGTGAGAAAGATTATTCACAGATGTATTCCTTGTATTAAAAGTGAGGCAAACTGTGACCCAGATAATGGGGATTTACCTCCCCAGATTTCAACCATCAAGACCTTTTGCATCAACCGGTGTTGATCCCGGCCATATTCTATTAAGTCCCAAGGATAAGAACACAAACTTTCAAGTGTTACTATCCATTTTGTTGTTCTTTCTCAAAAAAGCTGAACACTAAGAGCGGATTTATCCGTTAAGTTTTGCAGTCTAAAAAGATTTTATCGCCCGACGAGGCAAACCATCTAAAATTTCGAGTGACTGTGCTACTAACTTCAAAGGTGCTAGTAAGGAACTGAAGGAGATTTATAAAAATGCAGCACGCATTGAGAAAAGCAGTGAATTATGTGACTACATTACCTCAGAAGGTATAACTTGGTTATTTCAATCCTCCGACATCTCCTCACTACGGTGGCTTGTGGGAATCTAATTGTGAAATCCATGAAATTTCATCTTAAACGAGTATTAGGAATCCACACTTCTAACTTACGAGGAAATTTTTAACAGTGCTTACACAAGTGGAAGCGTGTATGAATTCCCGTCCTCTTTGTGTGCGATGTCTAGTGATCCAAACGACTTTAGTGCATTGACTCCAGGTCATTTTCTGATTGGAGCCCCTTTGCTTGCCATTCCGGAATCTGACTTGAGTGATGTGAAATCTTCACGACTTAAACGTTGGTCTCTAGTTCAACAGACTGTGCAACATTTTTGGAAACGATGGTGTGCAGAATATTTAACAACACTTCAACAACGTGCTTAAGTGGTTTCGTGCGTCTCCAAATCTAAAATGTGGTGATTTAGTTCTGATCAAAAACGAACAACTGCCTGCAAACCAATGGAAAATTGGAAGAATTGCCTTAATTCATCCAGGTAGTGATAAAAAGGTTCGAGTGGCTACAATCCATACAGCCGCTGGGTGATTTCAAACGAGCTGTTACTAAATTGTGTCTTATCCCCAATCATGACTAATATGAACTATGAACTATTGACTTTTTTTTTATTATGAACTTTAATTTTAGTTATTTTCAATTAATTTTTTGTTCGTTAATGTTATTAGTATGCTTTAACTATTTGTCTTTTTGAACCCTTAGAAGGCTTCAAGGCCGGGGGCTATGTTTAGTATTTTTCGTACCAAACGAATTACTAGTGTGTCTTTGCAACATTAGATGGCGTTGCCGCCTGATGATTCAATTCTGGTTGCTATGGTAACGAACTTTCAACTCATAATTTATGTGATTTGTATTCTATTCTTTTTTGTTTTATTAATTGCTACTGTGCTTGGAGTGATGTGAGCTGTGTCGTCACGTGGACGGCATTCCTTCTATTTCAAAGTGTTATGTAAAATAAACAAGTGATAATTACAGTCCGCTTACTTTTTTTTGTGAAATTATTCTTAACAGGGGTGATAAACCTGCAAAATGGAACTTTTCGCAACCGCGAAAATAGGGCTTATAAAGTGGTTCGTACCCCCAGTATTTGCAACTGTTAGATTGGCAAAAATAATGTATTTATGAAATGGCAGATGGAATATTGTAATATAAAGCACTGGCTATTAATAGACAACATAGTATCAACAAGTACTTAGCGTAAGAGATGTTTACCCTGTTAGAACAATGAAAATCCTTAGCTACAACTGCCAAAAAATATAAGATAACTAACACCGAATAAAGTGTGGCAAATTTTCAAGGCCCTCGTACAGGCAGTACAGTGGAACACAAAGTGGCACGAATTGATTAGCATATGTACGTGAAACTTCAGGAGGCGTATGATGTGGAAATTGTTGATAATAGATTGCCTCAAATTTAATCTAACATCACTCAAAGTTTTTCAGTTGTCTCAGTGTGTATTAGTAGACAGAGAACCATTAGCAATACTCTTTCAGATTCATAAACAAGTTTAAAAAAAAAAAAGTAAATCTTACCTGTGCTGAAACCTAACCACCGGATCTGCCCAGACGTCACTCACATCAACAGTTTTGCCTTTTTCTTTAACATCTTCGTGCTTCCTCACCATTAACCATCCCATGTGAGCAAAGAAGAAACCACGATTAATGTTATGAGGATCAGCATCTGTTTCAGAAAACTTGTGATGAACTCTGTGATCCCGTGACCACTCATATAAATCATTCTAAAAGACAAAAGAGTAATTAGTATACGGAATAAGATGTTATGTATGTATTTTTTTATTGCATATACATGTGAATCAATGTGACAAATGCATTAGCGACACAGTTCTGTTACAATAATTTCAGATACTTTCTAGTTAGCTCAGCCCCACTTTTTGTGCTTTTGTGAAAAACGAGGAGGATTGAGAAAAATGAATAAAACGATCTTCGAGTCTCCTAAATTACTGGATAGGAGATCTGAGTCTTTTGGGCTTAAAGACATAACGGAGTACCCGAAAAATGATAGAAAAGCGAGAAAGTGTATCAACTATAGAATCTCCATTATTTTTATTGCTTCCTGCGTCTGAGAATACGGCATACGCTTAAAAAAGTCGTAAAGATTCATGAGGCATAAATAAACAATCAATCAAATGTCTTTATGTTTAAATCCAAAATACCCTGTAACCAAACAACTGAGACATAGTTTGTTGGTGTTTGATTTTGTCTGTATTACGTAGAAATGTCAAAAGGTTAAAGATGTGAATGGGAAGTTGAAATGCAGGACTTGCCAAACAATTTTTAATGGAAAAATTTGTATATGGACCTTTGATTGTCAAGATCTGGCTAGGTGAAATTCGTGAATTACATCTAAAGCAGCCTTGGTCCCCCCCCAAAAAAAAGTGTGGAGTCCGTCTATTCCGCAGAATGTTGGTTTACGTGATTACGGCAAAGCACTCGAGGGCTATTTGCCTAAGGGAAGTGATGCCTTCGTGGAGGACGTTCTAAAGGAAATTGGCTCGTATACACGTTATACATGGAGAAAACCCACGAAAACGCTCATGAAGCCAGCCGAATTCGAACCTCGGACCGAAATTGTTCAGCGACTTGAGCACTCGGGGGGATCCACAGTATGTAGAAAAATGATTATTGAGAACGTAATTCCGTTAATAAATTTCAAGTTTCCTGTAAATCATAAATAAAAATTGACGTATATATGTTATCGCCAAAGTATGAAATCCGGCATTCTATAGAATGCTAGGCATTGTATACAATGCCTAAAACTAGCCGCCAGTGTATGAAACGATTCATATTTCACACATTTCCTAGGCAGCTCTAGAACAAGCAAGATCTCAAATTCATATCCCATGGTCTAAATCAGTTCAAACTAAAACAAATGGCGAATGAAAAGTGGCAGCGTCAATGGGAACAAGGACCACAAGGACGACGTACATTCGAACTATTACCCAAGGCTGATGAAAATACCACAATTTCAACCAATTTCCTCACCCAGTACATCGCGGGTGATGGTCCCTTCCTCAAATATTTTTATGATCGCAACATGGCTACGTCGTATAGATGCTATGCGGGGAAAGCGGAGACTCTGAACATTACATGTTTCAGTCTCCGCTAACGTCAGCCCATCAAATTCGCCATCCCACCGTCACTGGAATAAAATATAGAAGATTCATCATTAAGCACCGTAAAGTTTTTCAAAACATCAAAAATATTATTGATTTCCTACATCGTCAAGGAACTGGACCTGTTTCATCCATAGCTTACAACCCAAAATAAACCTCTAAGTTCATAAAACGCAACAATAAGAATATCCACTCTCACCCTCATTCTATACAGGAGTGCCTTTAGAAAACACAATTAAATAACTCCATTTATTGAGAGCAGCGTGACTTTTGTCATACTACTCAAACTACGAACTACTTCATACTGTGCAATGTGTGACAGATAAACTAGTACTACGTACTCAACACTATCTACCGTGAAATGAATTCATAAACTGTATGCTACATTATAAACTATGAACTACATTATGAATGAACTTATAAACTGTGAACCGTGTAAACAAACAAACAAACAAACAAAGAACCACATACCATAAACACTCCCCCCCGCCAACAAAGCTCCAAACCGAAACACAAAAGACGTATGTATATACATCTGTAAATAACTTATTGTAATTATCCAACTGCAAAGTACCTAAGTGATCTAAAGTATATCTAGATAACTGCATAATGAATGCTGCAATGTAAACAAATTCTCGAGCATGGTGTTAGCGTTCCCGGTCAAGGTACACTTCCATAGATGGTTAGTGCAGTGGGGCGATACCAGTTTTGCCCATGGCGATGTTTTCTGTCTGTCTGTAGAATTAATGAGAAATCAGAGCTAAACTTTAGCAAATATCATAGCCTAAGAATCGATATGGCGGGATTGAAATTCGTCAGTTTAACAACCAATCAATAAGAAATAATATAAATTCTGGATTATGCACTTTGCAGTTTCGTTTTTAAAAGTATTCTAATTGAATTTAGTGCATATTTTTCTCTGTTGGAGTGAATGCTAGATATTTGTCGACCAAGTATCTAAATGAAAATTATATTTGACAAAATACAATTTTCTGTGCAGTATAAGCCAGATTTGAATTCTGGCGAAAAAGGCCTGTTGTATGGGTTTTTTGTGGCTTCCCATGTGTAATGTAACTACGAGCCAATTTCTCTTCGTGAAAGCTTCTCGTGGCTTAGGCAAACAGCTTTTGAGATGCTTTGCAGCATCCGCTTAAAGAAGCAAGATTTGCAGTATAAGAATAAGTCATGGGCGTTCCATTAAAATCAAATCTGTTGATTACAACTATCAGAAATACGTTATGCTCTATTCTGAAACCTGTAAATAGTTTTGTTTTTAAAATCAATGGCGGGCCCTTGCCAATTCAGCAATGGCCACTCCTAAGGCCAGAAGTGATGGCCATTTTAGGCACCTAATAGGCGGCCACCGTTGCCTCCTATAAAGGGATGAACAGTTACAACCATGCCTTCTTCGGGATTCGAACTCAGGCGATTCGGTGTCGTAGTAGGCTTCTCTAACCACTATACCATTCTGTGTGGCTAATCTCGAAATAGCACGAAAGTATTGACGTTGGTAAAACACTTAGCCCTGTTGCAGTAGTTCATTGCTAGATGAACTTCAGAGGTGATGATACGTGAGTTTTCAAAAGTTTTTATTAGTACGCGAGTTCAGCTAGTGTTAGTAATACGGAAATATTCAACAAGTTTTAGCAAAGGCCTTCTATTGGGGGATATTAATATTAACACAACTAAGAATTCGGAGCTGAGAAATAGTATTGGCTCACGTTTCATACAGTCTGGACTTCGCATTGTGTAATTTCTAGACATTCCAACATCGAAAGACTACCATGAGGAAAAAAGTTTTCTTCAGATGATAAACTGAGAAGTACCATCGCCAAAATGTTACGAAAAGGAATGTTCTAAAATAATCGCTAGTAAAACACTGAAAAATTCTAATCAATAGGAGTAACTGTATAGATCTTGCAGAATAATTTGATTCTGAACTAAAATACCAGTCTAAAAACTTTAAAGTCGGTTTTTGTAAGCTCTTTATTATTATTAATGAATGTGTTAAAAGTTTGCTTATCCATTCATTCCATATTACCTGTCACAAAGCGAAATCGTGCAGTTGTCAGTTGTATTGAAAATCGTCAAAAGAAGAAACATGTTTTCCCGAGGCTGCAACAAAGCCTTTCTGAAACGGAATGAAATGTAATCTATGGATGATATACGTACCTGTAATGCCATGCAGTTGCAAAAGGCCAAAAATATTCTTAGAGGTAATTTAGCTTTATAAGCCCTGTGAGTCCACAGCCTGTGAGCTCCTGCTGTTACTCCTAGACCACTCACGTGAGTGAGAATTACAGCTACAAAGTAAATAAAAAAAAATCTTATTTTCAACATGAAAAACACATCAGTTTTAAATTTAATTATTATGAAGTCTGGTATTGTTACATGCGTACGGGTTCGTAATAAATTGAATGCACACAGAACCGATGATAGCTTGATAACAATTATTTTGTCAAAAGAAACACTTCACAGAAATACTCGTACAGGTGTTCACAGTATCACAGAGTACAGTCAGTAGTTACGCTTCAAACTACTAAGAACGTTCAGTACAATGCTATGCAAAGTACATCTAAGAGGCGAAGCTCACTTGGATATCTCAATATTCCGAAGTCGCTTTGAACTAACAACAACTGAGAAACTGCAGTCGACTCTCTCCGATTTTATATAGTTCTCACCTGGCTGCCGAGAAATCTCTAGAACTTTCTACTTTTCGAAATTACTGGAAGGTATATGAGGGCCGGATACTGTTACAGCTAATATACAAATAGGAATCAATTACAGTTATCCATTGCAGTTTTACAGGTACCGGACCAAAATGTCGCTAAGTTTGGAGATTTTGGCGATTTCTAGCCAAATTTGGCGACAAAAAGTAGTCGCCAAAACTGTTGCCAGCTGCCAGCTTGGTGATATCTCGCCAAATTAGCGAGATAGTCATTTAATCGACGTTAAATAGACTTGCCCCTGTATTTTAATTTTCCGGCAGAGCATCATTTCTCTCATGCTTTTCATGGTACATTATACAGCGAAATACAATTTCACTAAAATTATCTATTTATACACAAAATTCTTAACAATATAAATGTGAGAGACAACACAATTAGTATTTTAAAATTGATTTTAATTGATCATGTTTACATGCTGGATTGAAACTATTTCTCAATTTCCTTTTAAGCAATATCTTTTTAAGCATTTATTTAAGCACTGTAATTTTTTTTTTAAATTACGTGTAAAAGCCATGTTGCACAACACTGCAGCTTAGAAATACTGTAGAATTATTCAAATTATTGGAATCGTTTGATATTCGATCTTAGCAAGTAAAGTTCAACTTTGTTAAATTATCTGTCTGATTTTAAGTTTTACCTTAAATTAAATCGTTATACGAAAAAGTATTTTACTTTCATTTTACATCAGTTTATATTATTTACTTATAGTTGATTATTTTATGTCAGCAAAATGAAATAAAGAATTAACGGTTTAGCTTGAATTTTACCGAATGAAAAGGAAAGTTGTACGCTTTATTTGCTCAAATGGAAAATATTTTCTTTTGCTTTTAATCTAATTTAAGAATGTAAAAAAGAAACCATGCACTTAATTTTAGTTTTTATATCACTAAGAAATTAATTTCATTATATTATTTAAACGGAGACTATGCAACTAACCTTTATGAAACTAAAAATGATTTTGCTGTTTACTTTTTCAAAAAGGAGAATGTTTTCTCATATATTTAGTTGAAGAAAAAAAAATTGTATTATAATATTTTTGATACAAAATGCGTCAAACAGAGAATAAATTTCTTTCTTTTATTTAACAATAAATAAATATTCGACTAACATAAAAAAGATGGTCTAATTATATGGATGTGTTCGAAGTAAATTCTAATAACTGGAGTTATAATGTACTTGGAATCATTTAAAATTTCAGTAACACTACTCTGTTGTCTTTTTTGATATCTAGCATTGGCTGCAGTGATATTAATCATTTACGTAACCATTTATAACTGCAACCGCAAATACATGTTCAGAATTATGTACTGGAATTGAAATTATACTTTTTTCGTTGTTATTTGCTGTTACTGTTATTTCACGTGAGAAACTCCAATTTGCCTCGTCGATAAAATTGCAATCATTCAAGAAAGTTTCTGAATTTAAGAAAAAAAGACGTGATTCTGAGAAATCGGTTCTCATACTGAACGAAATCAAGTCATAGTTATATGAATATGGAATCGGTGGGTGCAAGGAGGGATGAGTCGACCGAAGAGAGCAATTGCATCGGCCTCGTTCAATCTCTGAATATGGGGACTGGCATGTTGAGCGTATTGCAGTGATGGATTGCACAGTGACATCAAGAACCTTAGCGCAATTAATTAAGGTCTGCTCCTCTTAACAATAACGTGTTCAGACGAACAATTAAAACTGTTTGCAAAGGAAAGGAGCCTTTGCAATACAATATATTGTTAATTCTATATCCACGCGTATCCAATTGCAGTAGTGTGCTGAACGCCAGATATGGGCAAACGAATGAAATAACGTCTTTTCAAATAAATCTTGGCTTTGCCTGCAACAACACGCGATCGTCTCTGAATTTGGAGGCTTCGAAGTGGTAGATATCGTTATGTTAATGTTTTTACATGGTGCATCACTTTACCTTCAGATTATGATTTGAAGTGCGATGGGATTTTACTCCTACACATGTCATGCCTCTAACACGTGCCTGCACGCGCGTGTCCCTTGCCGGCGCAATTAACAGACATTGCTTGATTTGCAGCCAGTTGTCCTCTCTTGCTTTCGAAGTTTACTTAACGTACCATTCAACAAGTTTTCATTGCCCCCAAGGTGGCACTGCTGCTTTGGGTCATTTGTCTCCTGTTATGTCACCAATCGAATACATCTAATCGGTGATTGACAAAATGATACAGCATAAACGAACCAGAGGAACTTTGGTAACATGTAATATTACTTTTAATTATATTCTCAAATACCAAAGGATAATGCACACAAAGGTAATAACGTTTGCCGATGATGCCACTTTTGTTGTTCGAGCGCATAACAGAGACGTATTCCAGGCAAACTGTAACGAAACAACAGCTCTCTTTAATCGCCCCTGCAACCAGAAACACCTGAATATTTCAAAAGCAAAATCTTGGTACATCTTGCTTCGCAAACGCTAATGCGTAATCCAATTATAGAGATAACGGGAAAAAAGTGAAGTGCATTAAGGAACTCAAGCTCTTGGACCTCGCCCTTAGTTAAGATGTATCTTTGTTACCGCACTTGCGTGTGCAGAAGAAAACGATTCAATGTATAGAAGCTAGGTAATAGTAGTAACTAAAGCGCACCCAGTAGTCTTCAAATAGTAGTAACTGTAGGCTTTGGACTGATTCAACTAAATAGAAAGACTGAAATGGTCACTGGGAAATCTGTTAATGTTTTAAGGTTATAAAAGTTCCCTCAGATTCGTTCAGTTCTTAATTGAGACTTCGGCTTTTTATGGTCATAAATATGTTACCAGAGGTAATCGTTTGTTTATCTTTATTTCTTTATGCAATCTTCAGCTTTAAAATTTTTTTCTACCATTGTCCAGTATTCTCCTTATTTTCGTTCATGCTTTGCTATCGTAGCTTTCGTGTTCACGTATTTCTTATTTACTGCATCAATGGCCCCAAACTATAACATTAGAGATTCCGCTAATTCTTGGGTATTAGAAAATGAATAATTCTCATTTATACTACACGTGTAAATAGTACATTATGTTGTACAGCGCCGGAAGTGGACTTTTCTTCCTTATCGCACTCCTTTTCTGTATATTAGATTAAAATATATAAGAATTTCTTTCACAGGAACAACAGGAAAACAATATAACGTATTGTATAATATATTTTGCAATATTTCATCTAGTATTACAGTACAAAATGTAACACAGTGTATTTTATTATTCACTTTGTTCATTTTGGAAATATCTTACATTGTAAAATTTGCCAGTTAAACATGACCTTGCTCATATAAGTAACGCGAATATCTTGTTTTTATATATCCTTTGCTGAAAGGGTTGGAAATGTAGATATATTTTAAAGGCATGTTTTAGTAATTAGCACCGTAAATAATTATGAAACTTACTGGTGTTTCTCTGTGTTAAAACAGTGCTCTTACAATGAAATACATGAACACAGTCTTCCTAATTAGTTAATTATGTGCATTTATTTATTAAAGTAGTCTGAATTGGGAGGTTTTAAACCATAATTGATATATAATAAAATTATCAAAGAATTATTAAATTGTATAAAATTTTCTTATTAGTATTTCTAATAAATTCGGTTAATAATTGGTCAAAACTCAATTTAAATAAAATGGGTTATAACGTAAATTTTTCATTCTTAAGTACATTTTTTTATGATTATTATTCATTTTACAATGAATTTATCCTATTTTACTAAATACGAAACTCATTATTGATTCGGTACATATTCATTAAAATAATTTTATTAGTACAAATAGCATGTTCTGGAAGAAAGACCCCTTGCAAGCGAAAATAAATTAAAGTCTAGAATAAATATATATCACGTTGGGTGGAACTGGCGAAATTTTACAATGGCGAAATTTTCTCCATATAATGCATAAAATGTAACCAGTGCTTTTTATTTATACCACATATATTAATTCGAGATACAATCTACCTCAATAAATGGACTCTCTGTTTCAATGCTATAGGCATATGCTACGCAATGACGATGGGAAGAGTTTCAAGTCAAGTAACAATATATAACTTTGTAGGTAGGATGTTCCTGAAGTAAAAAAAGTGAAATTGCTGGAAATGCAGAAATGACTGCTGTAAACTGCTGCTGAAAACCACTTCGAGAGTGGCTTGGAAGGAGAGACCTTTCTTATGCTGTATCATTAAGTCGGATGAAACATGGACATAATCATCAAAACAAAAATTGGAACACAAACAAAAATTGAAACTTCGAACATTGTTACCGGTCATCAAGAAACTCAAAAGTTCATCAGAACTTCAGAAATAAGATTGCGATGATCCTCGTGTACAACTGTAATGGCGTTATCCTGATGCATAGTGTACAGTATTACCTTTCATTTTTGGAACTTAGCCTTTGACGAGTACTGGAAAAGTAGCAGAATATTCTTAACAGAATCTTACTATCAGTTTGCAGAACAACATGTGGGTGAATGTACCGTAAGCTGCTGCCGAGTTGTTAGTTTATTGGGACAAAAAAGTACTATACCCTCCCATAATATTTCTAGAGCTTGCATTCTCGGGACTGTGATTTGATTTCGAAGAAGAATAAACTACTTTATGGCATTAGCTTTCGGAATGTTCCAGACATTTTTCAGGCAACAGACCACTTCATTTGAGCCACCAATGGAACAGGTGTTGCTACAGCAACGTTACATCGCAAGTAACAAGTTGTATATAAAGCTGGAGATTACATCTAAGGACAGTAAACGTTTCCAGCAGATATCTTTTTATATCAACTGTAAATGAATAATTGTACCCTTAAATTTCCTGTATAGTTTCCTTCGTATGTTGAAGTCTATCATGTGTTGATTTGTTAGCCTTATAGTGGAGAGTAGGAAACAATTTATACTTTTCATCAATTATCTACGCATTATAATGAAGTTTAGTTAAATCTGTATAGGTGCTTTAAGCAGTGAATTTCAATCGTTAGCAGATAATATAATATATTTGTAAGGAAAATTTCATAAAATCCTATACACTTAATTTTTTAATATATTTAAAATAAAACATCTTACCATACAGCCAAGATATTAGTTTGGCCTGAACGCAGTAATAAATTCCCACAACAGCAGCTATATGAAGTCCTAAAAATAAGAAAACGTTTCTCCATACGATTTTGAGCGGCTTTAAGGGCTTTTGTTGTGATTTACGATGGTCATGAGGGTCCTCCTGTACGGTTCCAGACACAACATTTGGAGCCATTTATCAGCTAAACCTGAAAAAGATTGCAACATTGAAGCATTCCTCACATTTATTTTCAGCATTAAAATAAAACTTTTAGTGTTAGTACCTCGCTACACCGAACCCGGCTTTTAACAAACCCCTGGCTATAACGAACAAGCGTTTTGTTCCCATTCAATTTATGTTATTTTATACGGCTGTAGAGACATTAGGATTTTTGGAAACAGGAAAGAGGAAAAGTTTGCAACATCTTCGCCGGAAATCGAACCACGGACCTCTGGAATACGCGCCCAGCTGCAGACCACCACACCACGAAGACATGCTATGAAGGCGGAAGAAATACCTTATATACTCCTTCTTCTAAAGGGCGACTGGGGTTTTTAGGGGACCCAGTCGCCAAATCCTGACTATGAAAAAACATCGTCCACAACCCTTTTAGTTCGGGCGTCATTGTAGAGACATTTTATTTTATTACTGTAGAGTATTTTATGGAAGCAGAAGAGATGAAAAATAGCGACGCCTTCGCCGGGAATCAAACCACGGACCTCTGAAAGCCAGCGTGCAGACCACCACACCACGAAGGCACGAGAAATACCTTCTACGGTCATAGTGAACTTCCAAATATAAAAAATCGGGTATAACGAATTTTATGGGTACTTTAGAATGAAAATGTTTTGCATCTTCCTTTTTTTCAGAATTTTCTGCAGTCTTCGGGTGAAAAATTATTAATTCTTAAATTCATCCTGTTTAGGGCATTAGAATAACGAAAAACACCTTTAAGTTACCTTTCTTTTACTCAGAACCCCCCAACCTTTCTCTTTTTTTTTTTTTTTTTCTGAATAGGTTACATTAGGTTATTTAATTACGGCAAAGCCACGAGGGCTATCTGCCTAAGGGGAGGGAGGCCTTCGTGGAGGACTTTCTAAGGGAATTTGGTTTGTATACACGTTACACATGGGGAAAACCACGAAAACGGCCATGCAGCCAGCCCGTTCGCTGGATTCGAACCTCGGACCGAACTACCATTGTTAGCGACTTTACCGCTCGGCCGCTGGTGAGCCCCTTTTTTCCTGAATAAGAGGCTGTGCTAGTCGGGAGTAGCACTCAACCCTTGGAAGGCCAGGTCATGAAATAAATATATCTTAAGAAATTTTTACTGTGTCTCGCACTGAGCCAAAGAATCACTCATCCATTGAGACAAAGAGCTTGAATCAGTCTTTGATTCCATTTGAGTTCTTTGACTGAATTTTGAGAACTTCCTGCTCATGGCTTATTCATTTTTGAGCGAATTTTACATTAAATGGAAATGTGTAATTGGAGGGACAGGTCTAATCCAGGACTCTTACGCTAAAAAATTTTTCGTATAAAATCGTTAACTTATGACGAAACTGAAAAACAATGAAAAATATTAACTGTAATTAACATTTATATTTTTTTATAAATTATAGCGATTATTAAAATTTCTCTTTGGAGATTTTACAATGTTAATAATTTTTCTGTGAGATTCATCAATAAATATTTACACTATTTTGTGATGATTCATTTTTTCCCCTTATTTCCTTATTAGATCGGATATAACTATCCACCGGAAATATCCAACGAAAGTCCCTTGAAGTTAATTGTGAGGTTCCTGTTGTAGTAGCAACTTGTTGATGGTTCAGTTAAGACTATTGCCATATATACAGATGATTAAGCGTCCGTTGGTAAAATTGTTTGCCACCGAAAACGTACTACATCATCCTTCCTTCTACATTTGTTTGATATCCCAGAGAAATTGCCCTGTAGCATTACAGTCTGTTTAAAAATAGGCATTTTAAGGCTATTTCTTTCCTACAAACCATCCTGCTTAACTATGGCAACGACTATTGCGGAAAATAAAAGGTTTAATCCTCTAATATATTAAAATTTTTAAATTCCTTTTTGCATAATAACGATGACTTATATTGCGATCGCAAATGGGGATGGGGAAGGTTACTGTTGTAAAGTAAGAGGCTAATAATAACCTCCTCTATACTATACTGTTGGAATGGTTCGCTTGCAATTTTTTTTTTTTTTTTTTTTTTTCATTTTAGAGACAGAATTCTCATACAGATTCATACGATGGTACAGGAACAGCAACCATACACTGTGTATAGTTGCTGTTCCAGTACCATACATCGCCACCACCGCCAGAAAATCTGTGACTGCTATCGTATGATCACACAGGATGATGAGATTCGGACATCATCTGTGTCCAGCACTCAGAATATGACAGCATTTATTGGTGTTCACGTTACTTCCATCGTTGCTGTTGGGGGAAATCTGCAACACAACTTGTGTACAGACAAGTAGATTTGTTGTGGAGGATGATAAGATCCGTTATCCTCCATTGACAATGAGCGGTGCCATTTTAACGATCCGTCAAAAATAGGTCGAAGCTATAGAGTTTAATGCCGAAATTGTGATGTCTCATCTTCTTCTAGCAGTACCTGTATTTTATTCTGCAAACTCAACAAAATTCCTTTCTTTACTTTCAATGTCTTACTGAAATGTGCTTGACTTAATCGCATTTGTAACAACAACTCCCCTTCCTCCAAAAAACAATCTGAAGGTATATAAGTTTTAATGTCGCAACAAAGGGTTTGTTAAGATTTTTTATGCTCTCGCCGAGTTCGCAATTTACCAATCTGCTTTGAGACTTACTTGTATTTAAACAACGTTTTTTGTCTTTTTAGCTTTATTATTAAACATTCTTCAACTTGATCCTCATGAAATTTATCAGTAAAATCACAAAACTTTTAAAAGCAGCATACATTTAGAAATCCCAATGGAATGTTAAGTGTTACCATATATTTTTCTAATTTTTCAGTTTTTTTTTTCTCAAAAAAAAAAAAAAAAAAAAAAAAAAAAAAAAAAAAAAAAAAAAAAAAGAAAAAAAAAAAAAAAAAAAAAAAAAAAAAAAAAATTATCATATCAATGTCCATTTTTCTTAATAAGATGACCCATGCTTTTTTTTTTGTTTGTTTTTTTAACTTTATTATTAAACAAAATTTTCGTCATACTTAATACAAAATAAAATTCAAATTGAAAATCAAAAATTAAACAAAAAATCCTAAATAAGTATATTTATATAATTCCCAATATCATGTTAAGTGTTGCTATGCATTTTTGGAATCTTTTCTCATTTCATCGTATCAATGTTTAATTTTTTTTAACTGGATGATCTACATAACTTTTACGCCATTTAACTTCAATATTATACATCACTTTCTTCACACATACCCTACATAAAATCCAATCGCAAAATCACAAAAGCAGCATACGTTTAGAATTATCAATGCAATGTTAAGTGACGTGTACATTTTTAATGTACAGTTTTCTTAATAAGATGCTTTTTTTACATTCTTTTTCGTAATAAAATAAAGTTTTTCTTAATAAGATAACTTTTTTGTCTTTATATTACTAATTGTTTGTCGTTTTTAATTTTATTTATTAAACACCACTTTTTTCGCACTTACGACAGACCTTCACAGCAAAATCAAAAAAAAAAAAAAAAAAAAAAAAAAAAAAATTTAAAAGCAACATCTCTATAGAGTAGCGGTTTTCAACCTTTTCACTAACGCGTACCATCTGAACAAAAATTAAAAACCTTTAGTACCACCACTATATTTTACTATGATTAATTTTCAGTTTCTGAATAGAAATATTAAACAGCAACAATAATAATAATAACAATAATATTAAAATCTGAAAGCATTCAGATTTTACATTACGCCCAAAGGGACGCTTTTTTTTAACCTTTTGTGTGTAACCTTTATTTATTAAATATCATGTTCTTCACACCTAAGCCATAAAATTCAATTCAACAGCAATATCGCAAAATAATTTTAAAATGAGCATATTATTAGAATTTCCGATACACAATCTCGCGCGCTGGAGATAAAAATCTTGTTCTTTTCGGTACAGTTTTGCCATTGCTCCCTTTGAAATCGTTGAGTTTGTTAATCAAAGATTCCTTGTACATTTAGTTTCAGGTGTGACTTTCTTTATTTGAGAAATCTCTCCGGAATGTTTTCCTGTTAAAGCCCGAGCTCTGTCACTGCAATGCACTTAATTCGAAGGACATTCTCAGACATAAAAATTATCAATTACTTTGAAAATTTCATTTGCAGTTGCTCTATCATGAAGAGATTCACAAAATAAATACTCTTCAGCAAATTTTTTGTCCTCTTCGAAACGTATGTAAACTAATAATTCAACAAAGCTCGTTACATCAGTACTTTCATCCAACTGCAATGCGAAATACTCACTGTGTTTTATTTTTATATTGTGTGTTTTATTACTGTGTTATGGAGTTTGTCATTTCATGAATTCGTCGACTTACTGTATCATTTGATAACGGAATATTATTTAAGTCCATTAGTCTCTTTTCGTTGAATAATTTTAAAACGATATCTTTAGCTGCTGGTATTATCAGGTTTTTTCCAATAGCGTGAGCCTGCCCAGCTTAGCAATTCCGAGGCTTACCAGGTAACTAGCTTCCAAAGCCTTTTCACTTGAAGTAACAAAAACCTTTCATTACTTGTCTACTATTTTTTTGAACTCCGATAACTTCCTTTTAAAATAGCCTTCAGATATTTCCTTTAAATTGGCATGCTTAGATTCAAGATATCTTTTAAGAGACGATGGTTGGATAATAGTTCACCGCAGACAACACATTGAAGTTGAGGGCCCATTTCATCTCAATTACAAGTAAATCCAAATGATAAATAATTTTCATTACATTTTCTAGAAACATTTTTCTTTTCTTTTCAATATTCTTAGTGCTAGTAGATTGTCCTGGATCCATCACCTGCGAATCGTCACTTTTCCGCTTAGTCAAACCTAGCCATTTTTCCATTTTGAAAATCTAAGTTTGTTTGATTATTTTTTCACAAATTTTTAAATGCGTAATATACTACGAGTTCTTCAAAAACAGTCGACGATATTCTTAAATCGCGTAGAAAAGTAAGGAATACGAAGCAACAAGAAGACAAAATACGTACAGCAAACCGA